TCTTTAGGACAATAATTTATATTTTATTTTTTTATTATTTTATCTCAGATATTAAATTAAAAATAAGAATATAATATTATTTATTTTATTATTCTGATAGATGTACATCAAATGTAGGACAATACAATAACTTATTTTTCTCTTATTATATTTATCTTTGTCCATATTTCTATTCTACCATTTCTTTCTCCTTCACACCTTAAAGTAATTGTATATTTCTTTTTTATTTTTTAACTATTAAATGAACTAAAATAAATAAAATGTTAGAAAATGATTTTTTTTATAAGATCAAACAAAAAAATAAATGATAAATATGTATTTTTAATTTTTAAAAAGAAAAAACTTTTTAAAAATTACAATTGTCTATTTTAAATAAAAATCATCCATTATACCAGACCAGCCCCGTTGTCCCGAATGTTGTTGGTCCGTTTCCACTCTCTGTTGACAAAACACTTGCAAGATTTCACGCTTCAGTCATTGCAGTGATAACATTGAGGTGGTTCAATCGACTTAAATGAAGTAACCTTTCTCTAACTCTTTTAGAATTCGGCTAAGTCTTTCACCGCACGTGCTTCAGTTTTATTCGCCATTGTTTCTGATTCGGATCCACCCGTTGACTCTCAAACTAGATATCAGAATAAGAAGGATCCTCTCAGGTTCACATTCTATTGCTATGATGAGATCATTGTTCATTTTCGCTAGTGTTTAAGATTCACTTTACGTTCTCCCAGGTTTAAAAGGGACACACTATAAGATACCATCTTTTGTTTACTGTGACTTTATATTATTCTCACGCTTTGTTTTGTTTCATCCCTTTTCCTAGGGTTTATGGTTCTTTGTTAATCAAATTCTTCGGAAATAGTTTATACCATTACTTAATTGTTTTAGTATAGTACTATGCTCAATTCTAGTAGTATAGCAATTTATGGGCACATAACAGGATATATACTACATATATATACATAACTGACCAAAAGTAAATGATTAATAATTTAAAGCTAATACTCAGAAGAAAAGTAAGGCTCATAATTAATGAGATCATAAAATAAATTTTAATCTAATATCTCCACTATTACAACTTTGTTAAGATTTGAATTTATTATGATCTTCATTTTCTTGAAATTTTTACAAGGCCAACCTATACTAATACTGATAAGCTGTGTTAACAAGCAAACAGAAAATCCAGGTTACTTTGACAATCGACAAGAATGTGATATTTCTATAGAATAAATGCACGAAATTTAAATCTAGTCAATTATATGATATTTTTATGCTTGTTTCACAACTTTCCAGATTAAGTCCCTGGCAGCCATTGATTTTGTTGCTTTTTTATTATAATTTCAATATTTTGTGGAGTGTATTGTAATTTTGTGAAATTTATGCTAGTAATGATCTTATATTTTGAACTCTGAAACACTTGTACTGTTTATCAACCAATGAGGTTTATCTGTTTTTAAATCAGGCTATATTGATTGTCCAAGTTGTTACTACTTACTACATTCTCAACTTATTTTGTTTATATTAATATGTAGTCATGAAAAGATTCCTTTGTGTCGTTCCTTTATGTAGGCACAAACTACCCAGTTGTTGTGGTTGGAAGGAGCACAAATCCATGCAGCAGATTCAGAGAGTTTACCTTTCCCCAAATCTATGGTATCTGAGAGTTTCAATTATTGAAGCACAAGATATCATGCCAGGGCACAGAGGGCTAGAAGTGGTGAGGTTTCCTGAGTTTTCAACAAAAATTCAAGTGGGAAACCAAATTTGGAGGACTGGAAATGCTGCTCCTTGTGCCACTCGAAGCTTCTCCAATCCTTACTGGAACGAGGAGTATTTGTTTGTGGTTACTGATCCCTTTGAAGAGAATTTGTTGGTTTCAGTTGAAGATCGAGTTGGGGAAGGAGGAGAAGAGGTTGTAGCCAGGATGCTTCTTCCCGTGGCGACAATAGAGAAGCGAACTGATGAAAAACCAGTTAGTTCAAGATGGTTCAACCTTGACAGCCACTTTGGTAGTGAAGGTGATAATCACAAACTAGTTTCAAGGTTTGTCTCTAGTATTCACATGCAAATCTCGTTTGAGGAGTATGATGTGCTTGACGAGGACACAGTTTATAGCAGTGAAGTTCGGTCCACTGACAAGAGGCTTTGGAAGCCTCATCTTGGTGTCGTTGAGATGAGAATCTTGGGTGCCACAGGGCTTATGCCAATGAAGATAGAAGACGGTAGAGGCGTCGCTGATGCCTATTGTGTTGCTAAGTACGGGGAAAAATGGGTTCGAACTCAAACTGTAGTTGGTAGCTTGTCACCAAAGTGGAATGAACAATACACATTGGGAAGTTTATGATGCCTGCTCTGTTTTGACTATTGTGGTTTTTTACGATTGTCTGATTAAAAAGAACACCGCGGACGACACTAGAGTTCGTGATTATCCAATTGGGAAAGTTAGAGTCAGATTGTCCACGCTTGAAACCGATAGAGATTACTCCTGCTTGTACCCTCTGCTGATGCTTCACCAATATGGTGGGCCCAAGAAAATGGGTGAGCTTCATTTGGTTCTGAGGTTTTCATGTTCCAATATGGCTGATGTGATACTTAAGTACACAAGACCAGTACTGCCCAACATGCATTACGTGTATCCCTTGAGTGTGGATCAACTGGACAAGTTGAGGTATGAGGCTGTGAATGTGGTGGCATCAAAGTTGAGTGGAGAAGAGCCACCATTGAGCAGGGAGGTAGTGGAGTATATCTACTTTGGGCATGATTTGCGAAATTGGAGCATGAGGAGAAGCAAAGCTATTTTTAACAGGCTAATGGCAATCTTGTCAGGCCTTGCTTCCTTGTTAAAGTGGTTGAATGCAATCCAATATTGGAAGAAGCCACTGCACTCGGCATTGTTTCTGATAATTTTTCTGTTGGTGGTGGTGCTGCTTTCTGAGTTCATCATCCCCACCATTTTTTTGTACATGGCATCTGTGGGGCTTTGGAACTATAGGGATAGATGCCGGGACCCTCCTCACGTGGATCCAAGACTTTCACAAGTTTTGAATGCTCACCCTGATGAACTTGAAGAAGAATTTGATACTTTCCCTACAACAGCCGGTTCTGAAATTGTTAGGATGAGGTATGACAGACTTAGAAGTGTGGCTGGGAGGGTTGTAACAGTAACAGGAGATATGGCAAGTCAAGGGGAACGTTTGCAAAATCTGGTAACTTGGAGAGATCCACGAGTTACTTTCTTGTTTATGGTGTTGTGTTTGGTTGCTGCAGTTGTTTTGTATGTTGTGCCTTTCCGGGTTGTGGTGGCTCTCTTGGGATTGTACGCATTGAGGCCACCAATGTTCAGAAGCAAACTCCCCTCTCGAGTTATAAATTTCTTCAGAAGATTGCCAACTACGGATGATATTATCTCGATCACTTGTGAAGGGAAGAGTTATGAGTACCAGAACATGCAGAATTTATTAATTGTTGGTATTTTGGAGGATCTCCAGCAATATACTGTGTAGTTATGTTTTTCGGCTAGCATACGTTTCAGTTAGCTTCAGTTACCAAATTGTCATTTTCGACTTTCCATAAATTTGCTTGAGTCAATTTTTTAAAATCTTTTTTTGTTATTTTCTTTTTAAATTCGTTTAAATAAGTCTGTTTTTGCTTAAACAAACATGGAATTGGACATCTAATTCGTAAGAAATTTGAATTCCAATCTTATATATAGAACTTAACCAGCCTATGCTTGGTACATTTGGTAACAAGATTAAATATAAACTCGCACATTACACGGTTAGATAGTAAAAATATGACATCATTTAATCCACAACAATAAATAAAACGATCAACGCACAAATACAGTTAATATTAATGAATTAAACAATTTATATTCTATAGGTAAAATTAACTATACTTATTTTTACTATATATATTTACAACAAATTTTACAATTATTAAATTTTAAAATATTTATATGTAGTTATATTAAATACTTCAAAAAAAAATTATTATTCATAATTGTCATATATAACTCGAGCATAATTGTCTTTAAGTACTTATAATCTAGATCAAAAAGTGACACATACTTACAATACTTCAAAAAATATATTATATAAAGCATTATAACACATGTATAGTTAAAATAGATATTAATAAGCAATTATAATTAAACATTAAATGTTTAATTTAAAATAAGATTTTTAATATTTTAAATGGAGTTTATAGAATATCTTATATATATATATATATATATATATATATTAAAAAGTATCACTCGTATCATTTTGTAACTTCTTTAAACATAATTTTTCATTAAAAATGTGTTTAACAAGGTATTTAAAGTAATTTATAATTTTTTTAAAACTATAAATATATTTTACAGAAAATAATTTTATTCAAGAAAAGTAAAACTATTATAAACCAGAAAATTTAAGAATTTAACAAAATTATATATAAAGCATCAACTCAAATTTAAGCAGTTATGTAAAAATTGATGCATGAGTTTGTTTAATGATTAGTATGTTTGTTGGCCTAAAAATATAATTGACCAAATTAAATTATATAATAACAAAGCCTAACACTTTGGTATAATTTTTTTAATTAAATGTTACTTATATAACAATTGAACTTACAATTTTTTAACTTATTTTTCTTTTATTTTAATTCTCTTATCATGAGTATTTTTTTATATCTTTTCACATCATTTTATCCCTATTTACTAGTTTCACAATTATTTTTATTACACTAATTATAAGAGTTTAAGGATTAATTGGATTAAAATAAACCTTCACGGTGTCTATTTATAAAAAAGACAAAGAGTTTAAGGTAATTGTATATAATTTTTTAAATTTTAAATAAATTAAAATAAAAAAGTTAGAGTAATGCAATAAAATAAAATTATAAGATCATACTAAAAAAAAAAAAACAAATGATCAAAATAAATAAATAAAATAAAACATTTTAAATAAAAAAACATCCACTACATCATACCTACCCCGTAGACCACTCGTGAGTTGACCATTCTTGCCATTCTCCGATCGTTCCCTTTCCACTCTCTGTTGACAAAAAAGCTTTCCAGATTTCACGCTTTCAATTATTGCTGTGATAGCATTAATGTGGTTCAATCGATTTAAATGAAGTAACCTTTCTCTAACTCATTCAGAATTCGGCTATGTCTTTCACCGCACGTGCTTCAGTTTTATTCGCCATTGTTGCTGATTCGGATCCACCCGTTTACTCTCAAACTAGATATCAGTATGTTTGAGATTCACTTTATGTTATCCCGGGTTTCAAAAGGGACACGCTATAAATACCATCTTTTGTTTATGGTGACTTTGTATTATTCTCACGCATTGTTTTGTTTCATCTCTTTTCTATTAGTATATTATTGTAATTTAAAATGACTAATGTTGTAAAACTCAATTCCGTTTCATACAGTTGCTAGTTCTCAAATTGCAGAACGGGATAGAAATTTCAGAATTGGTTTCTTTGGTAGTTACCGTTTTCTGTCCTATTATGGAGAATATTGAAAATTTTCTGAAGTTAATGCTAGGAAGGTAGTAATAATCTTATATTTTGAACTCAAAAACAGTTGTACTTCTATCTCTTTGTTTCCTTCCTATTTTTTATTTAAAGTGAATTTCCTAGCTGTTACTACTGTTCTTCATTCCTTTGTTATCCTCTTATATGTAGGCACAAAGTTGTTATGGTTGAAGGTAACTGTTTGCTTGTGGGATATGGAAGAAGATATCATCTTTGATTGATGAAAAGTGGTAAGCCATTGTTTTACTAAGGCACATGTTTCTTCTTATAGCTTTTTGTTGGCCTCGGGGAAGATGTATGTTAATCTCTGTTGTGAAAATTCTTATTATTATAGATAATTTTATATTTGTTGAGGCACTTACAGTTTATATGAATATTTTTTGACTCCTGGCTAAATAGATAGAGGTTCCATGGGATAGAATTAGGTATTGAGTCACCCTGAAGCTATATACTAAATTTTTTTACATTGAATTCAAGGATTTGGCATAATCTTCAGTGGTCTTAATTTGTAATGAAATTCTAACCATAAAAACAAAATTCACCGGAAGAAATATCATTATGATATTCTATCCTTTTCTTTATTGTGATATTTTTGTTCACCTTATGCATGTTTGTACATTCATTTTGTTGGAATTATGAGGTTTTAAATATTGAGGGAGAAATGGGATAAAAGAGAATTGATATCAATTGAGATGTATTACGATGTGATATATTGTTATGATAGTGCAAAAAGTATTCTCTCCTGTTTATACTAATAACTCCTAAATTTGAACTCTTTCTTAAACACATTTGTGCTCTTTATCAACCAAGCTTTATCTGTTTTAAAATCAGGTTAAATTGATTTTCCAAGTTGTTACTTCTTACTACAATCAGAACTTAGTTTGTTTATATTAACATGTACTCATGAACAGATTCCTTTGTGTTGTTCCTTTATGTAGGGACAAACTACCAAGTTGTTGTGGTTGAAGGAGCACAAACCCATGCAGCAGATTCAGAGAGTTTACCTTTCCCCAAAGCTATGGTATCTAAGAGTTTCAATTATTGAAGCGCAAGACATCATGCCAGGGCACAGAGGGCTAGAAGTGGTGAGGTTCCCTGAGTTTTCAACAAAAATTCAAGTGGGAAACCAAATCTGGAAGACTGGAAATGCTTCTCCTAGTGCCACTCGAAGCTTCTCCAATCCTTACTGGAACGAGGAGTATTTGTTTGTGGTTACTGAACCCTTTGAAGAGAATTTGTTGGTTTCAGTTGAAGATCAAGTTGGGGCAGAAAGACAAGAGGTTGTAGCCAGCGTGCTTCTTCCAGTGGCGACAATAGAGAAGCGAACGGACGAAAAACCAGTTAGTTCAAGGTGGTTCAACCTTGACAGCCAATTAGGTAGTGCAGGTGATAATGACAAATTAGGTACAAGGTTTGTTTCTCGTATACACATCCGAATCTCGTTCGATGAAGGGTATGATGTGCTTGATGAGGGAACAATTCATAGCAGTGATGTTCAGTCCACTGACAAGAGGCTCTGGAAGCCACACGTTGGTGTCATTGAGATGAGAATCTTGGGTGCCACAGGGCTTATGCCAATGAAGATAGAAGACGGTAGAGATGTCACTGATGCCTATTGTGTGGCTAAGTATGGGCAAAAATGGGTTCGAACTCAAACTGTAGTTGGTAGCTTGTCTCCAAAGTGGAATGAACAATACACTTGGGAAGTTTATGATCCCTGCTCTGTCTTGACTGTTGCGGTTTTTGACGACTGTCTGATCAATAAGAACACCACGGACGACACTAGAGTTCGTGATCATCCAATTGGGAAAGTTAGAATCAGATTGTCCACACTTGAAACAGATAGAACTTACACCCACTTGTACCCTCTGATGACGCTTCTACCATCTGGGGTCAAGAAAATGGGTGAGCTTCAATTGGCTCTGAGGTTTTCATGTACCAATGTGGCTAATGTGCTACTTCAGTACACACGGCCATTGCTGCCCAGCATGCATTATGTGCATCCCTTGAGTGTGGATCAAGTAGACATGTTGAGGTGCGAGGCGGTAAATGTAGTGGCATCAAAGTTGAGTAGAGAAGAGCCACCATTGAGCAGGGAAGTAGTGGAGTATATCAATATGCATGATTCGCATACGTGGAGCATGAGGAGAAGCAAAGCTAGTTTTCGCAGGCTAATGGGGATCTTCTCGAGCATTTCTCGGATGTTAGAGTGGTTGAAAGCAATCCAATATTGGAAGAAGCCACTGCACTCGGCAGTGTTTCTGATAATTTTTCTCACGCTGGTGATGTTTCCTGAGATCATCATCCCCACCATTTTGGTGTACATAGCATTTATGGGGCTTTGGAACTTCAGGTATCGACCCCGGCTCCCTCCTCACGTGGATCTAAAGCTTTCGGGTGCTTTGGATGCTCACCCTGATGAAGTTGATGAAGAATTTGATACCTTCCCTGCAAGTGCCTCTCCTCATATTGTTAGGATGAGGTATGACAGACTTAGAAGTGTGGCAGGGAAGATTCAAACAATAATAGGAGATGTGGCAACTCTCGGGGAACGTTTGCAATTTTTAGTAACTTGGAGAGATCCACGAGCTACTTTCTTGTTCATAGTGTTGTGTTTGGTTGCTGCAGTAGTCTTTTATGTTGTGCCTTTTCGGGTTGTGATGGCTCTCTTGGGATTGTACTCATTGAGGCCACCAAGGTTCAGAAGCAGAATCCCCTCTCGAGTTGAAAGTTTCTTCAGAAGATTGCCAGCTAGGGCTGATAATATCTTGTCCACTGGTGAAGGGAAGGATTATGTGTACCAGAACCCGCAGGGTTTATTAATTGTTGGTATTTTGGAGAATCTCCAGCAATATACTGTGTAATTATGTTCTTCGGCTAGCAAACGTTTCAGTTACTAAATTTTGTCATTTTCCACTTTCAAACAGATAATTAATCTTGTCCTGAAAAAAATTGTTAAGGTCTCAGACTACGTGGTTCTGACCACATATTTCATGAGAATACATTTTATAATTTATAAATAAAAAAGTTTTGCAATGTGAATAACTATTTCCTGTATTTTTTTCTTTTTCAGTTTTTTGTAAGTCATGCTTTTATGTAAATGACTTATCTCTTAATCCTCATACTTCACCATTTTGTATCAAACTTTTGTAATTCAATTTCCAGCGAAAAGTCTTTGTGATTTTCATTCATAAGCTTGTAAAACAATGAAAGGTGTGAATCACTTGTCTGTTATTAGAAATAAGAAAAACGCAAACAAGACATTTTAAAGACACTTTTAGATCCATTCTTTGTGATTTGGATCAAGATGCTACAGTATTAAAAGTATGGCATATTATTTAATCCACAACGATAAAAAAAAAATGATAATTGCACAAATACTGATAATATTAATGAATTAAATAATATGGTAAAAAAATTATAAATTTTTTGACTAAGTATCAAGTATTTAAATAAGGTTTTAAATATTTTAAAAGGAGCTCACAAAATAACTTACATTTAAAAAAAGAAAGATTTCACTCATATCTTTTTATAATTTTGTTGAAGATAAGTTTTACTATAAGTGTCTTTAACAAGGTATTTAAGTTAGTTTGTAATTTTTTAAATTATAAATATATTTTTAAGAGATAATCTTATCGAATAAAGTAAAACTATTAAACATAGTTATATATTTTAAACAAAAAAAAATTAAAGATTTAACATAACTATATATTCAAAGCTTCTAACTGAACTTTTAATTAAGCTGAAATAACTCTCTGAAAATTAATCCATGCGGCTTGATCTGTAAGTTTAATATTACCCTATTAATAGACCCAATTAGACTATTTAATAACTAAGGTCATAACGCTTAGATAGAATTTTTTAATTAAATATTACTTATTTAACAATTAAACTTACAAGTTTCAATTTTTTTTACTATCTTATCATAATTATTTATTTTACATATTTTTATATCATTTTAGATTGATTAGCTAGTTTGAATTAATTTTATTAAGCATTTTAAATTCAATGAATTAATATACTAATTTTTAACTTTTGACTTTTAGCTTTCAACTTTTATTTAGCTTTTAAATAGTTTATTTGCTAGTTTTCCTAATTACATCTTTAAAAATAATTTTTTTTCACTTGCATAGCTATCATATAATTTTTATGTTAAGAAATGCTGTAATTTTTAATAAAATCATGACGAGTTTTGTGTTTTTAATGTTAATTGGGTAACTGAACTAACTAAAATACAAATTAACATTAAAAAATAAAATATTAATTTTATTAATAAAAAATCTTGGTCAGGCGCAAGCACAGCAACCTTACTATGCACGCGAGGGCAGGTAAAACAATCTTTCTCCTAACACGTCAAACAGTACGCGTAATCAAGTGCGCGCATCTTAAACTAGGAGGGCACCACAGCGCACGTTATCACTACCCCAACATCACTCTATCTGTTTGTAGAAACCGAACAAAATAAATATAAATACATTCGAAAAGAATAAAAAGACAAAAGAGAAAAACGAGTTGCGGGTGTTGGTTAATGCCTTTTCCTCTCGATTGAGATCAACCTCAACACAAACGCTGTCGGAATCCAACAAGTTCCACCTTGATCAACGTTAAATCCCACCGACCCATTTCGTTAATTCTAACCATATTTACCGGTTTTCAACACTCTCCACCGATCCACACATGTATGGCTACCTACCTACCTATTCATTCCTTCCTCCTTTCTATGCACTCTTTTATTTTTTTAAATTATATATATTACTATTCAGTGTTTTATTGTTGGTTTTGGAGCATTATCTCCATGGTTCTATGTGTTGGTGTTGTTAATGCAGGTGATTGTAACAAAGTGGACGTAAAATTTGCATGCAGTGTGGTGAATATATGTATGCGTTGGTGAGAGAGTGGGAATTGAAAGTGAAGGTTGATGGTGATGAAGCGGTTGGTGAGAGTGAAGAGGGAAGCGATTGCAGCATGCATGACTTGCCCGCTATGCAACAAGTTGCTGAAAGATGCCACCGCCATTTCTCTATGCCTTCATACGTGTCAGCACTTCCATCCCTCTCTATATCCCTTCAAACCCCTTTTGCTTTTTTTCCTTAATATGATGTGAATTTTCTCAAATTTTTAATCTTTTCGCGTTTTGCGTTCTGGGTCATCCTTGTTTGTCCCAGTTTTTGCGTTCTCCTTTTGGGTTTGATGCTTCTTTTGCATACTCTTCGTTGGGTGGAGCATATGTGATATTTGCTTAATTATTGATATGGGTGTTTGGTAATTAAATGATTCTATGCATATGCCCATGTCATACATCATTGAGAATGAACGTGATTTTTACATGCTAGCAAGTTCTGTTTCGTAATAGGAGCTTTGAATGCAACCAAGGAGTGTTCATATTGTAAAACCGCTTTCTCTCATTAGTCAAGTTCTAGTCCTTGTCCTAGTTGACTAGTTCATGCAAGATTGAGGTGGCAGTGAGCACAGTTAACCATGCAATTTTTACATTTTAGCAGTTAGAAATGATTCTTAGTCTGCTATTGGAAATCTTAAATCCATTGCTGGCTTAATTTGTTATCCCTGCGAGCAATTTTCTTAGTCTGCTACACAAGCAAAACCTCTAAGCAGCTGTGTTGTGTGCAGTGTGACTAATCTTCTTTTGTTTATTTCTAGCAGCTTATACACTTTTCTAGTGTGATTTTAGCTGATAAACTTCATCCATGGAATCTATTTCTAGCATTTTATTGCCTAAGAATATATAGAAAAATGTATTCAAGTCTATAAATCATTCAAAAGTGGTCTTCATTAATTTACTTGGCTTTGTTTCTTGTGTCATTAGGAGTTTATATTCTATGTAACTTTGCCCAGCGGTTGTTCTCATGGACATTGCCATATCATTTGTTCAGAGCTTGATGATTTGAAATTTGTATTTCTTTTGAAGGCTTCATAGATGACTTGACAAATTGATCCTAAAATTTCTAATATAACTTTATACAGTTTGCAGGAAGTGCATTTATGATAAAATTACAGACGAAGAACTGGAAAGCTGTCCAGTATGTGACATTGATTTGGGCATTGTTCCACTCGAGAAAATGAGGTCAGTACTCTTAGACAAATTGCTGAGTCAACCCCCTCTTGTTGTGCCTTTTCTTCGAAAAGGGGGGGGGGGGGAGGGGAATAAAAACCCAAAACCCCTTTCTTCTACTTTGACATGGTTGTAGGTTGTTAAATATGCATCAAAGGTGTTGCTTTAACTTGATATGTAGTGCCAACAAGAGATTTTGTTTTGCTAGCCAATCATTGTTTCAAGGTGGCTAAAATAAAGATAAAAGATAGATCATTTCTTCAGAGAATACAATATATTGTTGATGTATCTAGATATGCACTGTTAATCTTTTCTAATACTTCTGATTCTCTAACATTTATTGAAACTCATCGGGGAAAGAAAAAGGACCTCTAGGTTGGTATTTGCTGCAACACCATGCAAGAATGAGAATTGCTGATGCTATGATGGTGCTACCAAGATAAAGTCATCAATTTCTTAAATTTCATCTGAAATAATATACATTCGATTTGACATGATAATTTACCTACTATTTTAATAGTATGTTTGCAGTTTTTTGTCAGAAGTTTTCCTTTCAAAAATTTCACTTCTCTGATACAACGCATAGAAAATATCAAAGTATTTAAGGTGTGTAAAACCAAAAATTAAGGCAACAGAAAACAATTGTACTTTACCTCAATCAGATTACTTTCAATAAATTTTCATCTGAAATTTTGATTGGAAACAGAATGATGAGGGAATAGAATAAAGATAGTTGTAACTCCATTTATAGATGGAATGGCTGACATAGTTGACCCCATTAGGTGGGATTTAGAATATTTTTTAGTTGCAAATGTTGAAGTTTAATTTCTTAGTTTTCCTTTACCTTAAAAAGAATTCATTTCATTTTATTCCAAAGGAGGATGCTATTGTTTGCAGTCCTTGCCCAAAATTGTCATATTTATCCTATTAGCAGAGGAGTTTGATCATAAAAAACTATTATAGAACTTGACAAACATATAAAGCTGAACTTGGATCAAACAATGGAGGCATTAGGATTGGTGAATTTGTTAGATGCTCATAACAGATGATAGTAATGAGAACAATCTCAAGCAGATATAGCAAACTGGTAAAACTTAAAAAGAAAAGACTTTTTTTTTAGCTGCCTTCATCACCATTCCTTATGTTTAGAGTTTGGTATTGACGCACACAGCTAAGTTGCAGATCTTGTTTTCCAATTACCAGGCCAGACAACAGTTTACAAGATTTAAGGAACAAAATTTTCCCTTTAAATAAAAGAAAGGTGAATACAGCTGTAGCTGTTCCCTCTGTACTATTACCAGCTAGAAGAAAGGAGAGATCACTTTCATCTTTGGTTGTCAGCACTCCAAGGGTATCTACACAGTCAACCATGACAGGTAGAAGAACAAAACCTACAAGAAAGGCTAGTACCATGCAGTCCTCTAGTTTCTCCATTGAAAAGATCATTAAAAAAGAAGAGGAATTGCTGGAAGATCGCCAAGATAGTTCAAGCTCACCTAACACTTCAAACAAATCTGCTAAGAATAATGGGCAGGTAGGAAAGGCAATCAGGCTCCTCATTGTGCTCATCATATATATGGTTCTGTTTACTTAGGTTTATATTTTTGTTATCTTGGTTCATTTGTTTTCCCTGATTGTATTGCATTTCTTTAAAATGTTCTTATATTTTTTATTGGTGTAGAGTTTGTCCCCTTGTAAAAATAGCCAATCCATATACAATAGAGGACCAGAGAATGTTGCTGAACCACAGGAAGCAAAATTGGATCTTTGGAAACCTTTGAATTATTTAGTGGAGGCTGCAAGTAGGAGTAAGTCTTTTAAGTCTAATGTGCAAGTGTCTGATGCTAAACAAGAACCCATGAAAGTGATGGACAGTGATTCTCAAGTGTTGAAAGCCAAAAATAAGGAAAATAAACGCAAGGCAAAATTTGAAGATGCAAAGATTAGTGTTGATCATGTCTCTTCCGATACAGCAAAAACCAACAAATTGCGAAGAGTTCGCCCAAAAAAGGAACCTGATTTTGGAGAATCAAGAATATCACCTCAAGCTGTTCTGGATGCTACTGACAGTAATCTCTCATGGAATGATTCAATTTGGTTCTCCTTAGTGGCTTCTGAAAACCAGTGAGAAAAAATAGCTTTGCAAATTAAACTAACCAATTATATCTTGAAATCCTGTAATTATTATATACATTCAATAAATCTTTTTTATAATATTTCTATACATATTAATTTTGGACTATTGTTTCAGGGAAGGAGATGCACCCTTGCCCCAAATTTGTTCAAGTTATGTAAGAATCAAGTAAGTTCCTCCACGTTTACTGCACCCGCATAGACTTTTGATATTAATTTATTATATCCTTTTAAACAAAACGTTTGCCTCAGAGCAATGCGACTCCTTCTGCACCTTCTTTTCTAAAATGAATGTGATTACATACTTAGTTATTCATAAATATTTATCTTTATGTCAAGCCCACCTCCAGAGTAAATTTTGTGCAACTTATTGAATCACCTAAAATGAAGTAATCGGTTTGACCTTTGGCTGATCATTCCATCAATTATATTGAGAGGAAATAAAACACAGAACATGTGCAGATCAAGTTAATATGTTAGTTATTTTAGCATAACACAGGAAAAAGGAAATGGCAAAATAATAATAAAGACCGGTGACTGTCTGAAGAAAGGAAAGAGGCCATGAATGTGGATAAAATGATTGGCTATGTGGATTTTAAAGTAAGATTTTAACAACTCGATAGTCACATGGAGATTCTTTCACCCTCCCTTCCCATCAGTCAATGGAGCATATGATCTCTCTCTATCTCTCTATCTCTCATTCATATATATATATATATATATATACATACAGTTTTCACTTTCCATTTACCCATATGGAAACATGCTTCAGAAATTGATTTTGCTTAATATTTGCTGCTCCTAATGTTTCTTGTAGCTCCAACTGAACTGTGATTTTGCATCTGTCTCTTCGTTTGGCCACAGGAATGGAAGCATGCCTGTCTCATTTATCCAAAAATTATTGATGAAGAAACTAGACCTGAAGAGTGAAGATGAGGTAATTTTCTTTTTGGATATGTACAATACATTTATGTGATTGGGGAATGTATGGGCCTGTTAAACAGAGAGAGACATTTCTTTTAATATAACTTCTAGTTCCTACACCTAAACATGGTGGTCCTTATATATAATTAAGGAAAAAGGAAGAAAATGTTGTTGAAATTCTAATTCTAACTACACAGAGCTTCCTTAGTGTACATGATTATGGTAGCAACTTGGATTCACATCACTCTTTTTGTAACTTGGGCACTGCTGAGGGTTAAAAGCAAATTGTGCTAGTTTACATGTTACTCAATAGTAACTCTTTTTAAGTTACTTTTCTTGCAGGTTGAGATTAAATGCATGGGACATCCAGTGGTTCCTTCACTTCAGGTACAAAATTTGATTGAATTATGGGTTGATACAGCATCGACAGGACGTAGAATTCCAGCAACCATAGGATCCTCAGGAAAAGATTTTGTAATGATCCTAACCTATGGTCGGAAGGTCCTACGCCGTTGATCGTGCTTCCCTATTCTGCCCGCCCTCTCATGTTTATAGTTGCTTCAAAAACGTCACAGAATAAGTGCTTCCCCAGCACCATGTTTGTGTACTTCAATCACCGTGTTTCCGTTAGGCACGCCGTTATGGAGGATAAGATAGGTCAAATAAATTGAGTAAATTGACTTTAGAATGTAGAGTACCATGCTGTTCTGTCGGGCATTGTTGTAATCATTAGTTTCTGATTTTTCAAGAGCTGCCTTTTGTTTTCAATAGCTTATTTCAATAATTAGACATAAATTGCTTCATACTTATGGCTTCTCCAATGATTGACACTTTAATTTAGATATATTATTTTCTTTCGGTTTATAATATGAATTACTTATCCAAGCAAACAATTGCAAATGAAGAACAGAATATCGTATTATATCATCCTGTTCATTTTGTTTATAATGGCAGGTACCAATTTATGGGCAAAAACTTAGTTTGAGCATGTTTAAATTCACATTTAATATCCTTTTAACGTTATTAATCGTAACTTTTATATTGAATACACATTTCCAGATTCTTTGCGTGTTTGCAAACGTCAACGTACATTATATTGGGCAAAATCCTTTGGTACTTCATCATGTAGTCGACTATCCACTGAAATAAAATTTAATTACTGTTATTGTGCTTCATCCTAATGAGATAGAAAACTATAGTACTTTTTAATTTCACAACCATGCATCAATGAGAAGGTGGTGGTGACGCTTTAGAAATATAAAACCATTCATGCCTTCACCTAACAGTATAAGCAACTGAAAGAGTTGGTTCTTTAGAATCATGTATCATTGCCACCCCATTATTCATAATTAAGTTGAATTTCTGCACAAGATAGAGTAAGCATGTGCAAGGGCAGCAAGGCTCTTACATGAAAAGTTTGATCCCATCTACCATTACCATTCTAATAAACAGTTAAAAATCAGATCAAGATAAAGTGGACTTGCTCATTATTCACGGTTTAAACCCGAAGGGCGCTACAATGCAAGAACCAACTCCCCAAAAGCTTAAGTTTCAAGCTTAAGTCTTTTAGGTGAAACCTCGTGTTTATTATACTTCTAGCATGCCCTTTCAGACTATACCATATTAAGGAAAACCAACTCTCCCAATAGCTAAGCAATTAGATGAAGATGCATAAATGGCTTTCATATCTTTGTCTTTAACATGATATATGCTAAGGCATAGTGTTCAGGTAAAATAATCAAATTTTCCAAATAGAACAGTCTAATCTGGGAGTAAGTGTGGAACAAACTTACAAGATATATCATAATATTATATGGAACATGAAGATATTATATATTTTAAAGCTAAATATCAAATATACATTTGGGAATTTAAAAGCCTCATAGTTTGAAAAAAACAAAAAATTCATTCCTGTTTTCACTAATGAATACAAAAATGATATCTAAGTTTTAATTTATTTATTTTAAAAAATTACACAATAAAAAGTGAAAATAAAATGTTGGTTTCACTATTTCTTATATACACTTGAAAACAAGGCAACCATTTTTTATTATTAGTGAAAACAGAAAATGAAAACAAAAAGAATGTTTTCTCAAACCAAATATATCCTAAGATTCTGTAGATTCAAGTGCCTCCTATGGTTTTAACCAGAGAATGATGAATTGGCATTCCATGGTTCTCATCTCAATTTTTAAACACTTAAAAGTTTCAGTGCTTTACTCACACAGGAGACTAAAAAAGGCTCCGCAATGCATCTTCACGGCATGACACATGCAAATTTAATTCAAAAAAATTGAATCTCATCTCAAAACAACAGCACTCCAGGTGACTCCATTGAACAGTATAACTTGAAGTTAAACTACCAACAACATTATGTTCTTAATATGATAATGATTTACTAAGAAAAAGAAAAAAGGATAAAAGGGGCAGTAGGATTGCAAACCGAAATGCACAAGGTCATCAGGTCGAGAAACAACAAATGAATAACCATATCAATTCACTCATGAAAGCAACCAAAATCGATCTACCTTTACACTTGATTAGAAAAACAAACAAATCTAATCCACCATTACTAAACCTACCACAATTGCAAAAGCATATCCAACCAGGCGATATATTGAATTAGAACTCAAAATACACAAATTGAATGCTTCATTCTATCCAAGAATCTACGCAGGGTTACAAAAACATAAAAAGATAAATTAAAAAAAAAAACAACAAATGAACCATTCCAACCTAACAACACGGTGAGTAAAACTATCATATGCAAAGAACCCCTCTCAATAACGCATCAACACAATTAACATTTTTGTGTAACCAAATACTAAAAAAAGAGCTCCTATTTCTGCAATGCAAGTAATCGAGAAAAAGAACAAAATCAGCAATGCTATAACTATATTCTAGTGTACCCTGTTCGCTTGGTGGGGCTACCACCAACAACCGAAAGCAATCCTCCATCGGAAACCTCCAACTCGTCCACGTACAAATCCTCGGTGCTCCGAAAAGCCGCATGCAAAGCAACCACCGCAACCGCAATCAGAAATGACACCAACACGTTCAACCAAACGCCGGTAAGGACGAGCGCCACCACCGTAATGGCGTAGAGCACCGCCACGAGGAAGCGGTCGTCGACGGTGCGGTGGAGCACGACGACGGGGCGGTCGCGGAAGAAGAAGAGGAAGAACCAAGCGACGAAGACGACGAGGAAGACGATGAGAGAGATTGGATGCCAGAGAAGGCTGAGGAAGAGGATGAGGAGCGCGATCATGGCGTAGTTCACGCGGAAGTGGCTAAGGTTCCGTTTCATGCGGAGAGTGGTTTCGCCGAGGGAGTAGGGCCGCGTGAAGGAGTAGAGAGCAAAAACCTCCTCCCAAGGGCGGCGCGTGTGGAAATCGAATGAAGTGGGGGCGCGTGTGGCAGAATAAGGCGACGTAGAGGTTGAAGGGATTGAGCTGTAACGTGGTGAAGGTGGTGAGGGGTTAATGGAAGACATGGCATCAAAGTTCAATCAAAACCCTAACCCTAAACCTAACACCAACCGGAACCTGAAGTTGAAGTTGAAGTTCCGGGTGTTCGAATCGGAAGCACGTTTTGAAGGGAAGCTCCTTCGTGTCGTTTTGGTGGTAAAATCCGCGTTTAGACTGCTTTGACTGTTGTTTAGTTTCAAGGCAACGACGTCGGCAACGGAGTCTTACCATATAAGGCTAAAACTCATCATTTTTTTCAATAAGAAATTAATTGTTATCCAAATGCACAGTGATTATCTTAACTCTTATGTGAAGCTTTGAACTAATCCCAACATAAAAATCATAATAAACTTACCAACATAATGTCAACATGTGTGCCGATGCATAAGTCAGGACCTGAAAGCTTAATTGACTAGTGAGGTTTTATGGTCCCATTTTGTTTCTGCAAGTGGCCATTAAAGGTTTGTCCATGATATCATTTATATGCATTGTAATTTTCTATTTAATTGCAAAATATAAAGAAGGGCATTGAAAGAAGAGAAAATCAAGTGCCTCTTATGATCTTATCCGAGGTACCAACCATTGAACAGTATATAATTTACAAGTAATTGATTGAATCGAAGTTATTTAATATATTAAATGACTAAAATATATAATTCTATATTAATATAATATTAAAACTAAATAAAGAAAAATTATTTATGATTTATATTTATGTGTAATTTATTTTAAAAAATAAAAATAAATGAGATAAAATATTTTATTTTTTATATATTATCTTTTTCTTATTATAAATTTTAATTAATAAAATATATTTAATCTGTTTCTAGATCAAGTTTAAAAAATAACAAAATATTATAGTATAAATAAAAAATAGTTGCACATATAGTAATTTTATTTTTGTTGCTTCCGAGAAAGGTCCAAAAGCTAAGAGACAATGATAGATAAGATCAAAGAAAAATGTATTGTTTTATAGTTGTTATACTAAAGGTGATAACTGATAACTCAATGGTAAGAACTAATGAAACATATGTATTATGGAAAAAGTCGAATTCATGCAAATTTCCACATCTCCTCTCCCAATCTCCAATTTTCCTTTCTAATGAAAAAAGCCTAAAACAAAACTAAGGTTGATTTAGACAACACATTGTAGGAGTTTGAAAAGAATTTTGAGGGGAGTCCGAAATTCTTTCACATATCATGGAAGAACTTGTAGTTCTTGATATCTTCCACTATGAATCTAATTGCACCAATGCAACCCAAGATAGCAACAATTGAAAACCAGGTAGCTATTAAAATATTTAATGGTCGCATCAAAATGTCAATTTTGGAGCTCTGAGCTATGCTTCCAACCTTAAGGTATGCTAAAGCAGGGAACACAAAGTCAAGAGGAGTAAACCCAATTGCCCCGCATATGGACACAAAATCCCCAAAAAAGGGCATAGCTGCAGCAATAAGTGTAACAAGAACCATGTATATGGTAGTAAAAGAAACTCGTGCCAGGTGATTTCTGAGGGGAAATTTGCTACTAGATTCGTTGGACTTGGTTCCAATTCTTTCCTCAAAATAGTCATATGTTGGCCTGCAATATATCTGACAAGTGATGCAAGGAACTTTATTAATAAAGGTATTTGAACTATAATAGTTGGTATATTTAATAACCAAGGACTTGGAATTGATGTGTAACTAGTAAGTAAACCACAAGAAGTTTCAAAGAACACCACTCTTATATTGAAGTGCCAGTGATAGTACCTGAAAGCACCCAGATATTTGAAAAGCTGCAAATAAATTTGCCATAACAACAGTCCATTCTGGAATAGACAGTGAGGCTAAAATATAAGGTTGGACTTCTGATCCAAAGGCCCAGTATCCAGAAAAGGCCAATTGCCAGTAAGTCAAAACAATGACACCGTATGCTGCTGATATGCTTTTGTACATATTCTTCTTTGCAGGTTCTCTAAGTGTATTCTGGAAAGTAGTAGTGTTATAAATAGCGAAGTTTCCATGTTACTATGGAGGGGGAAAAAGAGTATATGTCAGAGATTAGAAGTATTACATACCTGTATTTCTGGAAGCATTGCATCACCAAATGAAAAGGCAATGGTCCCAAGGGCATTGAAGGCTTTGAATGCCTTGGAAGCAGAACTCCCCTGCAAACTGTAACTTATTGATGTTCTGTCAATCTTCTTCCCTAAGAGATGTTGGAGACCAAAAAGCTAAATTTGTTATCACCATGAAATCAACAGGAGGAATCAATCAGGTGTTAAGGAAATGAAAGAAATCCATCAGTAGCCTACTATTACCATTGTAAAAGATAACACCAATGGTGGTACCAGCAAAGCCAATTGTGCTGAAAGTGCACAATGCATTTACCCATCTCAGTGAATGAATATCAGGAAGCTGAGAGAGTAGTAGTTCAAAGATTCCAAAGAAAATAATAAAATGCTGCAGTGTCAATCTTCCATCCTGGTGATAGTACTTGTAAACTGCCTGTACAAACAAGGAAATAGAACATTCCCCCCCAACAAAGAGAAAAAAAAAAAAAAGAGAATAAATGATTTTTTTGTTCATTAAGAAGATATAAATGAAGACCAGAAAAGATGGACACTTTTAACATTTGTCCTATCACTCCACAAAGTCAGGTTAGATGCATAACCTTAAGGCTGCTGCCAGCTGCAATCTGGATGGCAATGTTATTCCCTAGAGAAGCTACCTGCTGAAATAGGGTAACGGACCAGTACCCCCAGAATCCTTCAAGAGTCATTAACAAGAAATCAAGAAGTTTACACTCATGGATAATATGAAGTATGAATTGTACAGTTAGCAGAAAGCTGGAGAAACTATATACTATGTACAAAATAAGGGGCTCAGCATAATTGTATGTATCCACATGTAATAGGTTAAAAGCAGAGATATCTTCACTTCTTGAGCCTTCATTTTACACTCCCCTATGGATTCTAACTTTGTATAGTTCATATTAGAAATTAGTAGGGAAAATTTTATGAACGGCTCCGTTAGGGAAGCTATTTGCAGTATTTTATTTTTTTAATAAACCCGACATCAATATCAATAAATAATACCAACCGAAAATGCTATGTGCAAGATGTCTATAGGTGAGGTGCTTTTCCCCGTTCCATTTCCACAATGAAGCGATCAAAATGCTAGAATACCAGGTGGCTAGTGTAGCACTCACCAGACTACTCACACCTGAAATCAGTAAAAAGCCCTTCATACTTTCACGGAGACTGCCAGTTAGATGAATATATCAATTTTTTCTAAGTATTATGCACGAACACCAACAAATAAGCAGCATAACAATATAGATGAAAACTTAAAAATAGTGGCTTGAAAAAGACATGAATAAAGATAAAACAGACGAGGACCCTCGCGGAGCAAAAGAGGGTTTTAGAATTTAGACCAATAAGGATGCTAATGCTAGTATAACGCTTCCCATTTTTAAATTATCAGTATTCAATATGTAACATGATTACTTATAATGAATAACGAAGTTATTGTGAGAAAAATTGGATGATCCATTCCATCGTGTAACATTTTTGAGTAGTCATGGGATGATCATTAACTTTTAATCCAAATCATATTATCAATACAACTCTTATATTTTTAAGTACACTTTGTTTCATATTCATTTTTCACTCTTTCCCTTTTTATGAAATTTTTATTTTCTTTTTTTCTTATCTCTCTTTTTTCCTCCTACACAACACTAATTAAAATTGAAGTTTTACTTTAGTAATATGTATAATAAATATCAACATTTAAAGTTAGCACAATTAAAACTCAAATTTTAATTAGAGAAAGATATGCACCTATATTTTGAAATATTATTATTATATATGTGCTGTAATGCTTCTGGTTACTTATAGTGTTTATAATTGTCAAGATGAAGCATAAAGAAAAGAAGGTGAGAGAAATTAGAGTGGAGAGAAGAGATAGAGTGAAAGAACTAACCAAGAGGCCAACCGAGAGAAGCAAGGGCGAAAGGCAAAGGGGCATAAGCAGCAGGAGTGGCAATAGTAGTGGCAACATGAAAAGCCGCGTGCTTCCACGTTCCTTGACCACTCACTGTTTCTTCTGCTTCTCTCTCCACCGTTGAACCCATATCACTTTGCTTCTGTTCTTCCAACTCTCTATGTTATGTATTCAACATACAACCATGTTCATTCTGTCTTTCTATCATTCAAATTGGTGTTTACAACGTTAGTGTTCAAAAGCTTATTTGAGTATCCCATACATATTTTTCTTCTCCACGTTTGTTGACTTTTCCTTCCCTGCACTCTGTATCATGGACGCAAAGAAAGCCACGTAACACAACCTTTTGGAGTGCTTGACTTAATGGTGCCATGGAAAAGGCTGAGATTTTATGGGAAAGTAGGAGGAAGAAGGTAAATTATTAGATATTTTGTTTGGTTAATAGAAGGAGAGACGGAAAAAAGAAAAAATATATTATTTTTTAACGATAAGTAGATTATAATATAAATATTTTCATGGTTTATCTTATTTATAGGTCTCAAGTGACAGGTCATAATAAAGGATGCAATAATTATATCAAGTAATATGTCAAACAAGAACAGTAATGTGTAATCACAAAAATACTTAAAAATGACTACACTGACTGTTCACACCAGATAAAAAAAATGTAAAGTGAAAACTAAGGTTTATTTAGAAAAGAAAACGTTGTGATATAAATATAATATTTTAGTTTTTTAATTTAAAAATTTAAATATGATTTTGGAGAGTCAATGGGAAGCAAAAATTAAGTTTATAGAAATTTTAGTCCCTTTTGTTATCTTTTTTTTTCCTTAAAATTTATTAACTAAATATATAAGTTCATCTTCACCCCTCCAAATTTTTCCAGGCAAATACTATATTAGTGATAATTAAAATCAAGTCAAGGGGAGCGTCTAGAATCTTAATTTTGTAAAATTATTTTGTATTAAAATTGAGTTTAAAATGAATTGATCCATACATAATAAACTTTTATTTTACAGATAAACGTGTACTAAAATTTATTATAAAATTATCGACTCAGCAAAAAATTATATGTTATTATCTCTGATCAATGATGCTTCCAAGAACAAACTTAAATTTACTTTAATACAACTGAACACACCAAATTTACAAAGTCAAGTTTGTGTGCTTCAAATCATGTTTAATTAGGGAGCCGTAACATGCTCAAACATTATTTTTAAATTTAAGAAGATAAAATTATAAATATAATTTGACGCATCAATAACTTTCTAACATCATCTTCTTTTCAAAAGCTTCTACAATTGTCAAAAGGACACAGAAGATTTCACCTTCAACGTCTCATGGTTGTTATTTCACACATCCTGCAATGGAAACTGCCTTATCATGCTTTAGTCAAAACAGTAGAAATGATAAAATGGAAAAAATGGAATGGCAATAATCTGTATTAATCATAAATTGTCATATGATTACAAATTATTAATTTTTATAATCATTATTTTAAAAGTTTTATTTAGTGTAATTTTTAATTGATTGATAATAAAAGAATCTTATATTAATAGTGTATTAAATTAAATTCATAAATAGATATATCTTTATTAAGTTTAGTAATAAGCATATATTATTCTGATGGAGGGAAGAATTTATGAATAAGTTTTTGAAAAAAATTTAAATAAACAATTTTTCAATTTTTTATTTTATCATGTTCAATTTTATGTATTCTTCTATCTAAAGAATATATCGAATGTATAAAAATAACTATATTTCTGTTATTTATATTCATTTATATTAACAGCCGCTTTAAGAGTAATATTTTTATGCAGCGCTAATAATTTAATAAATATTTTTGTAATTCTAGAATATTTAGTTTATCTTCCTGTTATTTATTATTAAAAAAATTATTGTATTAAAAATATAATAAAAATTTGTTAATAAAAATTTATTACGTTTAAATATTCCTAAAAATAATATGAATAAAATCATAAGTTTAATATATATATATATATATATATATATATATATATAGATATAAGATACAAAAATGTTACTAATAATTATTTTTAATTTTTGAAATTTCTTGATATGTTTTAAAATAATAAAAAAATAAGAATAAAAAAAATAAATTTTAAAAATATAACATCACAGTGCAGTGTTAGACATTTTGATATTATATGATAAATAATAGTTTTTTTTATTATTCTAAAAACTTTGAAACGAGGCAAATGACGGATCCTCAATAATAAAGAGTTCTAATTTATATGTAAAGCTGATATTCGTTAAATATGAAAAACCTATATTTTATATTATTATAATAAATTTTAATTTTAACATGTGTTTAACAAATTGACAAAGGAATATAATATTTTATTAAATAATATTTTTAACATACATTAAAAACCTATTTTAAATTATAAAATAATATTTAATACATTTTTCTATAATAATTTAAAATATCTTTTTTACCGATTGTAAAACTCAAATTCAAAATCATAATAAAAATTGATTATGAACGTGAGCTATGGGGTCCACTGGAGTATGTTTATAATTCGAAGGTGGGTTCCACTCTTGAGCTTGGCTTCCCGAAACCCTCTTCTACGATTTTGAGTGTGAGCTGCGACCGAAGCAATGGTTTACGTAACTTCTTGGGACGAATTTGTGGAACGATCCGTTCAGTTGTTCCGTGCCGATCCTGATTCTGTATTTCCTTTTCTTCTAAATTCTTCTCGCATTTTTCATTTTTCATTTTTTCTACCCATTTTGTTATCTCAGAAATTAGAGCAACAAAAGCAAAATCCGCGCAACCAAACACTGCCTTCTGATATTGTATTTATCTTATCCTCGTTTTTTTAGACGCGGTATGTGATGAAGTACAGGCATTGTGATGGCAAATTGGTACTCAAGGTCACCGATAATCGACAGGTACTAATTCTTATCTATTGTCTATTATTATTATTATTATTATTATGTGTACCTGCTGTTTGATGATTCAATTCATTTTCTTTAAATTCAATTAATAATTACACGAGTGCTACTAAGGGTTCAATTATTTAAATATTGAAATTAAGACAATTGTTGTTTCTTACCCTATCCCTATGGAATGTGGTAGATGTCGAGGGTAAATAGAGATAAACCCTCAGTGATGTTGTTCAACAGAGCCCTAGTTACCTTGCCACTTACTAATCGGATTGATTTAGAGTTTACGATTCTCATCAATCTGCTTGTGTTAACTTTCTCTTTTTTAGAGTTCTGTTTACGTATATTGCAGCTGGGGAATTGTGCCATCTGTATCTGTATCTGTATCTATGTCTTTTAAGCAAGCAAAACGATTGCTGGAGAGTCATTGTTGACTGATGTAGTTCCTAGATAGGTGGTTTAGGTGTTAATGCACAAGATAACATCCGATTGCAGAAAGCCAGAAACCACATCCTTGTGAGATGCTTTGACTTGTTCTTTGGCAATCTAATTCTTACTAAGGATACATGAAGTTGAAACTCTTGTAGGATGCTAGTTTGGCCATGAGCATTGCTGAATTTAATTTTTTAAACTTCTGACTTGTTATAAATGTGGTCACATCACGGAGAGTATGACTCCATTTTTGTTCAAGGTTGTGTCATAACTGATATCACATGACGCCATGCAATATATGGAAACCATCATCCATTTTTTGTTCAAGGTTGTGTTAAATGCAAGGGTTAAGCTCCTCCTATTTTGAACCCCCCCCCCCCTCTGAAAATAATTCTTTTGATTGAATTTAATTCTATAACTTCTCTAATTGCGCCAACAATATCTATCAGTTTCTCGCTTTTTAAAATTCTTATTTTCTTTTCAAAATTTTCACGATGTAAATTATTTTTCTTACCTAAAACTCAGCAATCAAAATGACATATTTCGCCCAAAATTAGTAAAATTATAAATGTTCATCTGTAAAATCCTAACATCACCTTCTACAATACCATTTAAATTCGATCAAAATTCCTAATTTGAAACATATCTAATAATTTCTATCACAACTATGTCATAAACCTTCTATTTTTAAATAGAAAGTAAAGATGTAACTTGTGAGAGTTTTGAGTAGAGGAAAACTGATGGCATGTTTAATTGTATCAATTAAAAAAATTATATCAAACAAAAAATAATTAGAAGACAAAAACCACTTATTAATCATTGTAAAAATAAAAATATATTTGATTTTTTTATTTAATTACTTTTCAATAATGTTTTATCTATTTGCCATCCCACTTAAAATTATGTAGCTCCGCTGGGTCATGAGGTCGTGGAACAATTGTTAGTTGAGTATTTTCCCTAGATTTAGCTTCTTTCAAACATACATTCATTTTTACTCTTTATAAAGAACAATTAAAAAAACATCAGTCTAATTCATGGCATTGGGATATAAATCTGCCAGGTAGCTTCTATGTGTAGGAATTTGTGTATTATTAATTATATTTTTTAAGAAGGAAAAAAATACTAGGGACACATTCTCTAGTATATTTTTCTTAACAAATTCTTTATTGTTGGTTGAAATTTATTGAGAATCACAAAATTATGCAGATCTTACTCTTAATTTAATGATCCTCACTCATAATTTCATAGTTTCCAATAAATTTTAACTAGTAGTAGAGTGTATTACTAGTACTTCTCTTTATAAAAATATGAATGATGCTTCTCTTTTTCCCTCTTCATTTGACTGACAACTAAAGAGTGAAGACAGATTAGGCTTTAGGTTGCACCAACAAACCGAAGACTAATACAGCATCTTATGCCTTATACTAAGGATGATGGCATGATGCTTTCTCCGGGCATCTCCACTAGTGAAGGAATTAGTTCAGTGGCACTAATTTACTGAAGCATTATAAATCTTTTATATTCTTTTTTCCTTTAGGCACTGATGATGGATGAAAAGTTGTCCATTATTGGTGGTTCTAACATGTTCCTTTTATGTTGAGGTGCCAGAGGAAATAACCTTTAACAAATGGAGAATCCTAAGGTGCCATCAAAAGTTACACATTTCAAAACTTGTTTTTTGTTATAGGTGGAGGTATAAATGTATAAGTAAGCAAGATGTGATTCCTTGCAGCAATGAATTCTGTCATGACTACACTTTTTTCTGAGCCATTTTTCATGTATAGAATATATTTTTTGTTGCTTGTGTGAAGCCCATTGGTGAAATGATGTGCCACCATAAGCATATTACATGCACTTGGAACAAAATATTTTCTTCTCTCCCCTTTGCTGTCTCAGTCACATCTCACATATTATTGTTCCTAAAGTTTATTGTTATTGTTTTTCACTAGTGTCTGAAGTATAAGACAGACCAAGCACAAGAAGCCAAGAAGATGGAAAAGCTAAATAATATATTCTTTACTTTGATGGCTCGGGGACCAGAAGGTATGTCTTCATGCTTTGTTGATCAGCATACATTTGGGCACTTATTTGAAGAGGGATATATTTGTGTGAGAAATGATTTTTAAATTGCTTTCCTGTATAATTGGAAAGAATATTAGTAAGTAAAACTTTAAAGATGAGTGCATGTTAGGTGTTAGCCAGCTTAGGATATGCATAATGTTTTTACTACAAAGGTCACTGGAGTTGATAGCTTGTTAAACTGCCAATCTTTTCCATTGTAAACTAGTGTTTCTTGAAACCATGCTTAAAAGTTAGAACAGTTCCGTGGCATACATTGCCAATACATTTAGGTTCTTTTCCTGTTAGGAATGAGTTCTCACTCGTTTTGTTTAAAAATAATTTTAAAAAATTCCTCAAATTCTGCAGTGGATTTATCAGAAGTCACTGGGAAAGAACAAATGGATACACAACCGACCAAGAGAGGAAGAGGAAGGAAACAATAACTGATGTATCTTGCTCACAAAATAGTCTTCATGAATCTTAGGAAATCAATAATGATTTGATAAACTTTTTACTCCATTCCGAAATCTTACAGCATTGTCATTTACAAAACTCTCTGAATTCTCCTTTTTCAAATATTAATCTTGTCCCGAGTGTGGATTTGCCCACAACAAAACTATTCACACATTATTGGCAAAAATTGGCGTTACTTTTACCACTGCTTGATGTTGGTTAATATTAGCTTTAACTTTGATTTTCTGATGCAAATGCTAATATTCTACCTAAAACCATCGTCTACTTTGAACAACAAGAGTGGCTAAGGGTTGAGGAACTTGGGAATTACCTTTTTTTTTTTTTTTCTCACTTTCTGGTAGACGGAATCCAATTAGGTGGTGAAGGAGACAAATTCGGCTTTCAAGTGATTGCGACATTCTTTTTGTAGACGCCCAAGCAGCAGAGTTTGAGCCAAACATTTGTTGGGCTTGCAAGCTCTTATTTTTTCCTGATCTAAAATGGAAAACTCCTTAATCTTGTCTTGGGCTTCCATGCAAAATTGTCTAGAAATAAACCCAGTTTGATGTATACTTAAGTTTACATGCCTTTTGATCTGTTTCAAGCCCTTTGAGAAGTTTGCTACTAGAAACATTGACTAATTAATAATTGACACATTTGTATTCTAAATATGCGGGGACTTTCTTCATAATGAAAAGTTGCTCGCACACTGTATGTCACTCCAGAAGAGGGATGGCTAACCAACGATGACACTTTCCATTAGCATGCATATCAGTTTACTGGAAACCAAAAGCAGGCGAAGAACCCAATTCGAATATCAACAAATGGAGCTTGCAATATTGCTGTTCAGGCATTGATTATACTTGGGTGAACAATATCGTAAAACGCATAACTCAAGTAGATGAAACTGTGGGTCAGTCATCACAGATAATTATGCAAGTATCTCACCAAAATTTCAGGTTCCAAACATGGTCGTACATGAACAGTCCTGAACCTGCTTCACCAGATCCCGATGTTGCGTATTTGCTTTTATCTGCTTTCTTGGCCCATTAAAAAGTTAAAGCATTAAATCCATGTGCCATGAAAAAAGCTTGTAAACTTGTATCCTTTTTCCCCTCCCATGAAAGATTGTAAAGATACAAAGGCAATTTGGAAAATATTCTTCAATCAAATAAAGGAAAACAGATGGACAGAATGTTTTTTTGGTGGGTAATGTGCCAGGACAAAGTGCATAAGTTTGCTTTATTTTTATTGTGATTTGTTCCAAGTTCAGTGGGCGCCCTAGTCTCCAAGGCCGAGGGGACTATGGCCACTAGTAGGAGTTTAGTATCAATGACTGTTACTTCTCTATTCCAAGGGTTATAAAGCGATTGCTTCCTTTTGTAAAACTCTCACCTTTATGACATCATTGAAGGCTTGGATGTTAGTGCACAAGTTAGTTCCTTGATCCTACAACAAGAATGCTATGACGAGCGAATTAATTTTAAGAATCAAAGCTTTTAGGATTCCTTCCAAGTGTAAAAAAAAATGTGTATGGAAAGAAAAACAAGACTGAGAAGAAGCTAATTATGATTTGGTTGAAGGAATATAAGAGATGCCTGTTGATTTTGAAAAGAATGATGATCAAGAATATGCCACTTTTGGCCACAAATAATAAAAAGAAAGGCAAAATGAGAATATGCTGTTTCTACCTATGGATGATGTTGAACAATTGGTGAATATCTCATAATGTGTGGTGCTTAAAGGTGAAAAATATGTTTGTCAGTTCAACACATGGTGAAGTATAAAAGTTTTAAATCTTTGATCACTGTACTTTCTTGGTTAAAGTTGCCTTTTGGATTTTATATATCTATTTTCATCTTAACTGGTTCAAAAAGACTTATGTGGTGTCATTGTCTTTGTTTGCTTATCTTTTAATCTTTCTATTTTCAATTTGAGTTTAGTCTAGGAATCCACCTTTGAATGTACTTGGTAAAGAAAGTTAAAATGAAATTACAAAAAAAAAAAGTAAAGAAAATAAAATAGGAATGGAAAATTTTTAATTTTGTTATTCAATACATGGTAAAAGGCTCAATGATTCATTTATTTTCATCTCATTTTCATAACTTCATTTTCCTAAATTGAATTATTATTTTTGTCCTAAATTTTAGAAGATTTACTTCACAGTCTCTTTCTAGTTGTGTCATTTATGACTTGTATCCATTATAAAAAAATATATACATGACTTGTGTATGTTTAGACTGATGATGCTAACATCATGAAGTGTGACAAAACTTCGGTTAAATTCTCCAATTTAAGGTTCTTGACTTATAAAATATAAAAATCTATAAAATCTCAACAAGTTTATTACCTTTCTGTTTTTATTTCAACTCCCAAACTAGTCCTAGAAAGATTGTGGAAAAAAATGAAATTACGCATTGCAATGTTGAACTAGATTGCACTTTAGAAGGTCAATGCAATTGTGCTTTGTTTCATTTGAGTGAGAGACAGTGGAATACGCTTTGATTGATTGATTCTTGTAGAGTTGTGGTGTACAATGTGCTACGAAACCCCATTGGGTGAGTTTTTGCATTATGACAAGATGTGGTCTATAAGGAATGTAGTCTTGTGGCCTCCAAATAGAAGCAAAATTTAGCTATACTGTAAACCCTTCGTTACTTTCTTGTGTCAAAGACAGGGTCACTTTTTCTACCGTACAACATTCTGCACCAGCTTCCTATGTCGTGCAAGGACTCTCCACTTTTTCATCACTTCTTACATGAGTTAATATTAATTTATGTACCTTAATTTTTAAACTTATCTCAATCAACTTTTTTATGAATATCTATAAACATTTTTGTTTTTAAAAACATCTTAGCAAATAGAATTTCATAATTAAAAAGTTTTCATAAGTTTAAAGTTTTCATAACTTTGGAACAACAAAAAAATACTAGATTGACAATTCATGCAGTCCGGAATTCTTTTGTTATGGTTAAGAAACCTTTAGACCACACAGTTTTTCACCTGTACAAAATTCATATATATAAATAAGTAATTATATTAAGAATTTTGTTAACTTCAGCTTTTAAGACATATTTTAAACATTCATAAATAAAATTTTATTAACAAAGATATTTATTACACTTTTATAATTTTAATATAATAAATTTATATTTTTTTATATAAAAGTATAATAAATATCTTTGTTAATAAAATTTTATTATTTTTAATTATTTATTCTTGATTCAAAATTAACAAAAACCTTATATTAATTATAAACATATTCATATAAATAGTTTAAGTAACATTAAATCTGCTTAAGCTCATTCTAACAAAGCATTTTTCACTTAGATTAAAAAATTGGTAAGAATTTTATTTTTCAAGTACACTCTCAATAACTTAAAAGTTGAGATAAAAATAAGATAAAATTAAATTCTTGTATCATGTGAATCGAGATTAGTCATTATTGCATACGAAGTAAGATCTTTTCCAAGTTTCCTAAACAAAGTGTGCAGTTTAAATTAAACAAATAAAGAAATATCTCATTTTCATGATTTATAAGATAAAAGGAAGTTAAACCAAAAAATCAACTCTATGAATATTGAGCATTCTAATCTAATCACCAAATCAATGCTGTTAAGAAGGAGATCCTGCCTTGATAAAGTGATAGCATTAGCATGTGCCATTTGTCAACTGATAGAAGAAAAGTAAGGAATGAGGCAATGATTAGTTGGCAAAAACCAAAGTGAACTGAACCAGAGAGAAAAAGGGATGAGAGCATGGACAACCCACAAAACAAATATTAACAAGTAACAAAACTAACAAAATATAGAATCTAAAATGTAATGAAACTTAAATAAGAGGCATTGGTCAATATATCATAAAGTGGGGACATATTTCCTTGCCCCCTTTTGGGATAAAATTCAATGGATTGATTGTACAAGCATAATTAACTAAACAATGGTTTTAATAATAAGACAAATTTAGCATCAATTGCACATAGAATAAACTAGTCATTAACAATAGTGTGAACAAAGCCACTTAGAATTTATTCTCTCGCATGATAGGAAATTAGGAATAGAATTCAATTAAGCTTGCGTGTGTTTCAGTCATAAAACGAGACAAATGCTTGACCCAAAGAGAAATATGCTCTTTAGGTAAACTACAACCATATGAGCTATCATCCAAATAATCTAAATATCATTAGGCACCAATATGTAATCTTAGTAGTTAAGTCTTTTCTCTTAACAATCTGTAAAATACAATTCCTAGTGTGGTTGTTTCCCCGGTTGGAGCATATGCTATTGACATAGCTAGCTAGCCTAAGATTAATGATGGCACCAACCTTTCCTCTTTCATTTTAATTAATCAATCTTTCAAATTTAAATATAACCCAAAAAATATCAATTCATTCAAAGAAAAATTATTACTAATATATATAATTTTTAATAAATTTTAACTAATTTATTAAAAAGTGTATTAACAATGCTTTTCTTTCCTCGGATCATGCATTCATTTGCCTATATATTCTTTATGTGTGTCCTTTGTTAATAATCACTCTATTATATTTATCTGGATCTAACCAAAGAGAGAGGAGAAAAAAAAGGTGAATAAATGAGAATATGAGTGAGCAATCACTATGAGTTAGTGCAAGATTGGTCTAATCCAACATAGTGTGGTGGCATTGGAGAATGAAGATTGAGAAAAAGGGGTGAAGGGGTTATATTAAATAGATAATCAAAGTAGTTATCCACTTGATTACACAAACCCACTTTACACCAAAGGGAGAGGCTGTGGTAAAAGAAAAGTCAACGACTGGGCCCTGACTTCAGTTCCGTGTCAGTCAGTCACCGAAAGAATGGTGTTCCCATGGCGCACGGTAGCAATGTGCGTACGGTAAGGGCAGTCAAAGAGAAGCACTAACTTGGGATACGCGTGGCCACCTTTTCTGCTTATCTCTTATTCGTTGCTTTTTCTTTTAATGCTTATTTTTTTCAAAAGATAAAAATTCCCACACACATTTTTTAATAAGGCCTGATTTCAAAAAGTTAATTTAGACACTGGGTTGACAACATGTTGTTAATTTAGTAAATATATTTTCTTTTAAATAATTATTTTAGCATTATTAAATAAAATATCTATATTAAAAAATTATGAAAATGTCTATTTTACTTTTTAGTAGGTATGGTGATGTGCAATTTACATTTCTTAAAAAAATTTAAAAATTATGAAAAAAGTGTAAAACAAAAAATATTATATTATCTAACCATTCAATTTTTTATTTTAAAAAATACTTTTAAAAATTTCAATCACAAAAGAAGAGATTACAAATTTTTAAATACTTTTTATTTTAAAATATAAAAATAAATAAATAAATTTTATTTTAAAAAGTATAAAGTATTGCATTACACATTTTTAAAAGTTAAAATTTAAATTATTAAATATATAAAAAGATAAAATAAATTTTCTGACATTGAAAAATAGTTTTACATTAGCAATTTTTTGAAACTAAACTCACTTTTTTCTGCTTAACGAAAAAAAATGTTGGATATTTTTATTTTATACAAATTTTCATATGTGTGTAATTTTAGGGTTTGCTTTGACCTAGGCTATGGACTGTACATATATGATTAGATTGGCATTTAAAAAATTTTGTAACATACCTGATTAAAACAAATGAATTTGTTTACTAACAATTAAAAATTAAACAATATTGTTAAATAAAAGATATAATTAATTATATTTTTAATTAAAAAATATGTGCAATTTGAAGTTTTATTTTTTAAGGTAGTTATTAAGGTTTTTCGTGTTATTAAATTAATTTTTTAAATTAAAATTATTATATTATTTGTTTAAATTTAAAAAATAATTAATTTAATAACATATATTAAATAAAATAAAATCAAAGATAAAATTTTTAAATTATAAAAAGTATTAATAGCAAAATTAAGATTAACTTAAAAATAAATGTTTAATATAAAATTTTATGGTATATAAAATTAACCTTTTTAGACCACAACTCTCATTTGTTAAAGCAGATTTTGAGATTTAAATTTAAAATTATAATTTAAATAAGAATAATTCTCTACTAATTAATACACGTGTTTAATGGTATACAAAATTAAATTTTAATTTTTTATTAAATAAATTTTTACAATTTCTTGATTATAAAACTATGTTAAATAATTTTATAGTTGGAAATTTAAAAATGTAAAAATAATAAATTTTATTACATTAATACTTCTAATATTTGTTGTTGTTGTTGTGCTTCTAATAATTTTTAAAGACAGTCTTTGTGTTTGTGTGACTTGCCATTGCTTCCTCCACCCCTTCCCTTTTTTCTCTAAGCTTTTATTTTTGTTTCATTTATGGGATAGAAGGTTGGAATTCTTTCTCTCAGTAGGCTCCAAACTCAGCTGAATTATTTCAATTTTGCTGCATAAAATATTTGAGGTCTGCATGTTTTCCCATGTGTGTTTGTCTTCCAAAGTCAAAAGCGTTATCAACTACATTTGAATTTGGAACTAATAATTCCAATGGAGTTGTTAATTTATGTTACTAATCTCTGTAAGCATAATAAAAAGCAAGAGTAAGCTAATGTATAGGTTTTAACATGTTCAAATTAAACTGTTATTTTGGGACTCACAAAAGTAGCAAGAATATCATCATGACTCAGATAATGCAGCAAAATCTTGCAATATTTATAGAAGCCAATCATTCGTTAAACCCTTACTAATCTTTGAGAAAAATTTTCATTAACAAGTGACAAATAAATGGAAATAATTATCTAAGAAGTTTTGAAGTATTATAGAACCATTGAAACAAAACTCAAATATATATTATAGAAGCCAGTGGTGTTCAAATATTTAAAGTGTCCCTAGGAAACCACCATATTCCGATGCTCGTTACAAATTAAAAGATCTTTCAAAAAATTTACATAATTGCTTTATTAAGTTAAGTATTATTGTGCAATATTTTACCATTACAGGTTAGATTATTTTAATAGTTTAGTTTTAAAAAATGCTACTTTTTGTATCATAAATATTAATATTATAAAAGCAATCATATTATATGAGTTTTGCAAAATAAACACATAATATCATGGACAAGACAGTCAAAATGTGGGAAATAACTTTGGGAACATACATATATCAATAGTATTTGTTGAATAATATTAATGAGAAATGTTAATCAATTATTTTGTGCCACTTAAAGAAGTGATTTCTTACAAATAATTAAGTGGTGAAACAATGTTAGGAGGCTGTATAAATTTGATTTTCCAAATGGGAGAATTAATTGTTAGTCAATAGTGTGTTGAAAAAGACAAGTCTAGCCATTAGCCTTTTGTTTGGGTCTTTGTTTGCTTGCTAGAGACTGTATCTTTCTCTATTTTAAAATCAACTTCTAATGTCTAAAAATGTTAGATTGGATCCACTAATTCAACCGACAAATTAGTATATTAGTCAAATTTTTTGTCCTTTCACCGAAACATTTTTAAATCAGAGTAAAATGAATGATAAAATTATAATTTGAACCAATCATTTTAATTTGATTTTAATTTTTTACTCAATTATATTTAAAAAAGAATAAAAACCTTATAAGAAGTTATATATTTAATTATTACAAATTTAACAATGTTTAAGTTATGGCTGGATCAATAAACTATATATTAATATTTTTATCAATTTAATTATCAATCTAATTTTTTAAACATAATTAAATACAAATTACTAAAATAAACTTCCAATCATCACTAAGGTGAGTAATTTTTACTAATCTTAAAATGAGGAATATCTTGTTGGTCATAATTTATATAGATATAAAAAGGGAGGTGATAATTTTAACATTTGGGACAAGTCTCATTAATTTTTCAAACTATTATACATTTTATACGGTATCAAAATAATTATACCACGGTTTACAGTTGGGTTTCTTTTCAAACTACGACTCAACAACCCTTCGTACTATTATTAACTTTATATAATATATATAGAAAATATATTAATTCAAAAATAGTAGAAGCATTACTAAATAATCATACACACACACAAAAAAAAAAGATAAAATGAAGATAAAGAAAACTTATTAGTCAGTAAATTAAGAGATAAATTATTTCTCATACACAATATTATTAAAAAAAATACCCCATTTAATTTTCACTTTCTAACTATTTTTTTCCACATTAAATTCTAACTATTGATTTACTATTTATATTAGTCACCATCTAATTATTTCATGTTTTTAATTGTTGCGTTAGTAATAATCTTTATATTGAATTTAAATATTTAAAAATAATATTTTACTAACAAAATATTTTTTATATTTTAAAATGATAAATAATTTTTTTAATTATTTAATTTTAATATTTTGATTATAAAAACATTAATTTTTATTTGTAAATTTAAACAATTAATAACAAGAACGTGTAATGAAAAAATAAATGTATATACTTTATAACATTAATGCAAGAAATATAATTTATTTTACTAAAAGATTATTATCCTAAGATATCTAAATTTTGTCTTTAAGAATTTATATTAAATTAGTATTATTACTATTATTATTTACCAAATTATGATTGTAGCACTTGAACAGGGAAAGCACACATAGGAGGCTGAGGCAAGTCCAAAAGAAGAAACTGGAATGAAAATGTGAAAGAGAGTGAGGAATTGAATTGATAAGGGGAAGAAGTAAAAGTGAAGCTGAAATGGGTAGGTCTAAGAAAATATTAATTAAAGCTGAAATGAGGGATGAAAAAGAATAACAAAGGTCTTCGGGTGGGACCCTCCTTCAAATCTGTGACAGTGACAGCAGCTTCATTTCTCAGCTCTTCCTTTGTGCATTTGCTTATTTAAACTAACTCCCCTTTCTGCATCTTCTCTCTCTCGCCAGAGCTACAATTTTAATAATATATCTTTTTTCTTTTAATTTTTGTTGCTGCTTAGGACTTTAATATATATTTCTATTATATATATATATATATATATATATATACTCTAAAGTTGGAAGCTTTGTATTCTTATGTATGATGGTTGTGTGAATTCTCAAGCCAAGCTAAGTCCTCTCTTTCACACCTTTCAATCTCAAAACCATGGCAAGAAGAATCTAGGGTTTCACAGCACCAAGTCCATCAAGGTCTGTGCTTTGGTGCTTTTTCTTAGTTTTCTTTTGTTACTGGGAAATTGGGTCGATTTTTCTGAAGGTGGAGGCACTCTCGGTTGGTTCTGATTCGCCCCGTTTTTCTTTATTTCCAAAAATTAACCTTTTTTTTCATAAACTTAAAATTTTGAAACTTTGACTGGAAATCCTATTTTTGTGGCACCTTGTCTGGGGGAAAAATGGGATTTTTTTCATCTTGGTCATTCTATCTGCCACATAAGGCTGAATGTCTGATATATTCGTGGATAAATGGGTTGTTTTCTTAGTATTCTGGTGTGTTTGGCTTAGTTTTGCCCCTCTGATTCATCTGGGGACATAGTTTTTACCTAAATTTTTTATAGATAGAGGCTAATATGGAAGAGGTTGAACAAGCTAACAGAGCAGCTGTTGAAAGCTGTCATAGGGTTCTAAGTTTGTTGTCTCAGGCCCGGGATCAGGTTCAGCATAGGAATTTAATGGTGGAAACTGGGGAAGCTGTGGTGAGGTTCAAGAAAGTTGTTTCCTTGCTTCATAATGGTTTGGGTCATGCAAGAGTGAGGAAGTGTAAAAACCTTCAAGTCCCTTTTTCCCAGAATATCTTTTTAGACAACCCAAATTGCAAGACCAACCATCACCCAAAAAATCTTCAGTTTGCACAAACCAGCTTTCATGATAATTCAATTCAGGAACTGGGTTCAACCATAAAAAACTCACTCTCTCTGGGACAACCATCTTTGGAATTGAGCTCTAGTGGGAAAAGTCCTCTTCACCTTGCACATCAAGCTTCATCAACTCACTATCACCTCTTTCAGCAACGGCAACAACAGCAAAGGTTGCTGCTGCAGCAGCAACAAATGAAGCATCAAGCAGAAATGATGTTCCGAAGGAACAACAGTGGCATAAACCTGAATTTTGATAGCACTAGCTGCACACCAACAATGTCATCTACTAGGTCTTTTATTTCTTCCTTGAGCATAGATGGAAGTGTGGCTAGTTTGGATGGAAGTGCCTTCCATCTAATAGGAGCTCCACACTCTTCTGATCAGAATTCACAACAGCATAAGAGAAAATGTTCTGCCAGAGGTGATGAGGGTAGCTTGAAATGTGGGAGCAGTGCTAGATGCCATTGCTCTAAGAAGAGGTGAGACGTGCTTCCTCAGTTAATTGTAATTCCTTTATTCTAGGTTCTGATGTATGGTCACATTAATAATTGATTTCTGTTACTTCAAAGGTTTTATAACTCCTTCAAATATATAACCAATAATTATACGTGCTCCACAGGAAACATAGAGTGAAGAGATCTATTAAGGTGCCTGCTATCAGCAACAAACTTGCAGACATCCCTCCTGACGATTATTCGTGGAGGAAGTACGGGCAGAAACCAATCAAGGGTTCACCTCACCCTAGGTATTTTCAAGCTCTGCTTTCAGTTTTGATTTTGTAAAGTTTCTGAACTATTTTGTTATTTCTGACTATTTTGCTGTTTGGTGTGCATTTATGATCATATCTTTCTCTTTATAGCATTAAAGTTAGGTGCACATGATGATGATATACTAGCTTGTAGTGCTTTTATTTTATTTTATTTTTTATCTTTTGGGTGTGTTTGCTATTGTATTCCCTCTGGCACTGTGTTTGTAATTTGTTCTTAGTTAGTAACTTGGTATTCAGGTTGGTGAGAACATAATAGACTTAAAGAGTAATTGAAATGGTCCTTGAATTTCCTTATATGATGTTTGCTAATTGCTAGTATCTCTTAGATTAACTAAAAAACTTTTTTCATGACACTCGTGTCTTGAAAACATGTTTTAAAATTAATCTTGCATTTCGGTACTCTTGGCATAAACTACTTCATGCTGTATTATTTGCAACTTATTGGTAACCAAGTGAAAGGTGAACTGCATGTATGTTTGAGGAAACTGATTTTAATTCCTCCTTTTTTTTCAGGGGATATTACAAGTGCAGCAGCATGAGAGGCTGTCCTGCTAGGAAGCATGTTGAGAGGTGCTTGGAAGAGCCAACCATGCTAATTGTTACCTATGAAGGAGAGCATAACCACCCTAAGTTACCAACACAATCTGCAAATGCATGAACTCATGGAGAGCTTAACCAAAAGATCAAGCCCATCATTCAATTTGTCAAAACCCCTTTTTATGTGATTGGCTTGTGATGCTGCTGTACATATTTTTAAGTGATGCATTCTTGGAGCAGATTTTGGATAGTTTGGCTAACGAGCCTGTTTATTTAGAGTGGGAATGAGGATCACTGATTAAATGAACAAGTCTGTAAAATTGGGTAGTTTCAATTCGTAAGAACTATTTTGTCTTTCTTAAGCATGTTATAAACATTTCAGGGTTTTCTAAATGAACAAAATGCCTTAGAAAAATGGTAATGTTCTTTGTCCCAATAAACGATTATAGGCAATCCCGAAACTATTACAAAATCTATTGAATATGTTACATAGAATGATTTTCATTGGATGCAATAACAGCTTCGACTAATTCAAGAAAAATCACTGCTTCTACTAGAGATGGTTGTGTGGAAACAAGTTTGGTAACAACCAATATAACCTTATCATCAATTTCGTATGTTGAAGCCGTTTTAGGACCATCAAGTCCTCCGACTGATGATTTTGATGTCATGCAATAATTAAAATTTGGACCTTTGAAAAGGGTGAAATAAATGCCACAACAATCTTGATTCGCATTATCCACAGGCAAAGCTTCATTCAGTTTCCCATTTCTCCTATTAGAAGTGTTTCTTGGCTTGTGGAAGTTTCTCGGCAAAGCATGTGAGTTGCGAGGGGACCAATATGGGCATTCATACTCGATCATAGTTTTATTGGGTCCAAGTTATCAATATTATTAGAGAATAGTTTTTCTATCATGTGTTGAAAGGACACATTAGAAAACAATGTATTTATTTATTAAAATTTATAGTATTACATCATGTTGGTTTTCATATTTTATAAATTTTAATAAAATCTATTATGCATAAATTTTTATTAAATATCTTTAGACACTGCTCCCTTCTAACCATTGACTTTTTCATAATCAATTACCATATTCAACATTGGAGAAAAGAAATCATTGAGGGAAGGGGAACGTACTTGAATTATTGGCTGCATTTAGCATGAAAAGATTGAGATGAAATATGAAATAGTAGTGTCATGTAAGTTCTATAATTGGAAGAGTGGATGTTACTGAACATTCTAGACTAATATGCTAAAAAATTAAAGATAGTCTAAAAAAGACAACGTGACAACAACAATTATCCACTAGTCATCAACTAGCACACGCATGGGGCAAGGGCTAAGCTGACCTGCCCAAGATTGGATTTGCTTTGGGAAGAAAATGAAGGGTATATAATGGTTTAATTCTAACATAGGATCAATGAGGGTAGACTTTTGTTTCAACAGTTTGATGATGATTTCAGCAAAGTTTGTAGCCTTTGATTGAACAAATACTATGTATCAAACTATCATTGTCAATGGTAGACTGAACGAGAATACTCAATCGGTCAAATCAGGAACCACCACGGAACACTCGCATTAACTTTCATTACACGATGACGCAAGAGATAGTTTCTTGGCAACTTTGCTTTCTTAATCTTTCAGTGCACATTCAAACATTATTAGTTTTTTAATCCTCACTTTCTTCAAAATATTATAAAACTCGTTTATTGTTTTTAATTTATGTATCAATTGGACTGAAGCGTAAACATCAAGTCCTTGTATCAATTGCCCACAAACCTTGGTCCCGAAGCCTAAAGCAACATTAGTCCACGACCACTTGAAACGTGAGCTGTGTGTTTCTTTTGCTATAAATGTTGGTAATCATCATTACCTTATGTTCCGTTCTGCCCTTTTTGTGTCTTCTTTGCTTGTGGCGTTTTAAAACGAATAAGGTTATAATATAATGAAATAAAATTATAACTCAATATTTAAATATTTTATGATGAAACAGAAATAAAATGATAAGAATTATAATTTTATTATTATAATCTTATTCATATTAAATTCATAAGCTTTGACAATTTCACCCCACCTCAAATAATCATCACAGCCCCCATCAGGACAAGACAAACACTACTGAACAGTAGGATCCTACTGGATTTATAATTAAAAGCAAGAAAGTCAAACAAAGAAAAACAACATAAACAAAACCAAGGACAATAATGAAAAACAATAATTTATGTAATATATTTGCTATATAGTTATTTATTTAGAACAGTCATAACATACATATGCTGTAAGACTTACTTTTACAGACACTAGATCCACACTGGAATAATAGCTACAATATCCTTCCCACATTAACCAAGGACCGACCAAGAGGCAATATTGCAATTTACATGCAAATGGATTTAAATGTAATTTGATAGATATGAGAATGGAAATTATCTCGACGCCAATCCATGCTTCAAACTGGAAGAGAAGAAAATTGGGAGTTCGGAGTTTAAGATAAAATAAAATGAAATTCATTCTATTATGCTCCGTTTTATTTTGTTCTGATTTAATCATTCCGAAAATATAATAACTCAAAATTTGTTACCAGAAAAAGGGAAAAATAAAGGAAGAAAAAGAAAAACATATTCTGTGATCAAAATAAAAAACAGCAAAATTGTCCGCACTTAGTCAATTATATTATAAAATAATAGTTTGAATTTTCCGTAAAAATATTTCCTTTTCTTATATAGGCAAATTTATCAGCTGATTTTGAACAATAGTCTTAAAACTTAACTAGTCAATTGAACGGACGAAGGTCTCGAACTTAATATAATAATACTCTAAATATTATTTATAAAAAATAAATTTGACAAGAATAATATATTATTATGATAATTATGGATATAAAATTTTACATAAATTAAACATAGGTAAGTATATAGTCAAATTCATTTATACACGCTTTAAATAATATATTATATGATCAAATGAAATGGTAAAATATTAATTGTTAATTATATAAAATTTTATAAACTTAATTAAATTCATAAAACTTTAAATTTAACAATTAAATTAATAAAAATTTATTTTTAATAAAAATGGTTATATTTTATACATACATTCATAGTAAGGGCCATAATATTTATTTTAATCGAGTTTAATAGTATTGCACCATTAATTTAGCTGCTCTCACTGGTCAAATAACCACAGGTTGAAAGAATGCAATTGCAACTACACATGCCAATATAATCAAAATTGGCATCACTTTGTTAGGAGGATTAAAAGGATACCCCTGAATCAGTTTTCATCAAATAATTTTCCCCCAATTTGTAAAACGTCCTTTGTATTTACTGTTGCGCAAATCTGAACAACTGATTTTATTTCGTATTACTGACACATTTGTGTCATCAGATAAGCAAGTCATTGGTTAGTAACATTATTGCATCATAAAAAAGGTCAAAAGAAATTGAAAAAAACTTTAAACGGAATTATTAAAAAAAACCTTTTAATTATCTAAATTTTTTGAAAATTTAATTAACTGGTTGTTGTTGTAGAATAGTCCTAACTATGATAAACCACTTACTAAGCTAACTGCGTCATTGGGCTGTTGGCCGAAAACAAATGTATTGGGCTACTAGCGAGGACTTCAGAAACTTTGGTTAAGCCTTGCTCATATTTTTGCGATACTATCACCTCCACAAATTAGCAAAACTCAACGAACTTGTGAACATAAATTTCATCAGACAAAATTCACCATATATTTAACCTCCAACTTCATGCATAACGATTCAAGGAAAGAAACGAGGTGCTACTGTTTAAAACAATATAGTTAAGATGTAGAAGTGACCCGGTCCTATTTTTTCCTAGGATTTGAATCCAATGATTTAAAAAAAAAAACACGATATAATTTTGCAAAAAAATCTCCATAAAGCTCATTAACAGACATAATTTAATTTAAATCCAAACTTTTGTTCGCTGATATAGAAGGCAAAACAATATCAACTAGAATTTAGATTAGAAAAAAGTTTGCTTAAACTAGCGAAATTTGACATAAGAAAAACAAATGACATTTGTGATGTCTTCACTTGAGAGGGATGAACCTGGAGGAGTGGGTAGCACCTATACCGGGCCTTCCATGCTTAACAGGCTTGTAAGAGATTGAGAATTCAGCCAGATAGTGGCCAATCATTTCTGGTTTAATTTCAACTTGATTGAAGGTCTTTCCGTTGTAAACACCAATAATGCTACCAATCATCTCAGGCACAATGATCATGTTGCGAAGGTGAGTCCTTACTGGCTCTGGCTTCTCACCTGGTGGAGCCTCTCGTTTCTGTCTCAATATACAGACCATAATCAAAATTATACACCATTCTGCCTTTCACAATGATTAATGAAATTAATCCAATTTAATTCAATACACGCAGGAACAGGAGAATTATGGTAAAAAAATTACAAATAGTCAAATTAGTCTCCAAAAGATATTCAGTAGGTCCAATTAGTCCTTGAATAATGAAAAATAAGACTTAGATCCCTAGACGTGAGTTTCTTGGTCAAATTAGTCCCTAGGTCAAGAACATCAGGGACTAAAGAGGAAAAATATGCATTTAGAAACTAATTTGACTAAGTAAATTCATACATGGGATCAGGTGTAATTTTCATCTTCATAGTATTAAAAAAATGCTAATCTCAAGCCCTAGAGCTAAGAATAAACAACCTTAAATAGATTATTTTTATTGAGAAAGAAAGTATTGAGTAAATCAAGAATGTAAAAAGAAATAAAATTATAATTTTTATTAAAAATTATTAATTTAATATGCTTAAAATTAATGTTAAGGACTGAAATAAAAGAAAAAGGTGTTAAAATGAACACTAGAAATTAGGAACACGTGATAAGACATGTGCTCCAAAGGGCAGATTTGATATGATGAGGATTCAGAGCAGAGTAAGTGAGTGTTTGAAAAAGGAAACTAATTCAGGCTTATAAAAATACAGATAACATGGAATTTATTTTGGCAAGCTTGTCAAAATAAGCTCTCTTTTTTATTTCAATAAATTTATTCAGTCGAATATATGACACAAACTCTAGCATTATAAAATTGTATTAGTGACAAAGGATGTATTTGAATACACAACTTATTTAATAAGCACTTTGTAACCATTGACTTGTGACATAAATTTAACAATAAAACTTATTAAAGTAAGCTAAAAATAGCTTATTTTGATAAGTTATACATTTGGGTCTGTTTAGAGAAACTTATAAACAGCTTATATAAAACAACTCGGGACTCTTCTAAGCTGGTTTTAGCTTATGTCAATAAGCTTCTTGGTATAATTTATCAAAATAAGTTGATTTTAGCATATCCCAGTAAGTTTCATCATTAAATTTATGAGATAACTCCTTGTTTCAAAAAATTATTAAATAAGTGCTTAAATATCCAGTTACCAACTTACCCAAACACACCCGAAGAAACTTATTAAAATAGGCTGAAAACAGCTTTAGAAAGTCATAAGCTTGTAAGCTCTTTTAAATAAATTGTTGATAAATAAAGTACAAAAGCTTTTTATCCCTGTACAACAATAACTACTTAGAGATTAAGGGCTTGCTTGTTTTTGTTTAGATTTCTAATTTTTAAAATTGCATTTTAAAAAAAATTAAAAACTGTTTTTAAGAAGAAAATGAAAATAAAACGTGTTGGTTTGGTTCTCAAAACAAACAAGTTCATGTAAAGTTTATTAAGTATTATATTAAAAATAAAAATAAAAACAGAAAACGGGATTGAACAAAAGCCCTAAGAATAGAAGAAGCAGTTAGTTACTACTAATTATGAACCAAATGATATCATAACGCAAGTATAACTGATTATGGTTTTGAAAATGCTATGGAAGTGAATGATGATGTTAAATTGAGAAGAAAACTAACCGCCTTACGGAGCTTCTTGATGAGAGCCATAGGCTTGCGTGTCAAACCGCGTTGAAACCTGAAATGAAAAGAGTGTAAACAACAGAAAAAAGTGATAATGGAAGGAGAAGAGTGAGACAGACCTTCTGCGAGCACGAGCAGAGAAGAGCTTGACGAGATCATCGGTGGACATGTCCAAGAGAGCATCGAGATCCACTCCTCTGAAACTGAACTTCTTGAACGTTCTCTTCTTCGGCACTCCTGGTTGACCTACCTCTGTTTCAACGTCCGCCTGAAAACAACAAACATACAACAATCCAATCAGTGTCAACACTCTATCATTCACACTTACATCAGAGATCGGGATAAGGGCATTCACCATTGCTGCAACTCTCGATTTCTCTTTGCTAGGGTTTTTCAGTCTCGCTGCGACCTTTTATATATTCTCTCTATTCTGTAATGGGTATCATGATCAGATTGGGTTTCCACTCATACGGCCCAATCCATCTTAACATTACTCCAAAAAAAAACAAATCTGCGGATCACTGTCCATCTATCTTTGAGTTATACTATTTTTGTAATTAATTACTAATTAGTAATCCACACATAATATCTATTAAAATTAAATTTAATAAATTTTATATTTAATTAAAGAGATAAAATTATTAAAATTAAGAAAAATGTTATAAAAATAAATTATTAACAATTAAAGTATATTATCTATATTGATTTTATGATTTAAAATTTGATAAATTTCTACTTTAATTCTTGAAATATGTAACTTGATTAAAGTTAATATTTTAAATTTTAAATTTTAAATTTTAATCTCTTATATTAACAATCATTAATCATATTAATCTTTATTATTAAAAGATGTTAAAATTAAGTAATGAAATTAATGATTTGTCATATTAAATGATATGTAGCAGTTCATTCTAAACATAAAATAGTGTTATTTTAAAAATTTTAAAAAATATTTTATTTTTATTATTAACTTTTAACATTTTCAAGTAATAAGGTTTTAATTGTCTTATATTTTACTTTTTTTTATAATATTTTTCTCTTCTGATCATCGTTATAATGGGCTATCAAGTATATGAATAATCTAATATTTTCAATAATATGTTCTAAAAAAATTACGATAATCTTTTTCTTGTTAACCTCAAACTTGTTATGAACTATAAAAGAATATTATAAGGAAAAATAAGAGTTTCATAAGTGTTATATTTGAGTACATAAGGAGAATTAAGATTTAAGAAGTCCACACTTCCCCTACCAGTTTTAACAAAAAAGGAATCAGCATAACCATAGTCAATAAATAATTTTTCTATTTACAATAAAGAAACTCCGAAGAGAAACAGTGTAACCAATAATTACAGAACTCTAAGTATCCACATAATTAATGTACTAATTGTTTTAAATATGAGACTTTTTCACTAAATTAATCATGATTAGTTGTCCACTCATAGATATAAGACTTGGATATTGTGATGCAACTGAAAAAACTTAAAACGAAGAACTTTTGCAATATAAATGTCATCATAGTGATAGCTAGATGAGAAAATACCTTATCTAAAAATATTAGAAGTCATAGGCAAAAATAAATTATTTTTTTAAAATTACAAAATGACATTATTTTATGTCAATAATAAATTGTCATGTATTATTAATAAATTATCATTTTATTACTCAATTTTAATATTTTTTTAATGATAAAAATTAATGTCATTAATAATTATTAATTTTAGGAGTTAAAATTTTAAAATAAAGTTTAGGGTGTATACTATGGCTTACAACTTGGGTCAGAGGGTTGTAAAAATATTATTATAAAAACAAACTCTCGATTAGCTCTTCGCTTGGGAGAACATTGTTGTCTTGGTCATAACCTATATTCTCAAACATTGCAAAACATTAGCTCTCTATCAAGCCATGACATATGAAGTAATTGAGAGTAGGAAATTGTGTTGCGGATATTCTAAGCTAAACATGTTCGATATAGTTTCTTAATATGATATTTTCAATGTTATTCTTTCTTTTATTTTAGTTTTATTATAGTTTGATTATTCTTTTATAGGTTGATAGAAGTTTTCTTAAGTAATTAAATTTTTACTTATTTACTTTATTTTTATAAAAAATTTAATCATTAGTTATTTAAAATTTTATGATCATGCACGATGGTTTATTTTTTTTAATATATGATAACAAATTAAAAGAATTATGCAGTCTCTTATTTCAAATTTTTTAAATAAAAAAGGATTTTAATTGAACATTACATACTTAATTCATGTAATTGTTAGTTTTGAATGGTATTTAAATATTGCTTAAAATAACGTTGAATAATTTATTAATATAAAAAAATAATTAATATATATTATAATTAAAAAGAAAGAAGCACAAAGATACGGATAAAATGGTTAAAATTATAATTAAAATTAAGATTCAACTTTACAATTGTAAATTGAAGATAAAACTTTGTTACAGCAAATGTATAGAATATAGATTATAAATACTGTAAAATACCTTCTTCACTTTTCATAATTTGTTCTTCACTTTTAAAGTTATAATGATCATCTAGCTCAGAATATAACACATGCTGGTAAAAAGAAAGAGAAATACCAAAGCACTGATTTGAAACCTGTCTTTCTCCCATTCCAGTTGCTTTGTGAATTGGAGATAAAGTTTTTTTAGTACATATATAGAATATAAATTATAAATACTGCACTTCTCATAATTTGTTTTTTACTTTTAGAGTCATAACGAGTATCTAGCTCAGACTATAGACCATATGCTGGCAAAAAAAGAACAAGAGAAATACCAAAGCAACTAATTCAAAATCTGTCTTCTCCAATTCCTACTGCTGGAAAAGGGAGAAAAGGACACAAGAAAATAATGATTCAATTGTTGTCTGTGCTAATCCAGGGTGAGAAGATAATTGCAAGCTATCCAGTTAACAAACTTCCATTAAAACTTAAAACCTTATTCTCCAAAAGTGAGAATGGCTAGTCCCATACCCCAACTTCACCGCCTACAAGACATGACACGTTGGTACTGCTATCAATCATAGCTACAGTTTACATGGTTCATCTCTTATAAATAAAATAGACACAGAAGGGAAATCAATGCTAACATGTTGTAAGCCAAATTTTCATGGTAACAAAATATTTAACTTCCTCTAGCCTACAAAAAAAAAATATCAAAACTTTATATTAGTGACAAACCTTTGATAGTTTATTTTAAGCACAATATAATATCACATTATACACCTAACTCTCTGGTTCATTAGTAATTACTTACAGCAGACAATTAAGTGTGATGAATTCTTTAGATCTTAGTCAAAGCTTTGAAAAGTTCTAATCAACATTATAATGGATGGATAACTGTTTAAATAAAATACATATTGTTTGAACATAAGTTTCTTATTAAACAGAACATAAGCAAATTTCTGGGTCGTATTATAAGAGAAGATTACCTATTGTTCTGCATCTTTAATTGCAAACCTTTGTTGTTAAAAGTCAATTTTGATTTTATGGAACATAGACGAAGTATGGGTTAGTCAATACTTGTGATCGAATATATGCTATATTATAAAGGAATCCAATACTTTAAACTACGAACTTCTCAGGGTGGCTAATTTCACAGTTAGGGTATTTTTGCAATACCGTGTGAGATTATAGATTGAATGTCAACTAATGATAATATTGTATATCTTTGACAGTAACAATGTGTGTCTTCATCCAAAAATAATGACCAAAAATTTCATTTCTATTTCATAGAATACAAGCTGAATAATAATGGGTGTGATGAACTTTATTCATTATAGGCGGCGTCAAACAATAGGATGGCTCACATTCACATCCGATTTTTCAGCTCAAGACGAAGGTAAATCAGAAATGAGTGGTCCATATTAATAGTACTGAGTCTCATAAATTGTCAATTCAAATGCGTTATTAATTCCATTAAAGTGAAGCTTGAGTTGCTCTGGTGGCACACGTTAATACTAGCACATATTTCCATAGAAATTAGAAGACCAAAATCTTAAATCTCAAAATCTGACATGATTTATAATTTAAAGTACTCATTCAGTTATGTTGAACAACACAAATATGCATAAAAAGTATACATAGTGTGTGAGCAAAAACTTGGACACAAATGGTGCATGTGCTTGTATAGTGAATTTTTGAATGATAGTATGTATATCACTCATGATATTTCTTTCCTGGGTAAGATAGTATTACACGTAATTTTATCATTGCTAGAGAGATTAAAAAGCCCTAAAAGCATTACATAATTTCAAATTTAAACTGCCCATAACAAATTCAAGTATGAACATAAAATGAACATTCTAGTGTGTCATGCACTTAATTGACCATATTGATATTTCTCCTATGTAACATAAAATGAACATGTTTGCACGAAAGTGCACAGATTTGTAATTTTGTGTAACTCAAGTATGAATTCAATCAAATGAGTGGAATGATACCAGGAAACAATGTAGCTTAGCTTCCAATCTATACAGTCCTGCTTAACAAAACAGTTACTTGCCTTTTAAAAACACTAGCAACAAGAAGAGGAAATCTTTATTGTGAATAATAAGTTTTAGGGCAAAACATACGCTGTCATTAAGCATCATTAGACGGAGACAATATTGTATTTGTGTAAATGAATGTCAATTCAACATGATATAGGAGAAACAAGACTAATTTACACACCTCAGGTGACCACACATTTTCTTTGGTTAAACTTGTTCAACTTTAGTGACTTTCTAAACAATGATACCATATTCAAATGTCCATGAATTTTCATAATTCTTGATGCAATAAAATCGTATATTTTCATGAGGAGTGGATTGATCTAATTTCCAACCGAAGCATAGACCTTAATTAGGGATAAACCTTGATAACATCATAACAAAACCTTATCTTGACCACTGAGCCTTCAAAACCAAATTTCTCCCATACCACTGACCCACTCAACGCGCTTAAATACTCATTAGAAAGCTCATATAATAATCTATGATGTTAAAAAAATTGCATCTACATTCATCAAAAAGAGCCTAAGATATGAGCAGATGAAGCAAGCTTAAAAGCACACCAAAAACAACCTATAGCACCCAAATGATCCCTAACATTCCATCCTAGCCTCCCCCATCAAACACCGAGAACCGTCGATAAAGTGTTCATCGAAGGGCTGAAATTCAAACTTGAACACGACATCAATCCGTGGGAGGGTCCCGTGGACCAATCACAATTAAGTAATTGGATATCCTCTCTCACACACTTGACTATTTAAACGTTCAAAATTCTTTCTTCTTTACTCCCAGAATTTCCAATTCCATTTCAATTCCCAGTTCCATCGTCTTTCATAATTACATCTTAACCCTAATCATGGCAACCGAAGAGCCCATTGTCCCCGTAGAATCTGCACCCGAACCAACCAAAGTCGAACCTCCACGCGAGAAGGACGACGAACCCAAACCTGAAGCCAAGGGCAAGAAAGCCAAAGACACCAAACCTAAGCGATCTTCCAAACCACGCAATCCTCCTTCTCATCCTTCATATGAAGAGGTTTGATCCAAATTTTAGTTTTAGTTTTGGTTTTTTTTTATAAATTTTTATATTGTGATCGAAAATTGATCTGAATTTGAATTGGTTTGATTATCATGCAGATGATTAGGGATGCAATTGTGACGCTGAAGGAGAAAACAGGTTCAAGCCAATACGCGATTGCCAAGTTCAATGAAGAGAAGCACAAGCAGCTTCCACCCAACTTTAGGAAGCTCTTGCTTAACCATTTGAAGAAGCTTGTTGCTTCTGGAAAGCTCGTCAAAGTCAAAGGCTCCTTCAAACTTCCACCGACCAAACCCTCTCCATCTTCCCCGGTGAAGAAGAAGCCTGCCCCTGTCAAGCCCAAGCCTAAGCCTAAGCCCAAGCCTGCTTCCAAGGCTAAGGATACTAAAACAACTAAATCAACCACCAAGGCACCGGTGAAGCCCAAGCTGGCCGCAAAGCCCAAGCCCAAGGTTGCGGCCAAGCCGAAGGCTGCTGCGAAGCCCAAGGCCGCTCCTGCTAAGCCCAAGCCTGTTGCTGCGAAGCCCAAAGCTGCCAAGGGAGCTGCGAAGCCCAAGGCAAAGGAGAGACCAGCGAAGGTTGCAAAGACGTCGGCGAAGGCTTCGCCGGGGAAGAAAGCCCCTGCTTCTAAGGCAGCGCCGAAGAAAGTGGCTTCGACGAAGAAAACTGCGGTGAAGAGTGTGAAGCCGAAGAGTGTAAAGTCTCCGGCGAAGAAGGCTTCGACGAAGAGAGGAGGGAGGAAGTGAAAATTTGAGGATAGGGTTTCTTTAGGGTCAGTTTTGTAAAGTTCTTTACCTTTTTGGTGTGGTTGGATCTCCATATGTTTCGATTACATGTGAAATCTGATTTTGCCGAACTTTTTGTTTATTTTAGTTTTTTCAATCTTTTTGTTTCGGTAGGGGAATTGGATTAAAAAAGAACGTTCTTGATCGTGTTTTTCAGTTAAATGTGTTAATAAAAAATGTAACTGATTTAGTATAATCTTGGTCCCAATTTAGTATATACACCACCCTTTACAATCGAATGAATTTGCCGTTGCTTTTACCCTTCCTTGTTGCCAGATTTATGCCCAATGTTTCAGTTGGGTGTTTTTGTTTCGATTGTTAATTGCTTTCCATGCACGGAACTTTGGTTTGAGTGGTTAGGATGTTGTAATGAGCTTTACGTTTATGGTAGGTTTCTTTTCTTTCCAGTCACAAATAGCATTGTGTTGTGGAATTTGACGCATTATCGCATGTCCTGGTTTCATCATGGCGTGTGAAATGGTTGAAATGGATGTGTTTGCATCTTACTCGTACTGGGCATTAGTTGTTTACTTTGTTACTATTATTAATTCAACCAATTTCAATGTACTCTGGATGCTTGAATGAATGTTGAGTTGCCCTGCACGTAATTTACTTGTCTGGAACAATGGAATTATACCGATCTTTTAAAAAGTGATCTCGCTTGTGGCTATGGTTTAATCTGTTTTATAATCGGAATGAAGTTTGATTAGTTTTTTGAACTGTTTTAGTTCGGCCGACGTAAGAATTGATTAAGAGTGACTTCCATGCGGGTATGGTTTACAAAGAAAAACCTTGATAGCATATTGCCTCCTTATCATTGTTGAATGTTGAGGCATACGCATGAGTAGTTTTGGAAAGAAAGTTGTCAAACAGTCTTTTATCCCAAAAGGGATAAAATGTTTGGTATCAAAATCCAATGAGATTGAGAGGAATATTTAAGTGCATGATATTTCTGCTTGGTACGATGCGGTGCAATTTAATTAGGTTCTGTGCTCAGTGTTTCAGTACATATCAGAGATGCTAGAAGAATTTTGGCGAAGCGAGAGATGATGAAATGTCTGAACACCGAAGGGAAGCATGTGGCATTATTAAATAGAGAGAAGTAAAAGTGGTTGTGACTCATTTTCCTACATTGCTTTAACGTTGTTGGATAGGCGTACGGGACAATCTACCAAGCGTTTGATCCTGGCAGGCAACGTTGGTGGTTGTAAGATCGTTGGCCTTCTGTAGCAGCAACCAGCCCACATGATAGAGTCCCTTGTTTGGTCTATGTCACAATTGTTCAGTTCTGTTTATGGGAAGGAACTTTCATTGTTTGAATCTATTGAGTCCTCCTCAACATGGTCACATGTTTGAAAATCTGTCATTGTAACTTTCTATTAATATGCCAAGTGAATTCCGTGTTTGTGGGTTTACATAGAACAGGAAAGAGCCGGATTTGAAGCACAAGACAAAGAGTACAAGAAAAGGTTTGAGTTGGAGATTATTGTCTAACTGTTCACTGATGCAGAAGTGTCCCTAGTAGCGTAACAACTTTCGTGGTCATGATTAATTGATTTTTTATAGCACTTTAGCTAATGTTGACTTATAAACTCCATAGTTATTCTAAATTAAGCTTGTGAAGATGTAACTATTATAATGTGTTTTGTTTTCAAGTTTCCAACAATTACATGAAGGAAAGTCTGGGATCTGTTCACAGATTCTAGTTGGGCAGCTTATAAAAGAAAGGACATTTTGTGCAGTCTAAAATTTGGAAATATCTTTTAGGGAAGAGTTACAGTCAAGTTTTTGGCCCTAGAGACCAAATCTATTTTGAAACCAAGTAATTAATCTTGGTAGTTATGCTTGGTATATGTCAATTGGAAAACTGACCTGAAAACAAATTCTAGAATTTTCAATTTTAAGATTTTGATTATTATGTAATTCCTTTTGTACATTAAGTTCATAACATCGGCACAACAAACAAAAATTTTCCTCGGGTTCAATAACCTATGGAAGCTCATTGAGCTTATCTTATGCTTTACTCTTGAAATCTAGATGGTTTCCATCTTATAAACCTTATGTTAAAAGCTAATGGTGGAAAGTATCATCACTAAGATAAGTCATCATTTCAATCTCTCCACCTTTTGGATTGAGTACTTCAGCTCCTGTTGGATGTTCACCCTTGAAGGAGATAATACAATGTCTTTCCATATCGATCCAGCTTCACAAGCTGGGTTGGGGTGCTTGTAAAGTTCATATATGGAGTTGGCATCTTCATTCAACCTAGAAACCCTCTTCAAACAATCGATTTCATCTGGATCAACAAGCAGCGTCTTGTCTCTTTCTTTCCATCCTATCATCTTTACAACAATACAGGGGACCAAAAATGGCCCACCATAGCAATAATAATAATAAATGATTAGTAATGTAAATTATATTTAGAGATAGCATTCACAGCACAGCAACAGTTTTTCATTGATGAAAATACCTTTCGGAAAGTAAATGTCGGGATTCAAATTTTATTTTTTACTATCACATGCATCTTGGAGAATTTGATTTTTTTTTATCAAACAACTTTTTAATGTTACGATTACATACATCTATCACTTGTATATTCTAAACACATTTCCCCCTCCATATAAAGAAAGTGTACAGACAGGGTTTTGTTATCAGAGCAAGAATAAGAAAAAAAAGGATCGAAATATAAGTACCTTAGGGGGCCCTTCCAAAGCATTTGTACAGTACAGCCTAGCACTGTCTACTAGCTGACAATAAGTCAGAAATGCTTCAGCAAATCTCTTGTGGGATTTCAATTGTGACTTCACTCTCACTGCTCTTCGACACATGATAGCTCTCCTGTTTGCATTCAAATTTGACTCATTTTCATTAGGCGAAATATAATAAGTAAGATTGTAAAATAGAAAGATTACTGATGAATCGACCTTATGCCTCGAATTACTGCAAGGTAAGCATCACATACTACTCCGACCAGCTCTATCCTATATGGTTTTCTCTTTTTGCCTTCAACTTGTTCAGGCTCTTCATCCTCAGCTCGTTCCCAATAGTTTTCGGTTACAGTTCCATCCTCTTTTACCCTGTAGCCAGCTCCCATGCGGTAACGGCGGCGGTGGACATTTCTGGCCATTGTTATGGTCTGCACAACAAATGGTAACCAGGAGAGTGTGCCATCCATGATTACATCCCTCCCCTCATTAAGTGCTGTTACCAGGAGGGATGAGGCCGCATCTGTGGATGATTGGTGTACCTGTTTGCAACAATGACTTTATCATGCAATAACCAAAAGCTCTTATTCAGGGACGTTTGGAAAAACTTTTCAAGAACTTATTTGGGTTTAAGGAAGGGATTTGCAATCTTTTTTTAAGTTCTTTTTAGCTCATTTCAATCAGTTATTGTATGGTAAAGTTTATCAAAATAAAGTCTTTTTTAACATCTAATGATATAAACTCTCATGTAATAAACTCATCAAATAAGTACTTGTTGAATTGGGTATCAAAATACACCCTTAATCTCACAAGAAAAAAAATAAAAAAGAAATAGAATGCTATGTTTACTCATATTTGTGCTGTATACTGAATTTTAATACAGGGAAACAATCAGAGAAAAGTGTCAATCATGTCACCAGTTCAGCTGTTCGAATCATGTCGTGATGCCCTCTTGAACTAAGGGCCTTGTAGATGACATCTGATTCTTTGAAGGCATCTGCCTCAATGATGACAGCATTGCCTGCTGCTCCTACCCAGAAAGGTCTGTTTAAATTTCATTCGTAAAAGAAAACAAGATCAGGTCCTTGCTGCTTGTTTTGATGATTTAAGTATTTCACATATCATAGGACAATTTTTTTTTCCTAAGGTATCGTGGGACAATTTATCTCATCAGAAAATATGACTTGTCTCACTCTTTAAGAATGTCCTTAAGCACTGTGCTCTTGCCAGCTCCCATACCACCTCCCATGAAGAGAAGCACTGGGCTCCTATCACTGTGAGCTACGGGAGCCATCACCTCTGTGCATCGAGAGTCATCATTTGTTACCAGTCCCATTGCTTTCATCTCTTCAACTAATGTGTTAAAAACTCTTGCCACCTTCAGATTCTTGGTCACTCTCTCGAACCTTAGTTCCCTGAGCAAAGGATACTATTTTTTAACTTAAAAGAGAAGCAAGAAACATTTAAGACTAACCCTTTTCACGCTGCTGATATTAATAAAAAGTGTTCAGTCTCAGATACCCAACAAGGCATCCCTTTGAAAATTGTCACCACATAATAACAAAAAAGTGACTTATTCATAAACATGATTCTTTTTTCATTTGTTGCTACTTCAAAAAGGAATGGGAGAGGAAAGAAAGTCCTATCGTTGCTTCTTTCCTTGTTATGTTTCATTGAATCTTTGATCCCTTTTATAGATATTAACATCCTCAAATAATTATGATCCCCACACTGGCTTCAAAGATGGATTAATTAGTGTTTTTAGAGAACAATATTATTACACACCTAGTTGCCGCCATAACTATGTGCTTGAGCTTCGTTTTTGGCTCAGTGTCGGTGCTCAATACCTAAAATACCAGAAAAAAGAAAGAAAGAAATAAAACAAACAATTTTGTTTTTCACCTTGTATTATATAAATAAACAATATTTCAATGTAGTATATAGTTGATTAATGTAGCGCTTTCTATATAATGTCTCCCCAATACCTGACTGATCATGGCATCACCATGGCTCCAATGGAATGCAAAGTAACTAAGAATGCATCTCTCAAACTCCTCTACCAGCTTCACAAAAAGTGAATCTGCATCTGGTTCATTCTCGAAGAAGGCGTAGATATCATTTTCACATCCCTCGGATTTTCTTATATATTCAGAAGCCAATTTACAAAGATGAGGACAACTTCTCCTGTCTTTGAACCCCATTTGCCTAGCTGCACCAAATTATAGAATCTTACACACATATATGTATGATTCAAACCAATCAAATTCATGAATGGATCCATGTGTGATACACTTTTCCAAGTCATTTCTATTTATCATATGACTGGTCTTATAGCACAGTTTTCTTATGTCTCTTAATTGTCAGAAATAAATAATTATCCTTAATAATTATTACCTACGTAATGAGAGAACTTCTCAAGCTTTGGGGTTTGGCTTGCCTTTGATAATCTGAGACGAGGAATAATCTTTCGATCTCTAATTTTTTTAATGCGATAATGCATTGCTGCAGCAACTATCAACCCTATGGATGATACCACCACGATCTGTGTGAAGGTGGGGGGTTTGTCATTCGACTCTGAATTAACAACATTCAGTGAGGATTAATCATAATATTATATACATCCATCAACAAATGCAAATAACTATAACACAGCACGATGATTCATGCATGGCAATTGAATTATTTAGTATATATGCCTACTTTACGTACCTTTCTGCATTTCTCTTAATTAAAAATCCAAGATAGATTAGAGACCACCGGAGCTATAAGAGATCTCGTCAATTACGTACTTTATGTTTCGTAGGTTTTCTGATTTCCGAAGAATTTGATTTTGCTGTTATTGCGTTGAAGGAATTTCTTCACACGTGATGTACGTACGCCTTTGCATGGGAGTGGCATTGTACTACATCCTTTCCTTTTTGTTTATCCATTTTAAACATAAATTATCAAATATAATTAACATTTTGTTTATATTAAAATTATTTTCAACTTCTTAATCTAATCTTATGATTATTTTTTTTATTTATAACAAAATTTTAAAATATTTAACATTGTTCTAAAGTTTAAAAAAGACAAATAAATAAAAAAGTTCTAAAAAATATTGATTAAGAAGCATTAAATATGTTTTATAAGATATTTTAAATTAACTTAAAAATAAGTGATTAATATTTTATATTTTTAATAATTTTTATTTTTAGTTTTTTAACCATTACTCCTAATACAGTGGTTAATATTTTGTTAACATATTTTAACTAGCAATTGTCTTGTATTCCCCGTGCAATGCGTGCTTTTAAATTTAATTTTATAAGATAAATAAAAATTATTTTAATTTTAAATACATTGTCTAGTTCAATAAATTTCCTTCTATTAAATATAAAATAATTTTGTTCAGTTTTTATAAAATTATGATTGATTTTACGTGTTATTACCAACAAAGTTTCTCATAATTAATCGGTAAACGGAATGACTTAATCATGTTACATATTGATTATGGTTTAATCTTCTGTTACATGTATAAGAAGTGAAATCTATTTCAATAATATCTCTGTCTTGAAAGTTACCAGTTTCCATTGCAAGATATTTTTGTGAGAAAAGAAAAAACTTGGAGCCACTACCGTTACCATATTACGAACCGTAATTATGAGAATTACTACTACGTGCAGAACTTTCATATATCCAGAGTTTATTTTTTATTTTTTATTGGAACTCAGGTTAAAGCTGGCAGGTATGGTAGAAACCCATTATATGAAGTGACAAATAAAATGTTGACTTTTATATTATAAGTTTTTTTAATTTTAAATTATCAATGTTCATTTTAATATATGCATAGATCTGATACGGTTCCTGCTTGCCAATTGCCAATTGCCAAACACTCGCGTTATCTCTACTATATTTTTGAGTTATGCATGCTATTGCATAATTTTGTAATCATACCATGTTGACAAAGTTTTACTAGGACTAATTACAGTGGAAACTTATGATGAACATCATATGGTATTCCTTTTGTTCTTAATCTTTGACTGAACCCTTCTACTCCTTTAGATAATAAAATCCAATTTTTCTCTACCAGCAAAATCATGGGACCACTTCTCCCTAGAGAAAAAAATAAAGGAACAATGAAGAATTCAGCTGCTAAAGCTAGCTAATAGCGCAATGATTGCTAGTGATTCTGCAGTTTCTTCAGATTCTAAAAACAGTGTTTCATGTTTGTGCACTAACTTGAGCAAAGGGGTATGGGACGAGCAACATCACTGATGTTAGGGGAGGACAAAGTGCTACAATGTTGCCCTCTAAGACGTATGAAACAATACAATAGAGCTCCTGCTACAGCTCCAACACAAGGAGCTAGGATGTATATCCATATGTCCTTAAATTTCCAAGAGAGAATTGCTGGACCTAATGATCTTGCAGGATTCATTGATCCACCTGAGATTGGGCTGCAACAAAATAACAAATTACTTTGTCATTAGAGAGAGAGAAAAAGAGTCTATTTAAATAGAGGATGCACAAAATTTTACACTTTCTTAGTTTTTTTTTTTTTTTACTATTATCTAATCAAAATTAGTATATAACCACATTAACTCGCATAACAAATTTAAGGTCGATTGGAAACTCTAATTTTAATTAAAAAATAACACAAAAACACTTAACCAATTACACTAAAGTTTTGTTTAAGGAGGATTTGTCAAGAAAAAAATAAAAGAGAGTTTGTGGGTAGGTACCCTGTGATTAGTACAGCAAGCCCAATTGCTATTCCAGCGACTAAGCCAGAGAAATGGCCCACCTGCACAGTGATTTTAATTTTAGCTCATAGGGAAATGAAAATTTAGCTAGTTCATTTTTAATGACTTATTATATATGTAATTTTGTTCCTTAGTCCTTACTGATTGAGATTCAGATGTCAAAGCTGCAATGAGGAACATGATGATGAAAGTTGCAATAACTTCCACCCAGAAGGCAGAGTTGCACCCTTGGAGTGGCTGAGTCATCATAACATCTGATTTTATGCCATAGACAAGGCTACCTATGTATGTTGCCGACATAGAACCTACTGTCTGTGCTATTATGTAAACTGGTACCTGTTGAAGAAACATGGGAATTCTATGTAGTCATAAACTAATCAATTATACTACCAGAATTTTAACAAGGTCTATGCTCTTGTTTTTTTATTAGCACCTTGAGCCATGGAAATTGACCGATTGTTGCAAAGGCTATTGTGATAGCTGGGTTAACATGCGCACAAGATATTGGCCCTATAGAGAAAACAATCACTACCACTGTTAATCCTGCTGTAGCTGCATACTCTAGAAGGCCCACTGCACCATTTTGTAATTGTGTGCTCGTAATGATTCCACATACGCAGAACATCAAAATAAAAGTACCCACCATCTCTGCCATCACCTATATATCAAAAGAACTTATATTTCTGATAGCATCAAACTTTTAGAATGTATTTTTCAAGGGAAAATAACAGGCAAAATATTTTATTTCTGTTTGGGTCACGTTTAATTATTTTACAGCTTCTACTTGGTTTTGCTTAATATAAACATGTTGATGAAACTTTTCCTTGCATTAGTAATAGTCCAAATTACTACCTCACATTCCATACAATGCTATTCTCTCAATATTTTCCATCCATACACTTCAAGAATTATCATGTAATGTATATTAAGCATTGCTACCTACTAGCTATAGGTTGAAATATTTTCTAAAATCAGATAATATAACTTTTGATGAAATAATCAAGGATGGTTGCACTGTATTTATACATTTATTATATGTATAGTTTAAAATATTTAAAAGAAATATTGTGAAAAACAAGAATTTATTTCCGTGGAAAAAAGCTCATCCAAACATGCAAAAGTTGAATATACTCTTACAATGCGAACAAAATTCAGGTCAATTTTGATGGGGAAGAAGTGAAGGTTTGCCAAAAAATATCGATGCTTTGATGTTGCAACTCTATATCTAATCGCCTTATCATCCCCAGACAAGCCACTGCTTGATGCATAATGTAAAGAATCAGGAGATGGTTGCTTTTCAAAAATGTCTGTCATGATCAAACTTGTCCTCAACTTGGTGAAACAAAGACTAATATTTCACTACAAAGTCTTCAATGAGATGTCATATATGTATAGTAAGTGCAAAGAATATGTTGCCTAGAAAATGTTGAATTCTTGCATTCCATGGTGTTGTCATGATGCAAATATGTGGGGAAAGTTTAACTATGGTTATGGTTGGAATTGGAACCTTTTGTTGCTCACACATCTTTGGCTTTCTTTTGAGAGGGGGCTTCAACACACAATTCATGTGTTGGTGGCAGTGAGGTAAAGATGAGCAATTTGTGCTTATTAACTGCTCCAACGTAGAAAGCAAACTATTTCTTCCCAACAAATGCAAACATTTTATCAACTCTCTTACTTTTTGGTTATCTTTTACCATGTAGAATCCAAAGTAAAAGCTATATCTCAACCACTAAGTGACTCATTGCTAGCTTTTGTTTCTTATTCTTCTACCTTTCAGTTTCCAATATTCCTTTTACTTTAAAAAAAAATTAGATGTTAATGTTTTAACTGTAGCCCAACAGAAAATACTCAAGTAAAAATATTAGTCTACTTCTCTAAATTCCTTTAGACAATTTTATAGTAAGATCTTTTAGCTTACATGAGATTTATATCTTAACATATTTGTATAACTATATATTTATGAAATTGTAATATTTAGTTAGCTCCTTATAATTTTTCTTTCAAAATTATTCCTTCTTCATTTTATTTTTAAATATTGTATTATTTTAATGTGTTTATAAGTTTATTTATTTCAAATTAATTTAAAATTGTTTTGGTGTGTCATATTTTTATATAAAATATTTCAAAATAAAAAATATAAAAAATAATAAAAAATATTATTTATCAAATTTTAGATAAATTAAAGTTAAATTAAAAATATTCAATTTAATATAAATTAATTTTAATTAGATTGTTGAATTACATTTTATTGAAATTGATTCATATCATATAATATTTTTAAGATTGATTCATATCATATAAATTCATTGTTGCTTTTAGATAGCTAATTTTAAAAATATTTCAGTTTTTTAACAAATAATCTCGTTACTGGAAAGAAACACGCTAACATTCAAATATTTTAGGTGAGATTTGATCTCAAATACTTACAATAAAATAAAAACTTATAATTCACAAAATCCTAAAATAAAAATTGTTCTTCCTATATATATGCCTCATATGTATGTATAAAAATTACTTAAATAAAATTATTTATTTATTGTGAAAATAAAAATAATAAATTGAAATTTCGATATTAATCAAATAATAAAATTAAAAGTGTACATAACTTTTTAGATTATTTATATAATTATTAATTAACTTTTAATCTTAGTTATTCATTTATAATTATATAGTTTAATTTTATAATTCTTACAACAACTATTCTCAATAACCTCACGTGCTAAGATATGCTAATAATATCCTCACGGGTATTTTTTTTTTCAGATTAAAAAATGTGGACAATAAATCAGTATTTCTTGAGTATTATTTTTGAATTGTTACGTATTTTTATTTTAAATTACGATCTAGTATTATTCCAATTTTATCGGATGTCACCGAAGGGACAATTGCGATTTAATACTATATGGATAATAACAACAATTCATATTATCAGCAAAATAACATATTTTAATAAAATATTTAAATTTAATATTAATGTGAAATATCAAAATAAAATTCTAAATTTAATTAATGATCAATACAAACAGTACCCAAACAGTTACACCAAAATTTTGTCCAACTGAGAGGGCAGAACAGATTAAACGGATGTGCATAAATGTTTCTAAGTTAACGTACATTTATTCCGTACAACAGAACCACTGTTCTTAGCGTGTATTTCGTTTGCCTATTGTTATTCTTGTGTTATTGTCTGGGCCAACATGGCCCATTGCCCAGTTTGATTTTTATATTATATATCTATATTAAATTTACATAATTTAAATATTTATAAATATATTATTTAAATTTTAATATTTATTTATCTTTTAAAAATATAATATTTATCAAAATAAAATAATATGATAAAGTATTTATTAATTTTATTTTTATATAATTTTTTATAAATTAATATAATTATTAAAAGTTTTTAAATCATCGGTTGAATTAATCAATTTTATATAAAAAATTATTAAATAATATAAGTATTTAAATTTAATATTTAATATTCACAAATAAAAATCCCCGTATTATTTGAGATCATCATGTATGCAATTATAAGCAAACAAAGAAACTTAAATTACTTAAATTGACTATACATAGTTAATAAATAATATTTATTATAAAACATAATATTTAATATTTTAAATATATTAAATCTCATGTAATTTTTTAATATAAATTTATTATTCATAAATTTTGAATTTCATTTCTCGAAAGTAAAGAAATGTATAAAGTGAGAAAGTAAATCTTTATTTATTTTTAATTTAAAAGTTAATTTCACGCAATAAACGTGTAAATTTAAATCACTGTGGATATATGTTTGTTTTTTCACTTTACACATCTTGTCAATTTAAAGGAGTTAAATCTATATATTTTTATAGTGTGTTCTTATATACACTTTTAAAAATTTTATTTTTATGGTGAAAAATGATAAAAGAAATAAAGTGGAGGAAAGAAAAATCAATTATTGGAAATGAGAGAATTCAACCATAGTAGTTATCTGTTAAAACAATGCTAATTTAGTAGATTTTTCAAAGGTTTAACTTAATCAAAGGTATGTTTAACAGAGCCTACTCTGAATAACAAGTGCATAGGTTTGAAAAATCACATGATGTTTGATCTGATGCAGCTTCAAGACCTGGTATCAGATTCAATTTCCTATGTTATTATGTGACTATTTATTTATCATTTAAAATCAACTTTACACAGTGTGTGATGCATGCTCTATTGTATAATGATCCATACTTAAGATTAATTCGGACACGTACTTTAATACTAATCAATCAAAATCAAAACCATCAAAATTTATTTTACCAAAATTTAAAACAAACTATCCAATGGACGGGCTGTGTAAAGTTTTCCCCATTAATGTGTTAGTGTTAATAAAGAAAAGTTGAATTTGTTTAATTTATTTTCTAAGACATCTCAAAAAGATATGGTGCCAAAAAGGCTATGTAAGAATAGGAATTTGAAGAAGCTTAGAAATAGTTTCTAGAAATGAAGAGGACCACTTGTTCTCCAAATGCAGTCACTTTTGACACGCTTCTGCATAATTTTTGCCAAGAAAATAATTCAGCCAAAGTCTAAGAACTTTTTTCAATTAATGTTGGAGAGAAATGTGTCACCACATGCCTCAACAGGAGGGCATACAAATACTGGATCTTTTTCTGCCATGAAATTATGGAAGAAATGCAACAATGAGGTTTTGACTTTTGAGTGAGGTGCAATTGCTTTCCAGACAACAATGTGGAAATTTATAAGCCTACAAGCCTACATCTGATTTCTGACCAGAGCTACAATTGGACCATAGTGAGGCACAGTGCAATTGTTGCATGAAAGAGAGACTATCTCATTTTTTTTATACCAATATATTTTTAACATATACAAGATAACAAATTATAAATGATAAACTTTTATTAAAACTTATAAGATTTAATATAATCAAATGAAATAATGTTACAGTTTCTTATAAAAAATATTATATAAATTTTTTATTTCGTACAATGTTGTATTCCAAAAATACTAATAGTAATGAATATTCAGATTGGATAACTTGTACATGAAATGAATAAATATATCTACTTGTATTAGTGAAAAATAAATATCTTATTAATACAGATTTTACAATAAATAAAAATATAAAAAGAATTTAACAATTAATCAATTGAGAATGTTTTTATGTTTATATAATTAAGATAAAAAAAATAGGGATAGTTAAATTTTACTTGCTGGGAAATCAACAAAAAAGTGGGTTTAGGTGTTGGTGGTGTAATGTGTGGTGCCAATGGCATGTGTAATGTGTGTATGGCAGCTTTTCAGCTGCCAGAGAAGCATGCAGTTTGTTATGTGAGCTTTGTGCAGTCTCTTTAAGCTGGAACTTGCTTGGTGACTTAGGTAAGTGATCTGGGAATCTGATTCTATGGAACTTCATCCGTAATTAAGCAATCATGCCATCAACATAGGACTTTGCTTTGGGAATTGGGATGACCCTACGAACTCTTTTTGAAGCCTTTTTTTTTTTTTTTTTTTAATTTCATTTGTACCAGAAAAATAAAATGATGACATAGATGAATATAATAAGCATTTGCTTACAGCAAACAAGTGGGGCCTAGTTCTGATCAACACACGGTTGCTAATAGGAGCATAGTAATGAGTCATAGTTTTAAGAACAATTCTACTCATAAGGAGGTTCTACAAATCAGTTTTATGATTTTTATTAAAATCACAATTTTCACCGGTTTGATTAAGATGTGGTTCTGCCAATGCTCACAACACTGGACACTAACACTGGATTTGCATGTTTCTGCACTGGATGTCTGGGTAAAAAATTAATTCAGTTTATAATGTTATAGTTATTAATGCTTTATATATAATAACATCTTTCATTCTGGTTTGTTTGAACGGTCGCTATGAATGGCATTTCAAGTCATGTTCCTAGTGTTTTTCATCTTGACTAAGTGATCTAGTGTTTGCTCTTACCTAGTTTTCAGCTGACTTTACAAATTTATAAAGCCAAAAAGGTGAATATTCAATTTACCTGCTTCAGGTTTTATTTCCATCACAGGTGAAACATGACAGAACAATTATACTGTTATTTTTGCCTCTTGTGCAAGTGAATGGACAAATGATACTCCCCAATCCACAGCCTACTGTCTAAATGTTCCTGTCACCCTTAACAGCAATTTCTGCAAAGGATGATCATGTCAAGACTCCAAAATGCTTCAGGATTGAAACATGCAAGCTGAGCTACTAGACCAATAGTACTAGTTATGTGAAAATTACTACATAGTTTATGGCAGCAATATAACTTTGTTACCTTTTTCTTTATGTTTTGTAAACTAAAAATACTCACAGACCCCCCTCCCACCCGTGTTTAGATCCACAATATTTTTTTGTCATTTAAGTTGCAGCTAGCTTTTTTATTTTCTCTGTTTGGCTTACATTATTGGTATACACTATTTTGTCACCTAATATTATTTCGCCATTTTTCAGTACTGATATTAGAGTGTAACTGTACAAGAAGACTCAATTAGATTCAGACGAAAATAATGATTGGATGAGTAACAGTGTCACATCCAATCATTCAGCTAACAATATATTTACCTATACCAGTATTAATTAAAGATGAATTAGATTGATTAGGTAAGCTAAGCTTTATGCTGGAAATCACCCATGATTGTGATCCCAGCATAGTCTTTCCTTTGATATTTGTGTCTTGTGATGAGTGCTTTTTCATGTGATTATTGTGGGATAACAACAAAAAGTTATGAGGAATCTTGTGATAATATTATTACATCAGTTACAACAACTAAGGACCACTTTGAATAAACTGAATCCAATTACAGAATTCCCTTTCTTCTCACATCTTTCTTTTTTCATATTCAGGTTAAATCACAAAGGGTAAACGCCCCACCTGTTAGTACTACTTTGGAATGAACAAAAGAGATTTGATCTCACAAAGCAAGTCCACACAGCAGAACAAACTTGTTTTGCTGTTTTAAGTCCCAAAGACAATAAACAAACCTCACAAGAAGGGTTTATCAGCAAACCAAAACATTTATTCTTATCAATATGAACAAAACAAGCTATAGGTCAAATTAATGTAAGAACTTGAAACGATGAATCAGAACTACCTTGAAGCTTATCCAGTAACCAATTAATACTGCATGGCTGTTTTTGCAATACTTCTACGGTGTTGAATTGCTTGAGGATTTCTTGAGAAGCACAACATCAACAAGGAGACAACTCAAAGGAAAAGAAGGTTGTGTAGGTACTAGAGAAAGAGAATAAAATCTGCTTGGTTGCTGAGGGGAATGAAGCCTGGTCCGAAATCACTCAGAAGAGTTAAGTATGAGACTACTTGCATGAATGATCTCGAACCAGACGACATTCCCCTCAACTTTCTATGTATATATGGCAGACAGGGAAAGGGTGTGGAGGTAGGGAAGAGAAAAAAAGAGAACAAGAGAGAGACATAAGGTTAAAGTTTTTGATATGGCCATGCATTATTTTTTCATGGGGTCCTTTATTATATACGTAAGTTTCAGAGGAGATTCTTTTTACTTCTTCCTTTTTTTCTGCTGAGGAGATTCTTTCTTTGGTCACATGATTTGGAGTCCACTTTCTACACTACTCCTAACTTGCTTTTCACACGTAGGATTTTCGTTTAATAGTAAGAGTTGTTTCCATCAAGAATCACTTAAACATATATAAATGATTTCCCTTTGAACAAGTTAAAACTTTGTCTGCATGTTGTTTGATTATAAATCATCTGTTCTTGCATTGAGATTAATCTACTTTGGAAATTGCATTATCAAATAGCTAATTAAATTGGGTCTGATATTAGAAGGCTAGAAACTTAACCACCAAACCATAGTTAACGGAAGGGTACCCCTTTTGCCTACTTAGCTACATGAGACTAACATAAGTTGTACTGAAATAAGTGGCCATTATACCCTTGCTGGTATTCTAATCATTTTTGATATTCTGATTTGCTTTTATTCTTTTGAAGGTTTTGACCTTGGGTTTATACTCAGCTCTCAAGTAAAGGATTTCCCTTTTGCTTGCCACTGGGGTAAAGATAAGATAGTGATAGACCTGATTGTGATCCATCATTAATGATGCTACAACAGCAATATACCAAACTTGACTCGCAAGCTTAACAGGAAAAGTCGTTTAAAGGTATAAGCATATATATAAAGAGATGAGAGTAGATTTTGTACCAAAGAAAAAGAGGAACATAAAGACACAAAGATTTGTATTAATGTAGTCTTTTGTTCAACTACTTTGTGACACTGTAGCAGAACCATATGTATTGTGGTTCCTTAGAATGTAATAATGTACCAATATGTGGGGATAGATATGCTAGAGAGAGCATATTTTACATGCAACATATGTGTCCGTGTATGAATATCAATACCACATAAACAAACAAAAATCGAGTTTCTGCCTTACAATAAAGTAACCAGAAAATATTGTTCTTGGCTTTTTAAACAGTCGCCTCCAGAATTTTTTATTACCAACTAACAGTCTCCTAAGATCTGTCACGAGAATTTTGCCTTTTACAAATTTTCATTCAAGATCTTTTCTTCAAAAATGTTAAACAGTAACTCTCAACTCAAGATTGTTTTTCCTTTTGTAATTAGAAGCCACTATTCAAACTTCAGAACTCAGCCCCACCAAAAAGTCTCCATTTTATTTTTTATATATATGAAATTTATTAGTTGGAACTTAGAAGAAAAACATCTAATGTGACTTAAAACTAAAAATGAAATTGAGATAAATCCAAACTTGTGTATTTAAAATATTTTATTTAGACATTAGGTAGACGCGCCTTGGACACATATGCATGAGAAATTTATACAGATAAGATGGAGAATTTGGCTAAGTCGGAATACATGTGTGATCCAGCTAAGAGAAGTTTGTACCACCATATTCCTGTGGACACAAGTCTTCCTAATGGATTTCCCCCCATGAAGTTCATTATCAAAAAACCAAAGTTATTGAATATGTTAAGGACATCTCTCTAATACGACCAAAACAATGTCTGGCCCAGAAATCTACATAATGTGAAATAAAAAACATACACGAATAAAGTTTATATAGGAGAAATTTTTAAGTCAAAATGAGCCTTTGGGGGGCCTGCAAATGTCCGGAATTGCTGGCAGAATAAAGTTTCCTTGATATAACTTCCAAGAGCTATAGATAAATGTAACACCAAACTAGCCCAACAGAAAAAGGTGGATGAAATCATTACCTCTATGCAAATTTATAAGCAAATCATGTTGTAATGACCTACAAGTCAAATTGCCTCTTAGTACGCCACTCCGTGTCCACATTTCCTAGTTTCTTCAACCAAAAAAGAGTCTTGTTTTTTAAATTCTGCCAGAGGGGACAATAATTGAGTTTAGACATGAGAAACTCCAACAAGAGATATTCTCAACAAGTTGAAATTCTATAGGGATATTTTTCCTCTTGTTTTTAGACCTTCCTATTCTATGGCGGCTTATGTTATTACATTGACCTTCTATCTATAGAACCGTGTATCACCAATCACTTCAATATGTTAAATCTTCCAATTATTTTTTTTTTGTTGGATTATCTCAAAAACTTTTCCTGTAAAAAGTAAACACATGATTATATAGTTGTTTTGCTAAACTTTGATGATTATATGGTTATTAATGTTGTCATCTATTTTCTCTATGGTCAACAATGTTTAGCGCCATCATTACATTTGCTTGAATAGCTCACCATCAGAACAGAATAATCCTCAACTCGGCCATTTCTGGCAGGGGGAACGGCCTAGTGTGTGTTCACTTCATTTTGCTTTTCTTGTCAAAACCTGTATCCTACAGTTTAGGTAACACTAAATCTTGGTGTTAAATGTTCCTTATATAATAAATAGAAGTCTTTAACAAGACACCCTTCAAATGCAACTAAATTTAATACAGCATTTCTTGGCTTCTTTTCAAGTCCCCCCAAAAAAAAACATGGTGAAAGAAGGAAGTGGAGATAAACATACCATGCAGCTGCAGCCTGGTATGCCTAACAGCAATTAATTTAAACACTAAAGAACTTTGTGAACAACTAAAATGGACAATCATAAATTGTCTTTTTTTTATTATTATTTTGAGAGTATTTTTGAAATACTTGTATATAAAAAAAAGATTTAAAAAATTATACATAATATCCCATAAAATATTAATTTGTAGTTGATCAAATAATTGACTGTTTTATAACTTTTGACTGTGATAGGAAGGGGAGCACTACAATCTTTAAAGCCAATATGGGTAGATTAAAAAGGACATTGATATGAATTTGTAACGCACATTTTGGGCTTGATTTAAAATGAGCAGAATGTTCCAGAGCTGCTTTTCTGCTCCATCTTAGGCTGTCCCTGTGGAAGATGATTGCAAAATCGTTAAGTGTGGCCAAAAGGTGAGTTGAATGATAAGAAAAGGTTAATATTTGACGAATTCGTGTCATCAAAGGTTCCTAAGTCCTAACTGACACGAAAGTGATAGATAGTGCACAAAACACAAGAACTACAACTTCAAATTGTTGCTGACCCAACAAGCAGACAGCTTCATGCTGTGATTTCTGACTTTAAAACGTTTCAATTTCATCAGCTTATTGTTTTGACTTTAATTTCCCCATTTTTCACATCCTGTGTGGATTGTGATGCTTTCCTCAGTTTTATATTTCAATTCCACAATCTCTGTCTGCTGCATAATGTTGCGTAACGAATTTATGATTTCGGATTTGACTTTCAACATAAAGCTCTAGTTAAGAGGGGAGAATAGAGATTATCGTGTAATTGGTTCCATTATTCATCATTTAAACATTAAATACCACATTATAGTTCATATTATATATAGTATTTTATGTTTTATTTCTATATCTACATATTAGTTAGAATTAAGGAGATCTTCCAGTTTACTTTATAGTCTTAAGTTAGTTGTGTTAAATATATTTTGCTGCTCGTAGTGGATTTATCAAACTTAAACATGATTAATTTTGGTAAATAATACATATGATTTAAAAAAAAAAACATAATAGTTAGAATTAAAGGAGAAGAAAAAAAATTATCTCATTTGTTAGACTTAAAATAATGAATTCAATGTAAAATTTACACACAGATACTAGCTAATCCTATGCAGGTTGGCTTTTCTATTGTACCCTTAAAAAAATGCAAATAATGCTTTTAACTTTGACTTTTAGGTGATATTTGGTATAATAAATGTTTTAACATTATTGAGAAACTAAAAATTATTCATATTTAATTGGAAAAAAAAATCAAACATACGAGAAATCTATGAAGCTTCAAGAAGTTGAACTATAAGTGAAGTTACGTGTGTCATGGATTAATAATCAATTCTCCAATCATAGTTTAAAACTTGTTAGGTTTAATTGTAATTTTGGTATTTCTAGTTTGGACTGTATATAGTTTTTTTATTTTCAACTTTTTTAACTAACTACTAATTTGATTTTAAAAGTTAGCAAATTAGTCTCCCACTGATTTTTTTCTACTTAAACTTCTTAGTTTTTTATTTGGTTCTAAACTTTTTAGAGAAATTGTAATAAAATTGGAATGTGAATAATTTTTAAAAAGTTTAGTAAAAACTTAATAAAATATAAAAAAACTTTACAAGGTGTGAGATTAGAGTTTGAAGAGAAAAAAATTTGGAATGTTTTATTTTAAAAGAAATTTGATATTTTGTTGATGAGTTTTGATTGAAAAATAATTTAATTGATTCAATTTATAAATATTTTGATGAAAAAAATAATGAAAGATAAGATTTTTCAAGCTATAAAAGTTAAATAATGGCGTAAAAATTTTAGAGATTAGAATTGTTCGTGTGTTTTTTAAGGAGTAAAAATATTGCTTGATTATTTTTCAAAACAAGTAACGAGAGGAATTGACTTATATCGACATAGGTAAAAATTATGCTATATTTCTTTTATTGAGTGATTATTCAATAATATTAGTTATTCATAGTATGATTGTAATATTACTTTCTTTTGGGTCAACGAATTTTACCATACTTGTGCCAACATGGTTTTGTATGAGTTTTTTCCTTCAGCAACAATGCAAATAAACGTACCTTTCTAAGCATTTTGTTTAACATATTCTTGTGAGATATTTACTACGATGCTTTTAAACTTGAGAGTATATTAAATATTTTATCTATATTATATTAAGATATTAAAAAATAATTATATTTTTTCTAAATATATTACTAACTTTACCATTAAAATTAATAGTTACGATTATTTTACATGTATAAGAGTATAGGATACTCCTTTATCCTTCAGAGCTTTATAGAATTTACTTTTTTGTAATAGACTAAAATTTGAAAAGACAATAAAAATTTTAAATAATTATTTACAACATTAGTATTTTAATTTTCAAAACACTTAGCTAGTCATAAAAATATATATTCAAAATAATATATCATTAACTTTCCTCTTTCTTAAAACTTGCTAGACCAATCCTTCAAGACCCTAATTAAAAGCTAAAGCATCGCTATGTTGGGTTTCCATATTTGCTCTTTCGCCATTTTGGGTTCACTGCGTGTGGGTCTTCAGTTATGGCGATTTTGGGCTTTGAGATCTATAAAAGAGTTAGAGTAACGATGTTTTGGGTACGTTTTTGTTTGGTTTGGACAGTTTTATACTAATAGATTGTGTTTTATTAAAAATGCGTTCACATAATATATCTCTATTATGAATTACATAACATCATTGTTTTTAAGTATTTTTATCTTATGCTTTAAATTTAATGACATGCATTATAAAAAATACTATTGTATATAATTACTCAATTTTTAAATAAACGATAATTAACATTTGATATTTCATATTGAAACTACTACGTACACTACATACATAAAAAATAACAAGTTTGTATATCTCACTTTACTTAATGAGTCACACTTTTAATTATGTGAATATAAAAAATATTCTTTATTTAAAAATAGTAATATAATATTACTTAAGAGAGTAAATTTACAACATACTATATTTTTAAGAGTTATATCTCTTAAATATGTAATAGAAGTAGATAGGTAGGTTTAATTATATTTTTTTTTTATTTTTCATAAATAATTATAGAATTAGTTTTCTTTCTACTTTTTTTTATAAAGAATTAACGCAAATATTATTTTTATACTTAGAATTTATAATTTATCTATAATATGTACATTTATTAAATTTTATTAGTAAAAATTCTATGCAGTGTATGAATATTATAAAATAAAAATACATAATTTGAAAAAATATTACCCAGCTTTTAAAATGTAATAAATTTTAAAAGGAGAAATTTTTTTATTACAATAATTAATATTTTATTATATTAAGTATAATTATATTAAAATAGAAAAAATTAAAAAATTAAATCAAAATAATTAAACTGATGAAATTTACCTACTCTCACTTTGCAAAATAAGTTACACGGAATATATTTAACTCAAAATTAATACAGACAAAATAAAAACACAATTTTTAAGTACTATTTACTAGTTAAAATCACAGTTTGTTATTATTTTTTTTATAATACACAACAACATTAAATACAGTTTTTTTTTTAAATAAAAATTAAATTTTAATTAACAAATAGCATTAACAACACTTATAAAACAATATATCAATTTTATCCAAGCAATAATATGAGCTTGCAGGACAAAAAATAAATTCACATATTATCTCAAAATAAAAAATATTTAGCAGTAACGGAAGTAGAATTTAATTTATTTGTATTTTTTAAATTATAAATAACAATATAAATAAAAAATTGCCAAAGTTGTGAATATGAGTAGGTTAAAGGAGTGGGAAGCAAATAAGTGATAATGTGTTATAATGGTTGGTGGTGTCTGTGCCTCTTCTGATCCTTTCTTTACAAAAACCTAAATTCTGCACGACACAGCCCTCTCCACTCTCCATATCCAAAAAAGCTCGCGTTTTCTCTCCCTCCGAAGAAGCTTCCAGAATCATAGTAAGTTCTGAAACCACCACTCAACTATCGCTAGGGTTTTCGCATTATCATCTTCTTTTTTCAACCTTTCAATTTCAATTTTTCTTCGGAAAATGAAATTCAAACACGAGTCTCCTCGTTCTACTGTTCTTAAGAGTTGCATACGCTTTCTCACCATTCCTTTCGCATCTGAACTTGTGCTGTGCGTTTTCTTCGTTACCGATTTTGGTCACTTAATTTAACTTTCTCTGCTTCGTTATTTTTTGGATGAACGCTGGATTTGTTTTTTTTTTCCCTCATTCTTTTCGATTAGGGTTTTATTTTATGCTGCTGCTGTGTGCTTTTAGTTTTTTTAAGGCATTGGAAGTTATGGCGGTTGGATTTAGGGCTTGTGCGAACATTTCACGGTGATTGGTGTTTACTAGTATACTCCTTGACGAGTTAGTGTCGATGGGATAATTGTTGGGGTGTGTGTGTGTGTGGTTTGATTTGTAATTTTCACTATTGGGGTTTCTGTGGAAGATGATACTGATGAATTGTTGTTTCGTGTGTTTGGTTTTGTAGCTGCTGCGATGTCTGGGGAAGTTTATGATGAACAAGATGCAGGCTATGTGCCTGAGAGCCCTGAGTTTCCACAAAACCATTCTGATGAACACAATGGAGGAAATGTGATTGATGACTCTGGGTTTCCACAAGTGCAGCCTGATGAACATGACATGGAGAATTTGGCTGAGGATGCCAATCTTCCTGAAAATGAGTTTGATGGGAATGATGTTGAAGGTGAGCCTGGAAACTCTGATTTTCCTCCGCAAGAGCATGCCGAGGAACATCATGATGGAGGAGATGTGACTGAGAATTTTGGCTCTCCGGAAAAACAGGGATCTGAGGAGGATTTGAAAGGAAGTGAAACAAAGAAGTGGCCTGGATGGCCTGGAGAGAATGTATTTAGGATGTTGGTTCCTGTGCAAAAGGTTGGCAGTATTATTGGTCGCAAAGGCGAGTTTATTAAGAAAATTACTGAAGAGACTAAGGCTCGTATAAAGATTCTTGATGGCCCTCCTGGAACTGCTGAAAGAGCTGTGAGTATATTTTTATGTTTTATTGTTATTCATGCTGTGTTGGATAATCTTTGGTATTTACTGTTTGGACATATTATACAAATTTCGTTTATTGTTCTTTAGGCTTATTAGAATGTGTTATCTGTGTTTGGATTTAAGTTGTGTTTGGTATCCTCCACTCTTCTCGAAGCTATGCTTTTATTGTTTTATTCCTGTTTTTCCCCTGGTTTGTCAATTTTTTATTGAATATGTTTGCCACATATAAAACCTAGATAGTGTCATGGAGCAGCCTACCCCAAAACTGCTATAACGGGGACAATGGGTAGTGGGTTGGCTGCTATGCTGAAAATTATAGATTCAAGATAAATAATTTATAATTTATAGTATAGATTCTATAGAATGAAAATAATTAAAAAATTATCCAAAACGAAAGATATATTCATAATTATTAATAAAATTTATAGTCTAACATACATTCACCATTAATTTAAGCTTTAATTAACAAATTGACAAATGAAAACATAGGAAATTAAAAGAAAAAAAAAACGAAGATGGCAGAAGTTTTAGAAAAACAGAGGGCCATGACAGAAAAATTAGTGTAATTTGAGGAACTATAAAGTATGAACACACTCAACACACTACAGCATGAAAAAGCAAAGATGTTCATATATGTTAAGTTGCCACAGTTAAGAAAGGCCCTTTCATTATACTGTTTTTTTAACTGCAAAACAGAGATTGGTGGTGAGCTCTGCCAGAAAATGAATGGGCTTGGCTGGGAAAGGGATGGATTGGGCAAAAGGGGGTTACTTTGGCCAGAATATGTGTGTACTGTCAAGGTGTGACAGGAAAATGGAGGAGCTAAGGTGCAAACAGGGAATGGTGGTACTATCCTCTGCAATATGGCATGTGTGCCACTGTTGATACCTATGGTTTGTAGTCATGTTACATATACCATAAAACTGATATACAATGGTTAAACATGATTGCCATTGTTAGGGCTGAAATTACATGTCTTGTATGGATTCGTCACACGATCATTATGAATCAGATTCATGAAAGTACAATATAGGGAACATCAGTTCATGAAAATTAATACCGTCATACTTGTTGATAATCCCTAACTCTATATCTTCTGGTAACTGTTTAGTTCTTCAATATGGAAAATTGTTTATTCTGATAAAACATTACAACACATATGAATACTATTGCTAAGGAATCATCTTATGCAAACAAAAACTTTTATCAAGGGAGTGAAGCTATAAAAATATACATAATCCAGCTGAACCCAAGAAATGATAAATAATCAAACAGGTTAATATATATAAAAAGGGATGTCTTTTGTCACGATAACCAGGTGGATGTGTGCAGGTTGTCAGCAAATATGAATGACCAAAGTGGCTTCAAACTGAAGAGCCAAAGTTCAAGTTGCAGGGAAACAGCAATGAGCATATACAACTGCTGAAATGTTGTTTTTGACTTAAGAATCAAATAGGTTGTGCAGACTTTGGTGGCAAGAAGCTTTCACTGTACCTGGTAACTTCAGAACTTGGTCGATTGGTGTCTTGCCACACTCCCTAAAGCACTTTCCTCAGAAACACTATTAAAAGTCACTGACAAGAAAAAAAAAAAAAAGCTTCTGAAATTTTATCCAAATATTACTAAGCGCACTCAATTGGTTAGATGAAATTTGGAGACTGATAAAATCTAGAAATGAAGAATTATTAACTAAAGACAAAAGAATTGATACTAATTTTTTAATCCAGGGATGCACCAGTCTAAAAAAATGTAAAGAAAGTTGAAACTGAATTTAGTTTGATGTAGTTAAAATCTATAGGAAATGAAAATGTAGTTCAAAACTAAAAATAAAATTTTATTTAATTTTGCCAGTGATGCAATAGTGATATGTTTTTGTAACATTGAGATGAATCAATTAGTGAGTCAAGTATATAAAATTAGCTTGTTTTAAAATTTGGAAGTTATCTGTTTTTGGTGTTTTATAAGGCCTGCTTATGTAGTTTTTCTGAATTTCCTTTTTCATATTTAAGGTAATGGTTTCTGCAAAAGAAGAGCCAGATCGCAACATACCACCTGCTGTGGATGGTTTGTTAAGGGTTCATAAACAAGTTGTCAATGTGGACCGTGATCCTGCAGATAGTGCATCAGGTGCAGCACGCCCAGTTGTTACGCGGCTTCTAGTTGCTGATACTCAAGCAGGAAGTTTGATTGGGAAACAGGGGTCCACTATAAAATCCTTTCAAGATGCCACAGGTTGCAATATACGCGTTCTTGGCTCAGGTATGTTCACAGGAATTGGAAATTACATTAGGAAATGCTGCTTTTGTCAGAAAATGCATTGCATGCTATCAATATCACCAAATCTAAAACCTCTCAGACACTAATTTTTGTAATCCTATTCTTATCATGTATTTGAAAAGTTGTGCATTTTTTTCACAAGAAAAGCACTAAATATTTTAGTACACATATTGGAGAAACGTGATTTGTTATATTTTAACTGATTATTACTATATCTGAATAATATGTTATATACTACAGAGCACCTGCCTGTTTTCGCTCTGCGAGACGACAGTGTTGTTGAAATACAAGGTGAATCTGCTGGGGTTCACAAGGCTGTTGAGCTTATTGCAATTCATCTACGTAAATTCTTGGTTGACCGCAGCATAGTTGGAGTATTTGAAACACAGGTAAATTCAATTTATTTTTCATTGTTTTTCCAAAACTGAACGGTTTAATTGGCCAGATTAAGAATGTATATAGATGAGTCATGAGATTCATTGTGGCATGATGAGTCATTCAGCTGATTTGAATGACCTAACCTAGTTATGAATTGGTGTTTTCAAGTTTAGGTTATATTTGGGAACAATGGATTGGGGTAGCTTTGTGATAGGGTGGGAAGGAAAGCATTATATTTTAGGCTACTTGTCAATTGCATGTAGCATGTATACCTGACGTTCATCATTCACTGTCCTTTTTGTTTTGTATTTTGGGAGGGAGTTTCATTGTTTCTTTCAAGTTTCAAGTATAATGGCGTTTTTTCACATGCTTTGGATTGAAGGAAAGCTTTGCATTCTTGTTAGCGTACATGGACCATCTGAGGGATAAGGCTTAGTTGTTGTTGTTGTATGGACCATCTGTACTACTATTCATTGTGTGGATAATTATTATTTTCTTCTTCATCCAAAACTTCAGATGCAAAGGCCAGATGTTCGAGGTAACCAGAATGTACCACCACACCAACCTTGGGGTCCTCCTCCTCAAGGGTTTCCAGCTCCTGGCAGTGGTGGTGGACCCGCTTTTCCACCCAATCCTCAATATAATATGCCCCCTTCACATAACTATGATACTTACTATCCCCCTGCGGACATGCCTCCCATGGACAAGCATCTTCATCAGGGTCCACCACCTGCCTATGCAAGAGATGCTTCTATGGGAATTCACTCATCCAGCACCCAGCCTCAACAATCTGTTGTGACTAAGGTAACTTCCTTTGCTCAACTTAAGTATTGCAGAGAGCAACATTGGTTTTGAAGTAATTTTTTATCTTGACTTGATTTAATTTCTTTTATACTACGTAGGTCACGCAGCACATGCAAATTCCTCTGTCCTATGCAGATGCTGTTATTGGAGCATCAGGGACAAATATCAGCTACATCCGTCGTGCCAGTGGGGCAAGTATTACAATCCAGGAGACTAGGGGTGTGCCAGGGGAGATGACTGTTGAGATAAGTGGTACTGCTTCACAAATACAGGCTGCCCAACAGCTAGTGCAGGTATTTGATTTTAATGGTAGAGAGACTGACAATTTTTTTGTGATTGTATGTTGTAGTAGGGGCCAGGGGGTTAATTTTATGTCTTTAATTTATGTTCATTCTTGTAGGCGATCATAGCCTCCTCCTATATCCTTGTTAATTCTTTTCTTTGGATGACATGTTTTGCTCCCCACAGTTTGTAAATAATTTGTGTATATTATTAATTCCAATTATAAATGTGTTGGGTTAAAATAAGTTTTTTTTATTTATTATTTACAATTCATTCCTTACATACAGGTTTAAGTAAACCAATATAAATCAACAATAGCATCAAATGAAAGGGAATGCGTTTGACATCCAAGTATTTGTTTGTTTCTGGGATTTTTGTTGTGAGGTTTGAATGACAACTGATGAAGTTAGGCTAAATGAATATTATTAATATTGCAGAGGATAAGACAGATTGTAATTATCATTGCTATGTGAGTTAATGCTGCTTTTCTTTTTCTCAATGAACATGGAATTAATGGAAGTTGAAAGCTTATGTTGAGAAGAAAACTACAGCAGCATGTGAAATGGGAAGCAACAATTGCTCTGAACATTATTGGGGCAACTCTTATCGTCGCCCCCTCTTGTTGATGCTCTTGATTTGTTGTTATTATTATTATTATTATTATTATCATTTTATTTTATTTTAGTATGTGTATCTAAATTGACCGCAATCTATCTGATGCAGAATTTCATGGCTGAAGCTGCAAGTGCGACACAGGATCATATGGGGGGTTCAATTAATCAAGGTTACAATTCCTATCCAACTAATGCTCCTGTTTATGCATCTCCGCCATCAAGTGCTGGGGGTCATGCAGGTCATGTACCTTCTGCAGATTATGGTCCCGTTTATGGCACTAATTATGGTTATTGAGAACATTACATTCAATTTTAGTTGAGGAGCCTTGTGTTTTGTAAACATTGCGTTCAATCCTAGTTCTTGTGGGTATTGTAACCAGGCCTGGGCATGCCCTGTGTCATATATCCCTTATGTCTATCACATTTGATATAATGACTGGATAGGATTTAGAGGATATGAAATTTGTTTTCTTCTTTTTAATTTTATATATAGTTGCCTAGTTTGTTTGGTTCTTGTTTTCAACTGGGATTTTTAACTGGTTCTAATTTAAATGCAGTCGAAAAAATTTAATATAATCGCAGGCGTGACTATATTTAGAGTAATATTTTAAGTGTTAGGGTAGACCTGGATTTAATAGAAATTAGACTGGATTAAGACGCTGTGATTTCTTTCATGTTATTCATTGGAATTACTCCCTGAAGTATGATTGGGAAGTTTAGGAAATGAATGTCTACAAAATTGTTAAAATTTACAGTTAGACGAATAATAGATTTAATTTTATGCTTTATCTTAAAGTTTATTTTATATTTTTAGAAGAGATAAATCTAAATGAAAAATTATGTCCAAATTTTAGGCGTTTTATACCATCAGAAAAGATTGTTCTGACCAATTACTCATTATCCAATTGCAAATGAATTCTTTGAACACTTATTTTTATATCTTAATTTTACATTTATTTTATATATTATATTATTCTTTTATTGTCACATTATTTATTAAATCTATATATTTCTAATCTCTTTCAACAGCTATTTTATGTATTTTTTAAAAGTTTTAATCACATTATTTTCGCATTTATAATTTTTCTTGAAGTTGCGTTCCAAATTTTCTTTTTAAAAACATGGATAAACTGATAATTGGTAAACTAGGATATCCCTCCAAAATTTAGATTTTATGGGAGAAAGTTAGCTCGTATTCCATTCTTTTCGCACATTTTAACGTCACCTTTATAACTTTTATCTATTATTTAGTCATTATAATACAATTCACTCAACTTTATACCGAGACATAATTGAAAAACTGGGAGAGAGTAAGTGAAATGGTCTGTTTTGAAGTGAGAAAAACATGTCATAATTTTTATCGTTTCTTGAAACATCTCTGCAACACAAATTTGGACTCCAATAATAATAATATCATCCATTTATAAAGTCTCTCTCTCTCTCTCTCTTCACATTTATTTTCTAAAAATATAATTTAATAATTATAAAATTTGTTGTAATTTGTAAATAATTATATATAATAAAATTATTTAAAAATTAACTTATTTAAAAATAAATTTAATTTAACTCTATTACTACAAATAGTATGTATTCAAATGATAAAAATTTAATAAAATTATAATTTTTAATAATATATTAAGAATCATGAACCTCCATTCTCGTAAATAAACATGCGTTTTCTTCTATTCAAATTTTAATTATTCCGTGTTGACGAAAAAATAAATAAAATTCTGTGAAACAGTTTGAAGGGAAATCTCCAAAGAAAAGAGAGAACCTGCCTAGCGAAATCGAAGGAACCGACAACCACTAAAAACGAGCACAGTCGCAATGTTATCAATAAAGGGAGCTATGGACAATTCAGGCAACAAATTATGCAAATATAAATGCCCAAAAATTTGAAGATAAAAAATGTTGCCTATATTGTAATAATTGGTTTCTTCCAAAAGAAGCAAAGATTGTACCCAAGTACTAGACAATGCGTTCCTGTCTAATCTTAATCTATCATCTAATATTTAAGAACAAAAACTATGTAGCAAAACATTAATGTTTGCATGAGAGTGAGTATAAGACAATGTATTGCATCTATGCTCTAATCACTATTGCAATGTAATTTACATTGGGACAGAACATGTAGTTCGAAAATGCCCTGGTTGGTTGCAACGGCTACAGTGCACAACACGTTTGGTTGGAGCACCACCACCATCTTGTGCAGCAGAAGCAGCCCTTTTTTTCCTTGATCGACCAATTGGCCTTAGAGACTTTGGTGGGTTTATAACAAGCTCCAACATGGCTCTACTACCCTCCTCGTATTCATTCATGTTCCACATGGTTCTATCTGCAATGGGGTGTATGGTTTGTGAATATGCTTTGCGATAGTTTGTGACAGTGAAACAACTTTCAGTGAAACGATGCACGTTCTGCTTGCATGACAGCAGAACCGCCACTGCATGAGAACATGGTAAGCCACATCTTTGCCATCCATAACATGAACAACACCTTGTGCGAATGTCTACTACATATTGTCTTGATCTTGAGTGGCATAACACTTCAAATTCAGCCTCATTTCCTTTTAACACCTGATACTTGTGTGCTTCTTCTATTGCATTTGACACTTGCTTCTCAGCAAAGGGAACCAAGATGCTAATCCAATGCATGCTGGCTTCGCGCCGTTCGTTGAACAATATCATTAGTTTGTGGCGGATGCACTCCATCATTTGGATAATTGGGAGCCCTGAGGCTTCGACTATCAAAGTGTTCAATGATTCAACCACATTGGCTGTTAGATGGCCAAATCTAGTTCCTTCAAAGTATGCTGTGGCCCACAAATGAGGTGGTATTCTTCGGATCCATGCTGCTGCTTCTTGTGACATTTCTTCTAATTCGAGGATTTTGGTTTCGAACTCAAGGGGTGTGAGGGAACAAGCAGCTTCCCAGAGGATTTTGTTGAGAACATTGTTGTTGAATTCTTTAAGGAAACTTTCACTCAAGTATTGCATGCAGAACCCATGGAAAGCACTAGGGAAACTCATTTCTACTCCATCCACAATAGCTTTCTGTCTGTTGGATAGAATTGAAAGCCTTGGCATGTGCCCAGTGTTAGTTTCAAGTAACATATGTAGCTCAGATAGGAACCACATCCAGTTCTCATCAACGTCTTCATCTACCACCCCAAATGCTAGAGGATATAGACCACCATCACCATCAAAACCAGTGGCTAAAATCAAAGATCCAAGATACTTGCTTTTAAGGGGGACACAATTGAGTCCAATAACGGGACGGCAGCCATTCAGAAACCCATAAATTGATGCTTGAAATGATATGAATAGACGTTGGAAACATCCATCATTAGGATTTCCATAAACCAAAGCTATACTTCCAGGATTTGATCTTTTGAGTTGTTCACAATACTGAGGAAGTAGGTGATATTCTTCTTCAAATGAGCCCCTAATAGCAGCCATAATCCGCTCCTTTCCCCTCCATGCTTGTTTATACGACAAGGTGATCCCATGAACACGGTGGATCTCTTCTAGTATGTCTTTTGGCTTGCAATTCGGATTTTCCCTAAGCTGTTGTTCCACAGAATTAGCAACCCATTGCACTGAGGCTTGCTGATGACCCAAATGAGTGATTCCAGCACAAGTATGTGGCTCTCGGATGGTCCTAATTGTGAAGGTTGGAACATCAGGAAGCTTTGCAGCATGAATTCTCCAAGAGCATCCTTCACTTGCACATTGGGCAGTGAAACGAACTTTGTCTGATTTTAGTATTTGTATCTCAAAGTGAAGAGCAATGGCTGCCTCTCTAAGTGCCCTTCGGCAGCTATGAACATCAGGAAATTGTTGCCCAACAGTGAGTTGATGGTTAGGAGAGGGATCAAGGGCTCGTGACTGGAGAACAGGTGGAGTGCAAACAATATCCGTCTGTTGCACATCAATCATATCTGATACAGCTAGATTATCCATTTCCACATTTTGATCCAATGAAAACTCTATCTTCTGAGGATGATCATGATTCTCAACAATAGCTGGTTGGCGATCATCTGACAAATTCAATTCAAATGGCTGATTAGTTAGAGCCAATCTATTATCATAGCTATCAGAATAAGCACGGTTCTGAACCTGACCATCTGCATCCAACTTGTCACCACTTTGCTCAAGATTCTGAGCATGTTCTAGTTGTTGAAGTCGAGAAGCCATGCCATCATGCTCATGCTTTTGGGTTGGACCCTGAGCTAGTCCTTTATTATCTTGAGTACCCTCCAAATCTGTTTCTTGGATCCGTTCAGAATCCAATTTATGAACTGAATCATGATCATGGATATGGTCAATTCCCAAAGTACAAACCGGCATAGATGGAAGATTCTGACTTTGACCAACAATTAAATCATGCTTTGCCATAACGAACTCACCACTTTGACCTAAACAAATATGCTTCTGGCTGAGACTGAGGATCAAAGTTCACAGCACAACAGAATTCTCCAATATATCGATAACTCCCCCAAACTCTCTTGAAGTCCACAGTACCAAACCGTGACGACAATAACATGAACAGCAACAATTCGAACCAAACCAAATCTGAAACTGCGGCGCCAAATATAATTATTGCATAAGCTGCAATAATAGTGAATTTCCCAAACTGAGTCAGTAAACAAAAAATACTCAAATTTTGCAACTGAACGAACTGAATTTTTCGCCTTTAATATCAATCAAACACATGCAAATGAATCATAAAGAATGACAAAACTCTCCTTTTCACACACCCCTTTTATCTTTTCACAAGAAACCGGGTAAAATTTTCACAAAGCTTGTTCCCTTATGATTTCTTTTCCTTAATTACAACAATTCCTCTCATCAAAACCAACCCATCAAGCCAAAAAAAAAACTTACTTTTGCTTCAATAATTCAGTTTCATTGGATGAAAAATAAAAATCGAAACTTTCTCCAATGAGACAAAAACAGAGAGAAAACAAAGGAATCCATAGGTTTCGAACACACACAAATTAAAAGGTGTTGGGAAACAAAGTGGCTGGTGAAACCTGCAATTGAAGACATTAACAGAGAATCCATAAATCACAGTTCAAAGAACAAATAGAAAGAGGATGAAAAAGAGAGAGAAAAATTTGAAGTATGAAAGTTTGGCGGGGATGGGTGAGAGGGGAAAACCTGAAATCAGAAGGGCAATGGGAAGTGAGAGAGAAGGGCAAAAGGGTCGCTCCACTATGGAGTACTGAGCAACGGAGATAACCTGTTAGGGTTAGGTCAAACAATGTTGGGGGTATTTATGTCATCCTCTTTCCAAATTGGTCGTTCGTCTTTCACAACTTCCCTTTTTACCCTTCCTCTCACTCTGCTCCCTAACACTTGCACTTCCACCCTATCTTTAGAAGTAACAAACCCTCCCATCTACTTAATTACTCATTGCATGGTAATATAGGGTTTGTTTGCAAGCTACAATCGAAAAATTAATTACACTTTTAATAAAAATATATTTTAATAAAATTGTGTAATTTAAATTAATTTATGCATATTTTTATTATATTCAAAAATACAATATTTTTATTATATTCAAAAATACAAAATATATTTTTAAAAAAATTCATAAACTTATTAAATTTAACGTATTGTGAAATATTTATTGTTCTTGTAAAATTTTTAAAATTTAATTTTTAATTCCTAAAAAATATTTAGTCTTCTATTAATAGAATACATACAAAATTAGTTATTACTGTTATTATTTATCGTTAATTAAATGTTACACACAATAAATAAAAAGAGTAAATGTATATTTTGTCATTTTTTATTAATAATAAAATTTTGTTATACTAAATTACTTAACAATACACGTTAGTATCTCACTTGTCATACACGTATTACTTTTGAAACAAAATTTATTATTTAAAATTTTAAAGTGATTTACATGTGATATTTTTTTTTCCACCTTTAATTCCAAGAGTAAATCCTCTGAAAAGATCAAATTTTAATGTGAAGCTCATCCTCTCCACAAAGATTCATTGAGATGGAATTATCCTTCATAATAAAGATGGCATTGTGTAAACTCTATGAATGAATTTTAAGGAAGAAACTCAAACTAGTAACGAAGGATGGGTCTCACTCAAATAAAGAAAAGTAAGGAAGCATTTGAGAATCATTTTGGTAGCCACAAGTTAAGGATATTTTTTTACAATTGTAGAAGGTATTTTGAAGTACGTAGCCAACAAGTGATTCTACCTTTTCTTCCTTTTGTTATGGGGTATTGGAACCTTTTAAAATCATTAACATAGAAGTAGTCAAAGTGCTTTGAGGTGTAAGCAAAGGATCTCCAAGGGTTTCTAGGAATGAGAGAATGTATACACAGACACACTGACAATTAATTATCTGTTTAAAGTGGCAAATTATTTATATTATTTTTGTTTAAAAACTATTGTTATGGCCATTAGTTAATCTTTATCACATGCCATTGATTTCTCATCAACATTTAATTATTTTATGGACAAAATTTAAGCAAGTAGATACTATCAGTGTTATTCTCGAATCAAAAATAAAATTTCACTTTGATAATTTATACAATACATGTCAATATTAGAAGTTAGTACATCAACGTTAAATGCTAACACAAATTACTGAAATAAAAATATAATTTTGATTAAAAAAATAATACTAACAAACACTTACGATGGTTTACTCTAGTTTTGTCTTTAAAATTTATGCTTGTACATTTACATTACTACCTTTTATAACTAATCTTTTGGTCATGTGACGTCACAAAATCTTATTGATTTTAAAACCATGATTTCGTGGCTTTGCATTAACCCTTTTCAATCACTGTATAAAGGGTAACTCTGATAATTAGTGAGAGCAACGAAAGTCATTTCCTTCTATCTATCATTTTTCGTCTTCTCTTCTCCTATTTTTTTAAGTAATTATTTGTGAGATTTCAAAGTGTTTTGCCTTGAGTGATGAGTTAGATTGTTAATTTTGTTAACTTTAAGGGCAAATCAATATTAATTTGTATTAGAGATTTGCTAAAATGTAGCTATAGAACAATAGTTATACCATAACTTTTGACTCTCTTTTTCTACTATTTTCTAACGGCACAATTGAATATCCTTCAAGAAGAAGGGAAAGAAAAAGCCATGCATAAGTCATGTGATTTGCTTAATTGTATAAAATTTTAAAGTCAACTAAGGTGACACATCTACAACAAATAAGGCATTGACAAGGTCTCTGCGAGACAACTTGTCACCTTACAAAATTTTATTTACGACAAGAACCAATTATAAACATTTTAAATTGAAGAACAATCAAATAAAAAATAATAATCATGACTAAAAACTAAATTTGTTGATTTTATGTTGTCTCCCTGCCTCCTTTAACTTGATCCATGGATTTTAAGAGATTAGGGAGAGGGAAAAAAAAAACAATAAAGCCTTCATAACTTGGTAGCAAGCTAACGGAACATAAAATATTAAAGTTCAAACTCTGTTACATGCAAAAAAATTTCAATGAAGAATTCAAATTAAATAGTAAGTCTTCTTACAATGAATTTCAATATAAAGATTTAAATTGTAAATTTAAAATTGTCTTACACTATTTTTAATTATTTATTTCAAATTTTTAATTTAATGTAGCTAAAATATTAATTAAGGGATTCATCACCTTTAATATCAGAGGCACAAATAACATCACCGTTAAGCCACCTATGCCCTCTTTCTTAACGCTATAGATTTGGCCATTAATAGATTAGTATAATGTCACTAATAATATTAACAATTAGTTAGATTCAAGTATTGAAGAGGATCTAGTGGGGTATTTATTAGTTATTAATATTAAGTTTGTGAATTTTTAGTTTGATTCATATAAGTAAGTGAATTTTTATTTTCTTTATATGACAAAAAAAGTATTTTAATTTTAAATATAAACTTATTTGGTAAATTAGTTAAAGAAATGAGATTACTTAAACATTTAGATTAATTTGAATAATTTACACATAACTCAGCTTATTATACATTTTATTAAATGCAAGTTATATTCAGGTGATTTAATATCTTGTTCTCAAATCCAATAATACATGTTAGAATTTAAGTAATAAATCTGCTGACGAATTGTATGTGTTCATCGAAACATATTTCATTAATTTGAATCATTTGATAATATATTATTCCTCCTAGGTTTCTTGTCAAAGTGGAAGTCTGAACTTTTAGGTTTAGTTATCAGAAATTCTGATATTCAGAATTTATTTCTCTATCTTTTAGTCAAATACCTTGGATAATTCACAAGACTACACAGCAAGTATTAATAGTGTTTATTTTATTCTTGTACAAATATCTATGAAGTATAAATATCTATATTAACCAAGAAAAGAAATTCATTAATGGTACTACACACTCGTAATAATTGGACAACTCCACAAATCAAAAGTAATCAAAACACACCATATGAAAAAAAAACACAGAAAAGAGACAAAATCAGTTCGATCTCAATGATCTTAAATGTTGCCCTTGAATTGAGTCCTTGTTATGGATTGCTTCAATTGCTTTAGTTTGTTAATTTTATTCTTGTAGTCCATTTTGGTTTTTGTTCGTTGATATTATGATAAAATACTTTTTGCTAAGAATTGTATGAATATGCCTTTCCACTTTATTATTGATCTTCATCTTTCTTTAAAATTGATCTTACCTTTACATAATTGATATTACTCGTCCTTTTTCTTCTTTTTGATATAAACATTTCTTTATCTCCTTTCCCTCTTGTATGATCTTTCTCCATATATAAACATTCATCATCCTTGAGTTTCTTTTTTACTACGACTGTTATCAATACCATCCCCTTCCAAATTGTCAGTGAAGCATCGTCAATGTATCCAAGTTACTATACAATAATGAGATTAGAAAAGTGGTTATGGGGCAATTGAAGTTGCTATGTCACTGTGACAGTAAATTATAATATAAGTATCTAAATATTATACAATGACTCTCCTTTCACTGTGAATTTTTTTTTAAAAGAAAAAATCTATTGTAGGAGGATGATCCTATTTTCGCAAAGGAATTGTGAACCCAACAGATTATCTATCGTGCCAAATAATTTGTGGGACCATTTTTTTGCAATGAAATAGTGAACCAAATAAATAGTCTACTTTGCCAATTGATTTTGCACAACCGGATCGTGATTCGATTACAAAATGTAAAACATGAACTTGGGAATTTGTACTTGCATTTAGGAAGAAAAGTGAAAAGTTTTTAAGAAAGTGGTGAAGAAAAATATTTAAGGTGTCTGTCTCAAAATTAAACGGTAAGAAAAACATAGAAATGAAAGAAAACATGGATAAAAATATATATAATGTTGGGTTTATTATTTAAAAGTTGATGATCCTATTTTCAAATACCCGCATAGATAAGATATTATCGTTTGAAACCTAATTAATAGTATATTGTATTTTGTATCACAGGTATATATTATCTTTACTCCTTCATTGATCTAATTAAATTTCAAAATCAAATAACTCAAGTACGAAATATGTATATTTTTAAACTCAAGTCCAGCCCTTGAGTTATTAATATTTCATTTCAACTTTGTGATGATGTAAAATCAATTTTTAAATAAACTAATTTCATTTGTATTTAAATTATATTGATTTGTAATATCGTTATTAACTAGGTTTAGAGTTTTGACACATCATTTAGGAAAATGTTTCTTGAATATTTAGGACACCTTTAGATATGTTGTTGTGTTATGAGATTATTTTTGAAATATATGTACATAAAAATAAAAATAAAAATTATGTATAATGAACTTGTATCATTGTACTTTTGCGGAATTGTCGAAGAAAAATGTCACACGTGGATCTTCTAAGCTCTACGTCTAATTTTTAAAAACTTGAACTCTTTAAGTAGATTAACGATACACTTCGCACGAATAATAAATTGATGATAAACCATAGCATCACAATTTTGTTTTCCTTTCATTTCTGTTGCCATCATAATGGGGTTAATGCCTATTACAAGTTTTTGTTTCTTGTGTCAACGATTCACATACTCGCCTAACAAAATAAGGCAGGATACTAGAAGGCCCATACACAAGTCCACATAAAATATACAAATAAAGAACTAAATTACGGATATATTAGTTTAATTAGTATAAATGTTTCTTTCTTTTAAATCCAAAGTCAGTGAGAACGAACTTTAGAGACTATTTGTTTTAAAGAATATTTTATTTTATTGTTATTTAATTACAAAAAATATCAACTTTTCATTTTGTTTCCTGCATTAAAATGTTTATAAAGAAAACAATTTTTATTATTATTTTCAATGATTTTATACAAACTTTTAAAAATAAAAAACATATAATTAAAATTTTAAAAAAATTGTACAAACGATCCTTTAGTTACTCTTTAGATGTTCACAACCAATCAAGTACTGTGGAAGAGACCCAAAAACCAAGTGATCGCACCTATTACCATTTTGGATAGCACATTTTGAAGTTTGAACCACAGCAGTAGCAGATATCCCTTTCAATATTGGGCTGAAAATTGGGTACCACACACCAATATAATAAATCAATCGACGGTCTAGTTTACTGTTTGTGGTAAAACAACTCGGCCCAACCCCCAACTATAATGTTGACAAATAATTCCAAATATAACAAACCGATATTAGTAATTAGTAGATTTAACATAAGACAGACTGCAGCATTCAAAACACCATTTTTTTTGGCTACACAACTATTGTATTTTCGTATTCAAAATATTGGAGTCAAAGAAACAAACTTTCCCTGTGTCATCAAGCAACTATGACAAAATCGAGACTATTGCATATCACTGCTTGCGATGCATCCATGCAAAAATGAAGCAAAAAAATTGGAATCTCAGAGGATAAAAGTTCTGCCTCACCGGTTCTGAGAGTAAAATTACCTTTGACATCAAAGAAATACAGTGGAGACTGAAATGTAAGAAATCAGTAAAAATGCTGCTACCTTTCATGTGCTAGCTCAAAACAATGCCTTTTAAATCACCTATCCTAATGTAATCCTGTTGAGATAAAACTCTGCTGTCGTAATGCTTAGTTTTTCACTTTTACTGGATGACAAAGTGAACAACTCAAGAATCGGGAGAAGAGTTATTTCACATGTATCGATATGACAGTGGCTGCAATCCATCTTTCCACACCTATCAAGTTTGCACGTTCCCCACTGCCCGTGGAAATTCAAGCTTGGGCAAGAGCTCAGAGGCAACCTTGTCAAATGGGACAAGGTTGAGTCCATTTCTGTTTCCATTCATGACACTTGTCAGACACGTTATTTCCTGAGATACCTCATTCTTTTCAAGTAAGTCAGTCCAAAATTCAACATCTTCGTTGAGGTTTGATGATCTTAATATATGCACAACCTTCTCCAGTGTTGCTACATTCCTACCAGCACCACAGCCCATGGCTGTTGCAGCACCAACTGCGTTTGCAATTGCTAATGTATTAACCAATGGCATATTATGTATAAAACCGTACGCAATAGCAGCTACAAAACTGTCTCCACACCCAACAGTGTCAATAACATTCACCTGAGAAAATTTTACAAATTCAATTAGTTTCCACTAAAAGTTGTAACAAAAAATTCAAGTGTTCACAAAAGGAAAAAGAAAAGAACAAGACATAAATTTAACAAATATTATTGCAAGAGAGACGAATGTATTTGAACAATCAAAAGAAGAAGTAACAAGTTATTCTCAGAGCATACCAAATTCTTGAGATTGATCATTCCTTTGATATTAGGATGTGAGAAATGTGTGTTTGACTCATTTAAAGGACAAAAAAAAGATCTTCCAGTGGAAGAAACCACAAGCAATGTTCATGACAACATTTTATTTTGAAATACTGTCTTTCATAAAATGTTATAGCCTTAATTGTCCCCCTTTTCATCAATTTGTCGTCAACTGAAATTTTCACCTTTAAGCCAATAATACTTATGTAACACCGAATACCATAGTGGGCCATAGCACAGTTAAGCAGAATGGTAGTATATAAACTGAAAACAATCATTATGTTCCAAAGTTGCAAGAATTCAACAGAAGAAATGAAGAGAAAATTTAGAATGAGAAGCTAATGCCTTGAATGCAGGTGCACAAGCTATACTTGTTGCAGTTATTAGAATTGAACCCTTAGAACCCATCTTTACAATCACCCATTTTGTGCGGATCCCTCTTTTAAGCAACTCCTGCCCGGCTAATATTGGATCTGCTATGCCAGTTAATGACTCAGCCTGTCAAACAAAACAATAAAATTGTAGATCTCATTAAATTAGAAAGTAGTTTGTAAAATTACCTAAAGATATCTGTAATTTGCATTACATAATTGTTTTGTGGGAATAAAAGAAAACCAAAATCTTTTATACATGAGTTATGAGATTGGCAGGCCAAATCTCACCAAAAACAGAAACTCCAATAGTCCTTTCCTTAAGCGGGAAGCTTGACAAATGACAGCAAATGGATTTTGTAACCAAAGTAAAAATTGCTAAGGATTTATACAATTTGATCAACTCAAGCCTATGAATTTCATGATATTTGGTATGTCTAATCAATAAACATGGAACAACTTTCTGGAGTCAGGAGGACGAGACTGCCACAAGTTCAAATTTTACTAAAGTATGAGATCTTGAAACTGCAGACTGGGGCTTTTGGAAACATAAGTGGATGGGCTTGGAACAAACTTGGAGCCGACAACCATGCTTAAAGGTTAAAACTTAGTTTGACCCAAGAAAGAAAGTTAAAACTTAGTTACCATCTAACGGTAAAATTTAGTTATTTGCCATCAGCCATGCAATTCTATGGTAGAGAAAGATTCTGGAGGCAGAGCATGTTTCTAAGAAAACGGAGAACTGACAGATGAGAACCCAGTTGTGTTGCAAGGATCAGTTTCATCCTTTTATAAATAGATATGAATAAAAAACAAACTTCACCAAAACTGTGGAGAACCAGGCACCAGTATGAGTGGGGAGAGCTTCGATGGTGAGGGTTGTGAGGGATGCAAACTAGATGAAGGATATATAGGGCTGCATGTTTACACTTTTCTTGCCCTGAACCTATAGATAGGCCATTGTACCTACCAATCAAGACCATCATTTGTTGAATGGACCATCCTTGAAGTCCATTGTGATCAACTAGATTGGTCCAAAAGCTGTTTGTGACTGAACTCATTCATCAAAGAATAAATTTGGTAAGGTGATGGGAAAAGTTAACATGTAAATGATTAACAAATCAGAAACAAGAAAATACAGTCTGAACTTCTACATCAGGACTAACATTTGAAATGCACCAAATTTCAAATATGCAGTTCAAGTGAAAGGTGTGTGATCACTGATCAGTATGTATGGGTTGCAATTGCATTGTAAAAACTTGCTTATGAATTGAGTTTAATTTGGTCCCACGTGCAGACATCCTACCATATTTTGACTAACAAAGACAGATGAAAAACAAGGTAAAACTGAACTGTTAACTGACACAAGCAAATGAATTTTCATGAAATTTTTGCATTAAATATTATCCTTTTCTTCATACTTCCAATTGTTTCACATGATTTTTGCTAACTGCGTCAAAAGCACCAACTGAAGCAAATTGAAATTTGCAAAACTATACAACATTTGTAAAGGTTCTGGAATGAAAGTTTTAGATAAAATACTCTTTTACAGGGTGAAAGAGTGCGCGAGTGCACATGTAGAAAAAGATGGACAAACAAACAAAACATGTCAAATTGTCCACACACTTAGGAGGAACGATGGAACACTGCATAAGGTGAAGAAGGTGCTAATAAACGCAAAATATGAATATGAAATCCTTAATATAAAAAAAAAACCTGAGAAATGGAAACAGATAAACACGAAGCACTTGACATGCATCTAAACACAAATGAAAAAAATATATATAGCTCTAATGAGAGATAGAAGTAGAAATATCATATTTTACAAAACAAAGAAAATAGTAATTATACACTAACATATCAGAAATAGTACAGTGCAAGCTTAAAGCACACAACATAAAAATCACTATAAGTATCAAGGATAAATGCAATACAAGGAGAGATTTAAAAGAAACCTCATCAAAAGTTAGAAGAAGAACGTCACTATTTCTCAGGAACTGGTTAAGAGCTCTTCGTTCTTCTGGGGTCCCAGTGGAGAGACTCTTTCCACGTGGTCCAGGATCAAAGAAGACTGATGTCCCAACTTCAACAGCATATTCCATTGCTGAGAGTAGTACACCAGGAGAGAGCTCATCAAAGCCATATCCATTACAGAACAAGACCTTTGAACTTTCAATAGCTATTTTAACTTCTCTGGACACTCTACTCATCCAATGAAACGCAGGCTCCTCACTAAAATCAGCCCGACTAATACATAAAACACACTTAAGCCTTTTTGTAAACAAAAATGATGAGAGCCACCATGATAGCAACAATACAAACGAATTTTACCTGCAAAAACCATGTCTCTGTAAAGGATCAACAAGAACCCAGCATAGAAGAGTATCATGAGAGGCACCACTACTACTAGAGCCATTGACAATGTCATCTTCAGTAATCATCCCAACCATACCAATGCCCTCCTCATGAAGCACATCCAGCAGAAACTCCCCATAGATTTCATTACCCACATGACCAATTGATAAGCATTTGAGTCCTAATCTTGCAGCCGCAATAGCCATATTACAATTCCCACCCGCTTCCCAATATTTCTACATAAAAAACCACATGAAATCATTAGTAGCAGTGATAATAACTTATATTACTTTTGGGGGAATAACAAGTTAGCAAATGTAACGACAACTGAATTAGTAGAGTTGAATTTTCATTGTACAGGGAAGATATTAAGGGACCCACAGAGAATGGAGAGAGAACCTTGTGAGGTGGGGAGAGAGCCAAGCGGTCCATGAAAGCCTTGCGTTGAAGGGGGGAAGGAGGGGGCAAGTGAGGGACATTCAAAACAATATCAACGCAGAGATTGCTCAGAGTCGCAACGTCGACGTTTTTTGCTGCAACTTTGGAATTCGGGGGTTCTGTGGGGACGGTCATTTCGAGGCCTTTGCAGGCCAATACGTGGGGGCGATTCAGAGACAAAAGGACGAAACCTCGTTTTGGTTTTGGTTTGGATTTGGATATGGACATGGAAGGTCCATGGTGATGCCACTGCTCGATTGGGGATTTTAGGGCTTTGGATGGGAGAGGCATTCAGCCACAACTGTTGAGGAAAAGCCAACTACTGCTTCAGTCCCTCTACGATTGAAGGAGAAGAAACTAAGGATAACATTTACACGACACGAGAGGGTTAAAACGTAATGGTATACGCCCTTTTCATACCTTCAAAAAACATTGTGAAATATATTCAAAACTTATTATATTCAATTAGCAAATAAGAAGACCTTTTCAATGAGCATTCCCAATTTCAAATTATTATGGTAACTATCATCCTCAAAAACATTGAAGGAATTCGGCTGTCATGATAATAACTTACATTTTTATATTAGTCGTTATCCTACATTATTATCAACTTGAAAAGTAGGCCTAAGTACCAATTATATCGTCATCTTGTGTTTGCATGAATAATTTTAATCACACATTTATTCAATAAATAAATTCAATTATAAAATTTATAGAAGTAAAGTAAACAAAATTACAAGTCACTTACACCAGACTAAATAAGCCCTTGCAAATAGCCAAATAATAAAGTTAACTACTCATTTAGGCTTTATAAATTGAAAATAACACATAACTCAATCATGCATTAATCTTTAAGTTACTGATAGTTCTAATGAAAAATTAATGTGTTTTATTATTTCTCAAGACCCCGCCATTTGATTATATAACAAACAATAAACTGTGAGTATTAACAAAAAGAACAAGGTAGGATAATAAAAAGAATAAAAAAGTACAATAATATTACTGAAAGGCTCATAAATTTATGATCCAATGAAATTCCAAAGAGATAAAATCGAAGTAAAAAGTTATATTATATTCCAGGAACCCACTACATATCTGTAAAAGTAATTAAACAATAAATAAAAATATAAATATATTGTACCCAAAAACAGAAATATTCACAAAAGCATAAAAATAGAGGTGAATATAGAGTCCCTTTTATCTCCTTTTCTTAATAAGGAAAGAAAAAAATGCCTTCCACATCGGTAAATATATGCTTAGAAATCGCAAATAGCCATATATTCCAAGTTCCCCAAAAAGTTGTGGCTAGCTATTCAGTTTGGTCTCAATTGGCTAGTTGACCAGCTCTCTGACAAATGGTCAACCTAAGGATAGGAGGCTGCCAAACGAAATCCTGGTCAAATGGCGAAGGTGCTACGATTATAAAGGTAGCCACTTTGAGGGGTCGGTGTATAAGATGCATGTCGAATTCACGTCTTGTTCTTTTTATCATATAAGAATATATTCCCCATAGCCACACCCCATATGATGTTTGCAAGCTTCCAGCATACCTTACGCAAAACTACATCTATTAGTTCAAAAATCGCAGATTCTTGATGCTCTTTGACAAGATGTTTCTCTTGCTATAACTTTTCACAATGGATCCAAATCAACCACACAAAAAAGAAGCTAGTAACTTAGGAAAAGGTATGCCTAAACAATCCCATGTAGCCTCAATGTTGCAGTTAAATCAAACTGCTAAATTTGGTAGCACCTATGTGAAGTCGAAGAACCATTGACTGCTTATTTATAAAATTGATGAAGATGCTCAAATCAACAATTCTAAATCTAAAGCCGAGTCTATATCTCAACCACAATTTTAACAAATTTTAAAATTATTCAAAATCCCACACTTAGTTGTCGAGCATCAGGGCAATTAGCTTGGTCTTCTTTTCTTAAATAAATGCATGTAGTGGATAATTTCCTCGCAAACTGATGAGTTATCACGGTAAAAAGCAGCATTTTATAGTATAATCTCTGGTTGGAATTGTTGTTCCTTGAGTTTCTGAGCAACTTTTTCAGCTACCTCGCCATACGCTCTGGATACTATTGAATCAGGTGCGGCCAACACTATGGGGTGCCCTTGATCACAAGCTTCTCTGATCACCACTTCCAGTGGTATCTGGAATTATTAAATTGAAAACTTGTCAGAAACACCCAATAAATAATTTTGCAGATATCACTTAAGAAGAATGACAAAAGAGGTGGCTTTGTCTATTAATAATTCCAGACACAACAAATATTCCCCACTCCAAATAAGAAAAAGTGCAGGTAGGAATTTGCTTGTATAGCATTTAGTAGAAAAACACAATCTTTTAACTTTCTAAACTTCAATCTCCAAAATTTTACTGTGCATGGTATCGCTGCTTCAATATCAACCTCACATTACCTATGTCTTTCTCAATTAATTTGGGAGAAAAAAATAGTAAACATAGAGACATGAGTACATCATTTGGAGAGAAGGATGGGCATATGCAATAAACATAGCATGTTCCAGACGTGTAAGTTAATTAACATCCCCCCGCCCCTTTTTCTGCAAAATTATCTTTGGTGGGTTTACTTTACTCATTAGATATAGTTAAACACTCATATTCCGCATGCCCCAAGAGAGCTTTTTACCACAAAATCAAAGAAAAAGTAAAAAGCGGTCAGTTGTTGCATTAAAACTATAACAATATCTATCACTAAGTAAATATAAAGTCTATGTCAAATTGCCTCCTCCAATAAGTCCCCACTAAACAATCTGCAAAATAATAATTTAGAAAGTACAATCTCAATACAGATAATAAATGTACCTCGCCCAAAAATTCTAATCCCATTTCAGATGCTGTTCTCTGAGTCCCTCCTTTACCAAATATGTATGAAGGTTCCCCACAATGTGGACACTTAAAGCAGCTCATGTTCTCCACAATTCCCAAAATCTGATTGAACAGTAGGAGTTCAGATATGAATGGACATAAAAGGTAGTATGCATTCATAGCTTTTGGATGATATGTGTCATGCAAACACCGTATCATAAGAAGGAATGGTTAATTAATGGTAGGCATCACAGATTTCATTCTCAGCAGTCAGCACCCTAATCGGCACACATAAGTGCTGAGAAATAAATTTAAAACAAACACATGCCTGAAAACAGACCATGTAAGAACAAATGTATTTGCTTCCACCAGACATTTGATACAAGACATGCTTCTCGTCTTTATTCAAACTAATTTTAGTGCTCATAAATAATTTACTGAAATAAGCTATCAGCATTTCTAAAAGCACGGCACTCACTTTGACATCTAAACACAGATTCTGACCAAATGCAATATACTGATTCAGCATAATTGGGATTGCAGACAACCTAATAAAAAACAAGTGACAGTGTTCCACTAGCTCAAAAACCAAGTAAATAATGGCATGTTGCATTCTTACTATATGGACATTGCACATGTTAAAGTGCTGAACATCAGCAGAAGTGCATACACAGTATATTCTGACTCAACAAATCTTGTAAACCATGAAAACAAGTATACCAAGTGATTATCATACCGGAACATCAACTTTATTGAACATTTTTACTCCCCTGCGGGCATCCATTAATGCAACATCTTGAGGAGTTGAAACAATCAAAGCACCTACCATACAAGCAGCCGTCACAGTGAATAATAAACTAAGTGTATGGAACTAGATAAAAAGAAAAGGTCAATCTGAAGGAATATTGGTAATACTGTGAAATATCAAAAATATCATGACACTTCTGTTCAATTTAGTCAGCAATTGTTTTAAATAACATAAAAATAATTTGTTTTAATGCTAATAATTCAATTAATATTCCACCAAAAAAGTTAAAATTCTAAATTAACAGAGCATGGTGAACAGGTCTAGGTACAATCCTCTTTATGTAACGTCTTTTGCATATATCAGGCAGGTGAGAACTAAATGCAAAAAGGCAGACAAAGTGAAGGTCCAAGCTGTTTGTCACAGTTGCTTTCAGACATCAGCCACATGTTATGTTATCCCAAAAGAGCCTCTGACTAGAACTATCTTCCTAATTTCTAAATGGTTAACTACCTGATAATTGCAGATTCTGAGACATGGCTATCTGGACATCACCAGTGCCAGGAGGCATATCCATTACTAGAATATCAAGGTTACCCCAGTCAACTCCCCTTGTCATTTTCTCAAGAGCATTTGATACCTACGATAATCCAGTAATACAAATTCAAATGAAAAAACAGTAGAAGTGGCTTGTAGCAAGGAGTTAGGAAACCCTTTACAGCATATCCCAATGGACATCTAAACTCACAGAAGAAGTTACAGTAAAACATAGAGAAAGAAATGGAAAATAATTAAGAACGGAAGTTTTAGGCATACCATGGGACCTCTCCAGACAATTGGGGCATCCTTCTCCACAAGGAAACCTATTGACATACACTTGATCCCATAATTTTCAATAGGAATCATTTTCTTATCTGAAAATAATAAAACAGCAAAATTAGCCATAAAATTAAGCTTAACATACAATATATACACAAGTAACAATTTCAAACAATAAATAAAAAGTCTGTAAAGAAAGGGATAGGAAAAACTGAACAAAGAAAAAAAAAAGGAAACAGTGCATAAATTCTAACTATTCTATTGGCTTCCATCCAATCCGAAAAATCAATAAACTAAACGATTTGAGGAAACCTTCTTGAGTACCACTTGCAATATGGGTCATATTTCTCTATGCATCTACATTTATGACCATTGGCAAATACCACACACAAACACACACGAGTTTATGCTTTTTACATTATCATCACCATAGGTTGAAAGTGGAAAGCAAACTTTTTACATGTAGCAATCCAATGCCGCTGAAGACGAATGGTTCCATGAAAAAAAAAATGAAAAGATATACCGTGAGTGATTTCAGGCTTTGTATGGATGTTAATCATGGTGGGAATGTTGGGCCCATAAACATCGGCATCGAGCAAACCAACCTTGAGCTTGCACTTACTTGCAAGTGCAACAGCTAAATTAACTGTCAATTCAATTAAAACAGCACTCACTCATTAAAATCAACAACAAAATAGTGAAGCTTAGAAACAAAAGAGTGAAAAAAGAAAAAAAGGGGTTTTACCAGCAGTGGTGGACTTGCCAACACCACCTTTACCGGAGGCGACGGCTATTGTATCTTTAACCCCATCAATGCGAAGATGCTTCGCGTAGCTCCGAACGCTTCCCAGCCTCTGAGCACAACAACACAGTCGACGAAAACGCTGAGAAAGAAAGACAAAAAAATAATAACAGTAGCAAATTCAACAGCGTGTAGATACCTCACCTTCATCAATTGCTGATATGCACGAACACAATGCACGCTGTTTCTGTGAACTTTACGATACCTAAGGAACAAGGTGGTTTGATTTTCCCATATGCTAGTAGATATTGTCACTACGACAATGCCTCTTTCGTCCCGTCCTCGCCTTCAATTTCAAGGTATATTTTCTCCACGGATCCTCTCCGTGCGATGTGAAAATAAAATTTAATTAATTTATTTATTTAATAATTATTTATAAAAAAAAAAATTTCACGTAAGGAATTGTTAATTTAAGAATTTATTTGAGTGGATTTTAGTTTTGAATTTTAAATTTTAAAAACAATTTTTAGTTTACTGATTTTAGTTTTACTTTGTTTCTAGTTTTTTATTTCTTAAAATTAATAAAAAAAAATACACAAATCACTTATAATATATTTAAATTTTTTTTAGCAATGAGAATGATAATATCACCACGGACCAAAAATAGTAATAATAAATCAATAGTGACAGTAGTAAGTGGTTGTGGCAATAACAATTATAATAATAATAATTATTATTATCAATAAATATAATGATCAAGTAACTATTACAATAGTTATTTAGTTATAGTTGTGGTGATTGGTGAAATAGTGATAGTGAGTATTTATATAAGAAGGGAATATTGAAGCTAGCAACAACGAGCAATGATAGTAATAAAGATAAATCAACGAAAGAAAAATAATAATAACAGTGGTGAAGAAGAAAATTGTGATAATAATAATAAGGGTAGATAATAACTTTTGCGTAGAAGTGAACATGATTGTGACAAATTAACTAGAATAATGGTTAATTGTAATATTAATGATAATCATAACTGCGGTGAAAAGAGTGATGACCAATAAGAATTACATTTAAATTTTGTAAGACAAATAAAGAAATATAATGTGTTTGTTCTATAATTTTAAATTAAAATATATTTTTTTAAATTAAGTTAAAAGTGTTTTGAATTTGAACTAAAAATTAATTTAACCTCATTTAAACTAAACATATTTCGTTTTAAAAAATTATAAGCTTAAATATGTTTTTTTATCTCTTAAAATATACTAAATTTTAATTGATTCATACATATTTTTTGTTTGTTTTAGACCTTACAAATTTATTTTTATTAAACTAGTCCCCTTGTTTCTAAGGTTTAACAGAATAATTTATATTTCACAAAAAAAATTATAAACTAAATAAATATTATTTTAATCTCTAACATATATATTTTAAATTATTTTAATTTTATTATTTTAAATTTTATTAAAATAAAAAACTGTATTTTTAGTTCCAAACATATGTAATTTTTAATCATTTTAATTGTTAACTATATATTTATCAATTATTCTAATCACCTAAACTTTATATTTTTGTTGTTTTCATGATATTCTATATAAAAATTTGAAAATAAAAAATAATATTTTTATAATTATAAGTAAAATTAAAATATACACAACATTAAAGTATTTGGAATGGAAACATAATTTAAGTAAGAGCTTATTTAATAATTTAGAATTGTATGTTATAAATTTTAAAATTATTATATATTTTTTATTTCTATATATACTTTTAAGTTGTATTTAAACAAGTCATTAGCAAAAGTATATTTATTAAGAGCATTTAAAATAATTTACTATAAAAAAATTGTTTGGATTCTATAAGTAGTGATAATTACAACTGGCAGTGGCATAGAGAAATCGACTGGGACCAGTCATAAATTTTTCGAACTGATTGCCCAAATTAATAATTGATTAGATAAATTGAATTTTACCCAAATTGATTCCAACAATTATAAATTTTAAAGTTGAGTTGGGTGATTTGATGGATGATGATCAGAGCTTACCAAGTGGAGAATAATCAACCCCAAATTCAATCTAGCAATCAACACCCGTCTCTTCATGCCTGCATTTAATTACTTTCCAAGTACGCATTTTTCGTCTTTCACAATATTCCTATTTTAAAATTTAATTATTATTATTATATTATAATTTTTATATAAAATTATTTAATATATTATTATAAAATTTAAATAAGTTATTTGATAAGTTTAATATATATATATATATATATTTTTTAAGCTCAAATTTAATCTATTTATTAATTAAATTGATTAGAGCGAGTTAGACATTAAATAAAGTAGTTACGCATCCGTGAGAAAGAACGAAGAATAGGAAAGAGAGAATCATATTAAAATATATGGCAACTCCTTAATGGAATAAATCTTTCTCTCTTTCTCTCTTTTCCAGCTGGTGGAAATGGTTTGGTAATAGCAACGTGTAGAGCAGTCAACATAGCCACGAACCAGAACATGTGTATAACTAATATAACATAATCATTATTATTTATGTATTTTAATATAATTTTTTATATCATCGTTTAATAATGCAATACATGAATTATCAAATACTTAAAATAATTATGTGATATATTATTAGATGAATTGTAAATTTTGGTATGCAATTAAACTAATTCATTTAACAAACACTAATTTTCTCTATTAAATTTATTTTAAAATAACACTATTTTTAAGAAATAACAAATATAGTATACTTTTAAAAAGGCCAAATATTTGTTTTTACTTTATGTTTTTTTCTGTATAAAAAAGAAAAAAAAATTATATTTGGTCTATTTTCATTGAATAAAAAAATAAAAACAAATAAATTATATGTCGAATCCTGGGAATAAAATTTCAGCTGCGTTTGCTAGCAGACAAATCAATGGCCGTTGGTTTCAACGGTCACTCGATCAAGAGGAGAAATTCCGCGCCTCATTTTTCTTCAGTCTTCACAATTTTATTTTATTTTATTAATAATATACTTTCTTCCTTTTTTGGATTAAGACAAATTCTTTGCCATCTTTGATCAGAAATTGCCTCTGTACCTCATCTCTGTCTCTTTCTCTCTCGTCAAGCTGCAGAACGGAACAGGTATCCACATTTTCCGATATCAAATTTCAATGAAAATTAAATCATGCAATTTTTCTGAATTATCAATGATCATAATATTTTTGAAATCTCAGATATTTGCTCCCTTAAAATTTGTGTCACTTGACTTTATTTGATTTAATTCTCGTAGCTAAATTTGCAGTTGGTAGTTAATAATCTACGGCATAATGTGTCACGGTTGGGTTGGTTTGAATTCATTTTCTGTGTATGTTTACGGTTACTCGGACAATTATTAGTAGGTCGGTTGGAAGAGGAAGTGTATATTTCGTTTTCATCATTAACTATCGCTTTTTTCCGAAAATTAAATTCTATTTCTATATATGTATTATATTTATTTTAATTATTAATTTTTCGTCGTTGTCTAAGGAGTTGAGGATTTATGGCTTTGCTGAATTTGTTTGATGTTGTGGTTGGGCTGTCTATGATTATGGATGATGTCTGGAATTGTTCATTGTTAAAATGGCGTGTCAATTAAATGCAATGTATTTAGCTGAATTTTAATTTTAATTTTAATCTAATGGTGGTTATTTTGTTACCTGTTTGTAGCCTTCTAGCCTTGAGTTGGGTGGCTGGGATTTGATTGATGACTTTCCCTATCATCAAATTTGTGGGTTTGTAGAGCAACTATGGTAGAGATGGCAGCAGGTGGAAGTGGAACTTCATTTGTCAAAACAGAGAGGATGCAGGGATTCACTGCCCTTCTTACATCTGCAGCTTGTGAGTGGTTTTTGTTATTTCTGCTGCTACTTGATGCCGTGCTATCATATCTGCTGACCAAGTTTGCAAGTTACTGCCAGTTGCAATTGCCATGTTTGTTTTGTTCTAGGTTTGATCATATTTTAGGCTGTCAAAAGCCAGAGTTCTATCAGAACCTATTTTGCAGCAACCACAAATCAGAAATATCATCTCTGATTTTCTGTCATATTCATGGTAAGCTTGCGGATGGTCATAGAATGTGTGATGATTGTCTTTTGTCAGTCACAGGAAAAACTAAATACAAGGCAAAAACTCACAGATTGTTGGTGGGTAAATTTGGGCTGGTTCTTGGTGGTTCTGGTCTCCATAGTCCCTCACTTACCAGGGATTTGTTTTCTGGCCCTAAGCGTTCAAGGCCATGTACTTGTTGTGGTAAGCTTTGGAAATCCGAACAGAACTCCCCGAGATCTATCCAACTAAAATCATCTGGGAGAGCTGTTCTTAAGCCAAACATTCCTTTGCCATATGTACCGAGACAAAGCCGTCTAAATCATCGGGATAACTTGAAGAAAATAAGGGATACATTTTCTGAATCAGAAGGAGATAACAGTTTTCATCCATTATCTCATGTTGGGTACACTGAGCTGAGACTTAATTCTGATTCTGAGTCTGAATTCCCATTTTCTGATGATGATGATGTCAGTAGTGTATTTCATGAGAACATGGAAGCCAGCAATGACCCTGTAGCTCAAATTACATCCGTACCTTCCCCAAAATGTATTCCTAGTGATTCAAATCCAGCAAAGCCAAATGGTAGTTCCACCAAACCCTTGTCTTTCCCTTCGGAACAATGTGTTGAGCCAAATGTCAGCAAACACCAAGATATGAGTGCCAATAATCCGGTAGAAATTAATTTGCAGCAAGCAAATCAAAAGTCATTGAGTTCTGACCTGCCTGAGCTCATTTCACTAGATGAGGTTTCATCATCACCTGTTGTTATGAATGTTTCTAATGGAGAATCAGAATCAAAAGACAGTAAGACAACTTGTCTTTCTCAGGATTCTCTTCCTGCTCCCCTATCTGAGCTTATGACTTTGAGTGGCACACGTGCACATGTTGAAGCATCATCAGAAAAATGTAATTTCTCTTCCTGCTTATATTTCCATTTTTTTTTTCTCCAAAATCGTCTAACAATTTTTCTAAAACGTTTCCAGCTGAAGATGTTCCCCAAGCAAGTGATACCGGAATAGTATCTGAAAAAAATGAGGACGTTTTAGAGAAGATTGGTACAAAGGAAAGAGCATTTACTGAAACTGATCCAATGGTATGTGATTCTGCTTCTACTAGTCCTAGACAAGAGAACTCAAGTAACATGAGTAAATCCTCTGCCACCACTGAGGAAAAAGAAGTACCCGGTTTTGCCATGGAACAACCAACTTCTGAGGAAGTTGATAAAGTCAAGGAAGATCTGGAGCAATCACCATCACACAGTTCCCCTCTACATAGGTCTAGTTTCTCATCAGTTGTTCCCATAAATCATGTCCACTCCCCCGAGATACATGGTGAGATTTCTAGTTCAAATGGAATTCAGGTACTTCAAAAGTCGCCCTCAATGGAATCTGGTCTTGAATCTCTTGATGAAAGCAATATTACTGAAATTGAAGGGGAATCTATTGTTGATCGATTGAGGCGACAGATCGAGTATTACAAGAATGGCATGGATGCTTTACAGAAGGAACTGGAGGAAGAAAGAAACGCTTCTGCTATTGCTACAAATGAAGCAATGTCTATGATCACAAGGTTACAGGAGGAGAAGGCAGCACTGCAAATGGAGGCTCTTCAATATTTAAGAATGATGGAAGAGCAAGCAGAATATGATAATGATGAATTGGAGAAAGTTAACGACCTTCTCACAGAAAAGGAAAAAGAGATACAAGATTTGGAAGCGGAGCTGGAATATTATAAGTCAAACTTGACTGATGAGCCTACTGTCCCTGGTATGCATGAGGAGAGTTGGGATTCAAAAGGAGAAAACTTCACAGTACAAAATACTGGTGGGCACAACATTACAAATACTGTATACAATTTTTCCAACTCAAAGTCTGCTGAAGTACCCGAAGTTTGTGATGAAGCTGTGACCGGGGAAACCTCATTTTCAGAATTTGAAGAGGAAAAGCAGTATATTTCGAAGTGTTTGAAAAGCTTGGAAAATAAGCTTCATCAAATTTCTTGTGATGGGATATCCGTCGATACACCTAGTGTTAGACCTGAGAATCTTGAAGTCGGTAAATTGAATCAACAAGAAGATTCTAGTTACGAAGGCCCTCAATTAGATGGTCATGAAGAAACTGTTTTGTCCATACAGAGAAAAATTCATATGTCCAATGGAAATCATGATGATAATGATGGATCAGCTGTTTCAGACAGTGATGATTGTTCTCTTACTATAGAGAACAATCATTCCACATCTGTTGGACAAAAACTTTCCTCACCTAGAGGAGAAGTTGAGCTAGTTGGTCTAGAAAATGAAATATCAGACCTTCATGACAGGTTGGAAGCACTCGAATTTGATCATGATCTTCTTGAGCACATAGTAAATTCTCTTCAAAATGGAAAGGATGGAAAACAATTTATTCAAGATATAGCTCATCGATTGCATGAGCTACAGCAAATTGGATTAACGTCTAGACGGTAAGCATGTAAACAGAAATGTTCTAAATTTTTCCTTTACTTTTAGGCACAAATAAACTTTCATACGGTATATTATCAAACATTGTCTACACTCATCAATAGAGACAATATGAATCCACCAAGAATCTTCGCATCAATTTGCTTTGACAATTATATACTTATGTTCTTCCAAAAGCACATATATAAAGAATGGTGGACATGCTTTTTTGCCTGGCGGGGGATTGTCGAGTGATTATGGAAGTTTATGGACACAGTTAATAAAATTTGTAGTTTCATTTACCTGTTAAACACCGATTTAGATGTGTAGGTCATGCTTCAAAATCAAGTGACAAGATCATGTTTTTAATGTCCCACCTAGTCTGTAGAGGGCTATAACTAAGTTCTGCTAGGTCCTCAACTAACTGAATTTTGTGAAGTTTTCAAGTTCGAACTCGTTGTATATTGATGTGTTAGCAGTAGCAGATTGCATCTATGTTGTACCCACGTTATTTTGCTATTTCATGATTTGACATGTATGCACTCGTGCAGACTGCAGATCGTATGATCTATTATTCACAGCAAGTTTCATGTGTAACTAGAAAGCCATATTTTTCTAAATTAGAATTATTTTATCAAAGATTAAATGATAAATTTTTTAGCATCTCAAGTTCTTTTATTTTTACTTTTCGAAAGCTAAAAACTAATTTAATATGAAAGAGAGAAAAGAGAATGAAAACAACTTTTTATGAAATAAATAATTATGCCTTTAAAAAGAATATGAAGTGTAGTAAGTAAAGAAAATGAATAAGAATAGTAAAAAAAAAAAAATTCTCTTACAATCTCACCAATTTTGTCGTGATTTTAATTTGTATGGATCTCAAATAAATTATTTATTTTTCACCATTTTCTTGACATAATCAAACAATGAAAGAGTTTAAAATCTTGTCTGTTTTTTTTTTTCTTTTCCACTTCTTTCTTTCTTTTTCTTAGATACCAAACATACACTTTTTTCTTAAGAATAGGACATTTGTCATTGTAAAATCAATAAAAAAAATTTGAGCACAAATTTTCTTCTTTTAATGTTTTTTATTTAACTCTTCAATAATTTTAGATCTGTATCGATACTTCTGGACATCTAAAGGTAATTGTTTTCCTTTTTCTTGTGTTTGTGATTGACGATAATGCCTACGGTATACGACAGAGTTACAGTGTAATATTGTTAGATCGAGCAATGTTAATATAAACTTAAATTTATTATTTTAAATAAAAATGTATTATTGCATATAACAATCATCGTGAAAATCATTTTAATTATTTAAAATTAAATTTATTACAAGACTACTCTTTTTTAGTCCGTTGAGATATTTGAGAGAGGTTCAAGTTTTGCGCTTTTTATAATTTATTATCATGTGAGAAAAAGAAAAAAGAAATTAAGAGGGTGTATTAGATTAGAATTTTAAAGGGCTTTTTTAGTTGAAAAAAATTCTACGAACTTCAAAAAATTTTGCAGAATTTTTATAATTTTTAAGACTTTGTATGATTCTGCAAGACTTTAAAATCAAAATTTTAATAGATTTTGCAAGACTTTTAAGTTAAAATTTAATGAATTTTGCGGGACTTTGTGAATTTTGCAGAATTTCTTAAATTTTTTACATAAAAAATCAGGGCCGTTCTTGACCTTTTTGAAACCCTAGGCAAAATAAGAAATTAGGGTCCTTACAAGAAATTATAAAATATAATAAATAAAATAAAAGCATATATTAATAATTTTATTAAAATAATATGTTTTTTTTAAGGGGCTATAATTTTTTCTAATAAAATTATAAAAGAATATTTTTCATTCAAACAACTTCTATATTATAATTAACTACAAAAATACAAAAAATTATAAAAAAATAGGTTCTACAAGCATTCTGAGATGCAAAATTATTAATGATAACATTAACATTAATATTTTTTAAAAATTCTTTATCGATTGATAAAATTGTGAGACCATTCAACTTGTGACATTGATGACTTTAGGTAGGTTTTGATTAACTTTAACTCTAAAAAACTTCTTTCAGTTGATGATATAATCACCGGGACCGTAAAATAAATTCTATAAGTGATTAAAATATTTAGATAACAATCTGCATATTTGACAAACTCAATAATTGTTTAATTTTTTGGAGAAAACTAAAATTCTCCATGAGTTTTAATATTAAGAATAGTAAAATTTTAGAATTAAATGAAGTTTTGAGTTTACATCAATGAGTCGAACGTTTATAACAAGTGAGATGCGAAGAATTAAAAGGTCTTTTCATTTTTTCTATTTTTTACAACTGCAAACTATAAGAGTTGAAATTGTTTTTCAAGTGAAAATAGAACACGATTTTTACTTTGGGCCCTCTTTTAAGTTTGGGCCCTAGGTGATCATACCGCTAAACTACCCTCAAAATCGAGTCTGTAAAGAGTTCAAGATTTTTTTTCATACATTCAAATTTAAAAATAGTCAAAGATAAAAATAATAAAAAAATAATAATGTCTAGATAAATAATAATAATAATTCTATATAATATCATGTCCTTTTAAATAGTATTCACCCACATATCCATAGTTATACTAGTTCTTCAAACATTAGCGTCTTCTCGCTCTTGCTCTTAGATTTGAATAATATGCTCAAAATTATTATTTTTATTAACCGAAAATGTTGAAGATGAAGGTTCGTTCATCGGTTCAATTGAAAATTCATCAGAATGATATTATTTGCAAAAAAAAGTTATGTAATGATGTACATATTAACACAAGTTTTAGTTGTATTTTAAATAAAAATAGAGGTGCTAACTTAAAAATTGTAAACCTTAGATTTTAAAAATATCAAATATTCTCTCGATTATATTCCTTAAAGACACATAACGAAGATTGAATAATTTTTTCTCATTTTCAAGGTTATTAACCTAACCTGCAAAATTTTGTAGATGATATCTTACACCTCGAAATGGAACTAAAAATTAGCGTTGGTTAGGAAATCCAAAATTTATCAAGAAATATTTACCTAATTATATATGCAATATATATAATATTAGTATAATAATAATAATAATAATTTTTATTATTATTATTATTTAAAAAATAAGCACTTATCTTGAACCACTCTAAGTCTATTCCTCCTTGTTATAGCATCATTTAGTAGTTTAGAATTATGAATCGAACCCTCCCACCCATTAAGAATGTACATGAACTCTAAATCAAAATTACAAGCGACTAATACATTTTGTTATATCAATTTTAGCTTTTACCTTTTCATTTTCTTGACACATATTATAAAAAAATATTATTTAAAAATTAAAATTTCAAGTATTTTTTGTATTATATATCTGAAAAATAAACTCAACTAAATAGAGCAAGTCAATAGTATTATTATTTACGTTTTTACAAAATAGAGGAATAGAATAAAAACATTAGTACAATATTATATATGAGCAATATTACAGTATTATTAACAGCGAAAAAAAATAGAGAAAACAGGAGCATAAAAAAAGAGATAAAAAAAACTCACTTCAAACTTCTTGAAACACTTGAAAAGTCACTCCAAATAATCCTTCAAAATCTAATGAGTTTGGATGATATTGTTTTATGAATTTGGTATTTATAGATACCACTAAAAAGTCCTTCAAAATCCCTCTAATACAACAATTTTTTAAAATTTTTATTTTTTTAATACCAATGAATTGTTTTTAAGTTATAAAAAGTCTCAAATAAATACTAATGAATTTTAATAGACTCTTTAAAAAATCTTGAAAATACAGATTGGATGCCACTTAATTGTTTTATGAAGTCCTAAATCAATACATCCCCTAAGATTTGTGCCTTTTGCACTTAATTATGATATGATATGCTTGAAATTGAATAGAAAATTCATCCAAATTTTAAAATTTTTAAAAGATTTGAAGGGAGGTTAGACTACCATAAATTTTTTATTTAAATTATAAGTATATTTTTACGTGAAGTAATAATGTTTACTTAAGTAAAACTGTTATCGATGTTAAAGCTATTTTTTAAAAAATATTTAATACAATTATATAATTTCTTAAAAAAAATTATTCAAGAGTATAAAAGAAACTTATACTTTTATGTACTGAAATTAAAAAATTTTATTTTTTTATGTCATTTTGAAAAATTACAATAGATGAAAATTCATAATGAAAAAAAGGTATCGCTAAGTAAATTCAATTAATTAAAAAGAATTGCATTATAGTTTCGCTAATTTGCTTAGTGTACAGTTTTGGTTTTCTATTTTTTTTTTAAAATCAATTAATACTTTATATTCTAAAATTAAGAAAATTTTATCATATCAACTACTATTTCTATGTAAAAAGATTAAAATAATTATTTTTAGCCAATTATTTAAGGTTTTACAATGTATTTGAATTGTGGAATAATTTTAAAAGTTTAAAAATAAAATTTTGTGAAAATTTGATTTAAAAAATTGAATGTAAAATTAGAGTTTGAAAAGGAAAAAATTATGAGCTCTTTATTTTGAGTAAAATTTCAACTTTGTATTAGAGTGTGAAGCTTTCATAAAAGTTTGTTTTAGAAGGTTTTTGACTTCTATTTTTTTTTTCTTCTTGATTTAAAATCTCAAGGTTTAAGATATGCAATCACACAACTTTAACTTAAACAATAACTTTGAAATTTTAAAAATTATAAAATTATAACGAAGTGTGGAACGTCAAAACAAGCAGGTTGATTATAATGAATTAATTATCTTTAAAAATTAAATTAAGTATTAACTCGGGAATAATTATTCTTTTTATTGATTTATCCAGCATGGCACTAGTCATCTACGACAATTGAGTGTGTGCTGAAAATGGAATGTGGTGGTGCCACTGTGCAAGTGGAAGCTGGCCTTGTCGGCACTACATTTTGCCGTATTTTTTTAATCACGTGTTTTTAATTAATTTTCCTCTCTTCTTCATAACTCTATGTTCCTTATCCGATATATAAATATATAAAAACATATCCGGCCGTTAAAAAGAAAATATATCTCCATTATATATAGAAGTCGATGAAGAGGCAGTTAAGTCATCGAATGAACTAAGTAACTAACCTGCAAATGGAACCTGAAATTTTTGCTTCGTTGTTGCTTTTCTTATTGGCAACTTTAGCATGGTTCATAGCCACCACACTATCCAAATTTTCCGCTACCATTATTCCCAAACCGTACCCTGTCATCGGCTCAGTGTTCTCTGTCGCCGCAAACAGCCACCGCCGTATCCACTGGATCTCCGACATCCTCCGCGCTTCGCCGTCCTCGACCTTCGTCCTCCACCGCGCCTTCGGCTCCCGCCAAGTCTTCACTGCCAACCCCGCCGTGGTCCACCACATTCTCAAGAACAACTTCCCCGTTTATAACAAGGGCAAAACCTTGAACCGTGCCCTCGGCGATTTCCTCGGCAACGGAATCTTCAACTCCGACGGCACACACTGGAAGTTGCAACGACAAATCTCCAGCCAAGAATTCAACACCCGCTGCCTCCGGAAATTCGTGGAAACCGCCGTGGAAGGCGAACTCTCGGATCGCCTCCTCCCTCTCCTCTCGGAAGTCTCCATGAAGCAAACCACCATCCCCGATTTCCAAGACATCCTCCAACGCTTCACCTTCGACAACATCTGCAAAATCGCGTTCGGCTTCGATCCCGAGTACCTCCACCCTTCCCTCCCGGAAACCCCCTTCGCGAAGGCCTTCGATGACGGCACAAGAATCAGCAGCGAGAGGTTCAACGCAGCGTTCCCTTTGTTATGGAAAACAAAGAATCTCTTGAGCGTAGGGTCGGAGAAGCGTCTGAAAGAAGCGATCTCAGAAGTGAGGGGGTTAGCGAGGAGAATAATAAGAAAGAAGAAGGAAGAACTTGGAGAAAAGAATAGTCTAGAATCGGTGGATCTGTTATCGAGGTTTTTGAGTTCAGGCTATTCGGATGAAGAGTTTGTTACGGATATCATTATTAGTTTCATTCTGGCGGGTAGAGACACAACTTCGGCAGCACTCACGTGGTTCTTCTGGCTTCTCTCTAACTACCCGCACGTGGAGAACGAGGTTGTTAAGGAGGTTGGGGAGAAATCAGAGGCGTTGGTGTATCATGAAGTGAAGGACATGGTTTACACGCACGCTGCGTTGTGTGAGAGCATGAGGCTGTACCCGCCCGTGCCAGTTGACACGAAGGAGGCTGCAAACGACGACGTTTTGCCGGATGGGACTTTTGTGAAGAAAGGGTGGAGGGTGGCGTATCATATTTACGCTATGGGAAGGTCGGAGAGGATATGGGGCTCCGATTGGGCCGAGTTTCGGCCCGAGAGGTGGTTGAGTTGGGAGGAAGGGAAGTGGAGGTTGGTGGGGATGGACCCTTTTGCTTATCCAGTGTTCCAGGCCGGGCCCAGGGTGTGTTTGGGGAGGGAAATGGCGTTTCTGCAGATGAAGAGAGTCGTCGCCGGAATTATGAAGCGGTTCAGGGTGGTTTCGGCGCTCGATAAGGGGGTGGAGCCGGAGTACACCGCTCACCTCACCTCTTTCATGAAAGGTGGCTTCCCCGTCAGGATTGAGAACCGCACCACCGCTTGAGACACATATGCACTAGTTGTTAATTAACTAAATCAAGCAAGTAAAGAAACAAGTCTCTCCTGTGCATGAATCTATGTGAATAAGTGCTTAATCATTGCCTCAATCATCTACCATTAATGCCCTAGGTGTGTCGGATTTAGATAATAAAATGGCCTTTTAAGAACCTCAGCATCGCCATTCATGAACCTAGCAGGTTCACGCAGTGTCAGTTCTTGTGTGGTTAGAAAATAATGATATGTAAACTATTTTTTTATACTTTCTTTTTTGTTTAATTTGTCTTTGTTGCACCACGTATTTTATTATTTTCAAATTTTTTTTCTGTTCCTATTTCTTTCTTTTGTGTAAAGTTGTTGCCAAAATCTTCTGTAAGAACTTTGTCTCGTACTCTTTTATTAATTGAAGTTGTTCATCTGATCACGTGAGATACATGGTTAAGAAACTATAGTGTGAGGACATTAGAACTCATTACTATTAATTCACAACAATACACCCTCATTCTTTTCATTTATCTTGATTATTGAGATAATAATAATAATATTCTATCGTTACATAACTTCATGCAGTGTGAGATCGAGCAGCTTAGGAAAGGAGAAAAAAGGAAGAAAACATGAGACATGTGATGACTAATGTAACAAGAAAAGATGATAGATATAATAAAAGGAAGTAGGTGTTGAATAGAAATCAGAGAAAGAAATATGTAAAAAATTAGAATTTTTATTTTTCATTGAATAATCTTACTTTTATACTTTTTTGCGTACAATCTACAGTTCAAGAGAAAGAAGTGTGAGATCAAATAAGTGATATAATAAGGGCAATATGAAAAAAATAAAACGTTTTGTAAATTATTATAAGTGTAGCGTTACATTTTCTAAACTTTTCATCCGGTTCACCAACGAAAACCTTGATTCCAAATTAAGGCATACCACTGTACAATGTCCCTGTTTTCATATTGTATATTAACACATGAGGAATAATGGATAATGTGATGAGAAGGAAAAAGAGAAAGAGAATGAAAAAATTGTTACTTAAGCAGAAGCAAGTTAAGACAAAGCATTGGAGAAACTTATATATGAATTTAGTTTGGGTGAGTATTTGCAACGTTCAGGAGTACTTAATTAAGCGAAGTGCAGTTATTTGCATTTATGTAGAAAGATGAATGATAAATGAATTCATAATGCCATTTGTTTGTTGCACCGAAGCTATTTGAATAAAACTTGCAGCGATAAGAACAAGGTGCATGCCAACAAGATCATGTGAAAAAAGGATAAAGAAGAAACAAACCAGTATAGGAAACGACAAAGGCTGTTTATGATTTTCTCTCCCCTGTGAACTCAGATGCTGATAGATGCAGTCCATTTTTAAAACTTTCAGATAACATTTTTTAATCTTCAAGATGGAAGTACCTATGAATAATAGGGATGACAATAGGTAAAGTATTCGATAGACACCTGCAAAATTTACCTACAATGGATAAGATATTTATCCACTATATGGGTACGAATATGGGTATAGGTAAAAATCTGCAAATTTTAATGGGAATGAGTATGAGTATCTAAATACTCACCCCGCCCCATACCTGCATATATATATATATATGCTTGAACTTTATTCTACAATTATGCATTGAATTTTTGTATTATTATATTACTCATGTGAAGTTATATAAGATTAATATAAAAATATATTTAATAATAAAGTAAACTAAAAAATTTAATTTAGTTTATATTTTTAATAGAAAATTTTATTTACTATTTTATATCATTTAATTAGGTTAATACAATTTAATTATTATATAGTTAATATGAGATTGACTTTTTTAAAAATATTATTTATATATGACACACATAAAATATTTTTCACACAAATATTTTTGTTAATAAAATCATATTGATGTTTAAATCATAAAGTGAATAATAAATATATTGTAAATATTTTATAAATTTTACAATCACCTACTATTATCGTAAATTTATTATTTATTAATAATATTTAATTTTTATTTTTTATATTTTAATTTAAAATAATATTTTTCTATGTAACATATGTATTACAAGCACAACTATAATCTATTGAATCTAAATAATATTATTTTTACTATTTATTCACTTTTAAAAAAGTTTTTGAAAAGATATAAATATAAAAAATTATTGTTAATTTTTATTTATTAATTTTTTCCAGATAAAAAAGTATAATTTTTTTAATATACACATATATTTTTTTATTATAAAATTTTATTGTGACTATTTATCTTTTATTCAAATTTTTTCTTTTAAAATTTATATTTTTGATAAAATACTTTCGTATAGTATATGAGTTAAAAATACTAAGATTAATATATATATATATATATATATTATATTATTTTAATTAAATCTATTATTTTTCTTACAATTTCAAATTCAAAAGTTAAAAAAAATATTTTATATATCCACCTTCTGTTGTTAGTATTGAACTTCTCTACTCTAACTCTATTCTCATTCTCAATGTATGTTTCATTAAAACCTAACAACTATGAAACTCATTAGAGTTAGTTGTCAATGCCGTCACAAGAGGTCACTAAGTGATCCCATACGAAGGGACAACCATTGTGCAGATCTATTTCATTGTCGCTCTTACATTGTCAATCGATTAAATCTCACACAAGATAGGGTTATAACTGACAAATAACTTGTGTGTTTAGTTTCGCTTATTGTTTCTAAAAATTTTAATTTAGAAAATTATTATACTAAGATACATTTAACATTTACAATCTTTGAATATTTATTTTTTTATCTATGTTTGTATCTTGTTCGGTAACTACATATTGAATTTTTGTATTATTATGCTACTTATGTGAAGTTATATAAACATATTTTTTTTATAAATATTTTTTTCTCAAACAAACGCGGGTAATGGGTACAAGATAGGTATGCAGGTACCCAGAAGGTACGGGTACGAGGATTAATGTTCATACCCACGCGGGTATGGGGATGGGTACTATAGTACCCTACTCATACCCTACCCATTGTCATCCCTAATGAATATGACTAATGATATATTATCCTATTCTTTTAGAAATTTTAGGTAAATGTAGACTAATAATGATTTAAGTTATTAGTAAAAAAAAATAATCAAAGATGTTTATTACGAAATTGAATAATAATTTCTTTCTATGGTTTATTCATAAGTTTTATTTATTAGTATCTTTAAAAATTTAATTAAAAAATATATTAAGTATGAAAAAGTGAGTTAGTAATATTTTTTAATAAAAAATATAATTTTTAACTAATATCTTAATTAAGATTCTTGTTAACATTCTAACTTTTTATAAAGTAATAAGTATTGAATAAAAATAGTATATTTATTATTTTTAAAATAATAATTAGAGGTAAAAGGCTTAAAATATTATTTTCTATAAATTATTAAAATATTATTAATATATTTTTATCATATTTTTAACTCCCCTATAAAATATTATAGAAATATTGGACAATAATCACTAACGAGACAGGGCGGAGGAAAAGTCAAAATTTACTCTCTCAGTCCAGTTGCTCATTCACACCACTCACTAGCTTTGGTCCAAAATTGCTCCGTCATAAACTTTTCTTTAATTTTATTTAATTCCTTATTTTTGAACAATTTTAGGCATTATTTGAACAAAATCTTTTCTTTCTTTTATCTTGAAATAAAATTTGTTTATACGTATTAATGGTGTATAAAAATTACTAACTTTTTAGACATATTTTAATATAATTTTGATAATTATTTATTAATTTTTAATATTGAATGAAAATATCTTTAAAAAAATAATTTAGTATGTAACAAGAGAAGGATAAAATTCATTTGACATCTTATATGGAGTGTTTACATCTGTCCACGAAAGACAAGGGTGAAAATAAAATAAAATTATAAAACTAGGGTAAAAATTAAAAATACAAAAAGATTAGTGGTGAGATAAACAAATATATACAACAAAGTAAAAATAAATAAAATTGGATCGGCAGTTGCTATCTAATTCCAAAATGAATCTAAATGTCAAAAATGTATGACATTTTCTCAAGGAACTCAAACTTCATCCGGAGATCAAATAAAGACACATATAACAATCAATTATTGGGGTTTACAATTAATGGTATGTAAAGAGCAAACACCTTACGACTCCTTAGTGATTATATATACATGCGTGGAACACTTGTGTTACACATCTAAAGTCTTGTGATGACTCAGTCATAAGAGAGAAAATTGAAGGAAGAGAGCAATAAGGTTATTTGAGAAAGAAAAATGGAAAGTGGATGTCCTGGTAATCACGCACACGTATTAATATTGATTATGATTTTAATTAACGTTTGCTTATTATATCTATTATTGTTTATTTCAATTTACTGAAGGGAAGGATTCGTGGCCTGAGGTTTTGGGAGCAAAAGGGGTGGAAGCAGCGGCGAAGATTGAGAGAGAGAATGAGAATGTTCGTGCAATTCTGGTGAAAGAAGGTTCCTTGGTGACTTTGCAGTTCAAGTGCACCCGAGTTTGGGTTTGGATCAACGAATATGATGTGGTCTCACGAGTGCCAAAGATAGGCTAGCTACTGCATGCATGCGAGGAACATTTATGCGTGTATTAATTAATACAAAGACACTATAATTATCGTATAACGTTGTACCTCACCATATAAATTACCATGTAACAATAGGTTTTGAGACAAACCTTGTAATATAGAATAATCATTTTCATGGTATGATGATGATGCCTTCTTGATTAACTTGTATACACGTGCTTTCAACTTCTGTTATAGCTTCACGATGATCAAATAAACTCCTCGTAAAAATACACTTACGGCACATTACCATTAAGCATTATTTTAAGAATGGAAGGATAATTTTAAAGAAGACAGAAAGTAATATGATAGAAATGAGATGCCTGGTGGTGGCTCCTGTATATCTGAAGCATCTCGATCTCATGAAACAAGTTTAAAGGACAAACTAGCCTGCGACAGTGGGGTACTATACAAAAATTAAAAGACGAGGCAATTAATGTATTTATAAGAATTAAGGATGCATTTATATAAATAATTTAATTAAATATTTATTTATATAAGAATTTATATGATAAAAATTAATTATAAAATTGATTATAATAAAAAAACTATTTTAATAAATCATATATATTAATTAAAATCTTAAAGTAAATTAAAAAAAATTATTTTTATTCCGAACTTGATCTCAGCCTTGAAAGAAAAGACATGCTTCTTCCTAATTCCTATTCCAAGCTGACGCGACAGAGTGTACCCCTGTGCACAGCAACAATGCCCTTATGAGTGAGTGAGTGAGTGGGTCCTAGCCATTTTGGAGCTGCAAGGAGAGAGTGTAGTCTTAAAACTTGATGTTTTCTTATCCTCCAATATTCTAATTAATTAATGAATAATAAATACATAAATAAATAAAATAAATGATATTTACTTTTGATATTATATCATTATAACATTATATCTTTATTTCAGAATTTAACATATTTCGGTTAATTATATATAATAATTTTATTAAATAATTATAATTCAATCAATTAATTACACTACTACAAATTTTCAACTATAAGTTGTAATTAAACTTTGAACAAATCTAATTACAAACTATATACATACTTACATATTCAGTTATTTTGATCAGATCTGAAAAATGAGTTTGATATTCTACGTATGTTCACAAAATTAACTGCACCGATTGTGGCCTCGTCGATATCGTTTACTGGGTTTTTGTTTCTGCTGCACAACTATCATAGAACGACCACGTGTGTTAAAAGAATGGGAATGTGCGAGAATAGTATACAGATTTGGTATAGATATAAAGATAACAATAAAGTTTAAGATGTGTCTATAAATACGTAAGCTCAAATTTATTTAAAAAACGACGTAACCTTTACATTAATGTAAATAATCTATTAAGAGACTAAATAGAGCTATGTATATGATATTTGTTTGAAAGCTTAGTGAAGATGATGCTATGTGTGAAACATTAATAGAAGCTAGCTTTGTGCTTAATATTAGAACATAGCTGATTTAATCATTTTTATTTGATATATACGCTACATCTTTATTTGGTAAACCGTATTAGAGTTGCATATATACATAGCTAAGTAGTTGATTTGTACTTGGGACAAACTATGGACAAAAGGATAGCTGAAAGAGATAGTGAAATGCTATTTATATAATAAGTTTATTGTACTTTTTTTAATAATTTAGAGAAAGAGAGAAGAGACTTTAATGAATGATGAGAATAAAATTATAGAAATAATATAATTTATAGAGATACTGGTCGATTAGATATTTGCCTAAGATGTGACTTTATAGGATTACATGATGTTTTTATAATGGTCAAATTGAATTTGATTTTTTTTTTAATTTGGACGAGAGATGAAATAATAAAGTGAATTAGGAAATAAAATTTTTATCATAGTTTTTTGTGTTTAAATTAAGAACAAAATTAATGTTTTTATAGTTTCATAAAAGTATATTTTATATCAATTTTATAGTTTTTTAATATTCCATCGTGACTTAAGAATAACGTATGTTTATAGTTCAGATTGTGTGATTCTTCTGATTTTTAAGCATTTGAATTTCGAAGATTCAATTTTAAGAAATTAAGTTGCATATATTTATGAAATATTAATAAATATTTTTTTCTTTTTATGTAATTATTTTTTACTATAAGTAATTAGTTATTGAAAATAATAAATCTCAAAATATTTTTTTATAAATTATTTTTTATTTTAATTCAAGTTTTTTCTTTTATTTAAATGCTTGATTTTATTTTTAATACTTTTATGGATTAATAAACTATATATCACCGTTAGATTCACTTTTATCATTGAAATTTTGATAAATGAGTTGAATTTTAAAATAATTCATCACAATTATTGATATTTTAGTAAAAAAATGATAAGTATGAGATCTTGTAAATTATTGAATCTAATATTTATTTCACTCTTTTGTATTACTTTGATATATTTTCTTTATCTTACTCTTGTTTTAATAACCATGTGTATCATTTTAAAATTAAATTCAAATAATAATAACTTTGTGAGTTAGTGATTGATATAATTTTCTATAGAAATAATATTTGTACTTTTCCTTTATTACTTACATGAGTTGATGCACATACTAATTTTCCTTTTTATTAATAAAATAAAAATATAGTGAAATATAGAATAAAAAATATTATCTAACAAATAAAAACAAGACACAAATAAAAACAAGACACAAATAAAAAAGTATAGAAATTATAGCAGTACAAAATTTAATTTAACAAAATGTCAAACTTTTGACTACAATATATTTTTATACAAAAATAATAATATTTTTTTATGTTATATATAAATTTATTTAACATTAAAAACTAATAAAATAAAGAGACGCATCACTCCTCATTTCTCAGGAGGTTTTTATAGCTCTCACGTTTTTTTTTAACAATATTTAGTATGGATATATATTTATACATTTTATATATTTAGTTAACGCAATCTTTTATAGTCTCATTATCAGTTTGTTGCACCAACCTAAGGAAAAATAAAACTTAAGTGTAATATTAGGGTTACTAAAATAATGTAATATTAGAAACATTTTAATTTTTTTTTAATTATAACTGGAGTTTCTTGTTGATAATAATTAAAATTAGAGTTTTTATAGACATTATTTTATAAAAATAATCTTATTCAAGTTACAAAAATCTAATATACAATAAAACTAGTTTTCTCAACGAAATAAAATTTAAATTTATTCTTAAAATGAATCAAATATATACTATCCAAAGGAAATATTTTATTAAGTAATGATTGATGAATTTATAATAAATTTTTAATGATTTTGACAAAAATAAATTAACAATATTAAATATTGTATTTTGCAATAATCTTTTTTAGTTACTTAACTAGTTAAAGTGTTTTAAATAATTAATGTACGTATAAATTTTATACTTATTTATTTTATTTACTTTTTTACTTTCTTCATCTTAAATTATCTATCATTTTGGAAGTTTTAGTTTATCTTAACTTTTTACCGCTTTAAAATATTATTTTTTAATAGTAACTTCTTTTATTTCTATTTTACTCAAATGTTAATTATTGGCCAATATTGCACTCCAACTATTTCAATAGAAGAATTTTAACAAAACAGAGAGACACTACTTTATTGTAGTAAACTAATTACTTCCTTTACAGGTTATTCTCTTTTGTTTGGCATCTTAACGATTATCATTTCGTTTCATTTTGATTGTTTGGGATTACTAATGAATATTTAGTTAATTTTTTAAATTATACCCTTAACAACAATTAATGTATATTTTCAGAGAAACTAATTAAAATAAAATTATTGTTTATATCTTACTTGATTATATATCTTACTTCTTGTTTTACAATTTTAAATTATTACTAGAATAACATGGAGGGAGTAGTATAATTTTTTTAAGTATATATTATCTTAAAAACTAAATAAGTTGAGATGAAAGAAATATTAAATTAAAATAATTACTTTCTGTTTTATTATTATAACAAAACGTGATAAACCATTTTGAATAAATATAACATTTGATCATTAAATATCATTACTTGCATTCTTTTGACTTCTAAAAGTCTCGTCTAAATAATTTGTTGTAAAGAAAAATATATTTATAAAATGTTAACTTAAAAATTAATTTAAAAAAATTAAATATTTTAATAATTAAGGCAACGAAAATGTTTTTTGAAATTAAGTTATATATATTTTTTTCTATAAAATAGTATTGAAATAAGCCATAAAATTACTCTGAACATTTTTTTTTTCTGAGCTGTGTAAAAAGTCACTGGAGAATTCAATTGCTTGCTTTATGGAAATTATTATTCGAACATTAATAAAATTATTATTAAATTATTTCTAAAAAAATAGTAATAGAAAAATTATTCTCTAAGAATTAAAAGTTTCATCTTAATTTTTTAAAATAAAAATGAGTTAACTTATAATGTAAATTTTTATATTATGAAAAATAATTATGTCTCACTATAAAATTTATAAATTTAAGTTTAGTATATTATTACTTAATTAAATATTATTATAAACGTAGATTTAAAAAATTATTATAAAAATTATAATTATTAATAAGGTAACAATGTATGATTTGATAATTATATGTATTTTAATTAAATTTATAATTTATAAGGACGATTTTGTTTGTAGTTTCGTTCTAAAGTTTATTAAAAAGTTGAGGGACATGTATGTGGTCAAATGTCCAATTAAGAGGATATATATCAGAGCCACAATAAATATTAAACATTAAATACAAATTTTAAGGCCAAAAAAAAAAGGGGGAAAGAAGAACAAATAGCCTTGGCAACATTCCAGATCTGAAACGGAACCTCTTCTACGGTTTCATAAATCTCATGTTTCTTATTCTTCACACTCATCACTGATAAACCCCGCCTAATATCTATATCCTTCAGGTAATTATGCTCTTTCTTCTTCATGATGTTGATCTGTATGTTCCACTCCCTTAAAACATATTTTTTATTGTGGTTAAGACTCACTAAGTTGGAGCTCAGCACCAAGTTAGATTCTTTATGATGTGTATCCAGTTTCTGTGATTAGGAATACCCATCATTGAACTTCACAAGTTATGGGTTTGAGTTGGATGTTTTCAAGGGTTTGCTTCTAGGGGTTTTTTTATGAGAATTGTGAGTTTTTATAGCGTTAGGTGAATTGAAATCTTTGTGAATCGGTTTTTTTGAAGCAAAGTTGTGATCTTTAGATTTATGAGATATTAATTGCGGAAGGAGGGGGGAAGAAAGATGATGGGTGAGAAGTTTTGTGTGAATGAAGAAGATAAGGGTGTGTTGGAATCTGTGTTGGGCGCTGATGCTGTTGCCTTCTTTATTTCGGCGGTTTCTAATAATGTCTTTTCTGGTGTGGTTGTTCCGCCGCCCGGTGCTGATCCGGCTCTCCGGCAGCGGCTGTGTCAGCTTGTTGAGGTTTCCAAGTGGAATTATGCTGTGTTTTGGCAGGTTGCTGGCTTGAAATCTGGTGGTTCTGCCTTGATTTGGGGCGATGGGCATTGCCGTGATCCGAAAGGGGGTGGAGCCGGAGGCGAAAGGAATGTAATTGGGAAGGAGGATGATGAGGAGGTGAGAAAGAAGGTGCTGCAGAAGCTTGATGCCTGCTTTGCTGGGTCTGTATCCAAAGAGGTTAATTGTGCAAGGTTGGATAGGGTCTCAGATTTGCATATGTTTTACTTGACCTCGATGTGTTACATATTTGGTTTTGATTCGCCCTGTGGCCCTGGCAGTTCTTTCAAGTCTGCTAAATCAATTTGGGCTTCTGATGCTGCTAGTTGTTTGAACCAATTAGAGTCTAGATCGTTTTTGGGGAAATTAGCTGGTCTTCAAACGGTTGTTTTTGTTCCGCTAAAATCTGGGGTCGTCGAGCTTGGTTCATTGGAAATGGTACCTGAAGATCAGGGTGTTGTGGAGATGGTCAGGACAGCATTTGGAGAATCTAGTCCTGGACAGGCAAAGGTGTTTCCAAAGATTTTTGGGCATGAATTAAGCCTGGGGGATACAAAATCTCAGTCTATAACTATTAGTTTCTCCCCAAAGGTGGAGGATGATTCTGGTTTCACTTCAGACTCTTATGAAGTTCAAGCACTAGGGGTGAACCATGGTTATGGAAATTCTTCCAATGGGACTTTAGGTGACAGTAATGAAGCTAAGTTGTTCCCTCAATTAAATCAAATGATTGCTGGGAATTTTAACCCTCAAGCGAGGGTTCCTTGCCTAGATCTTGGTAATGAAGACTCATGCTCAACTCATGCAGATGAGCGAAAGCCCCGGAAAAGAGGTCGCAAGCCTGCCAATGGGAGAGAGGAACCACTAAACCATGTTGAAGCAGAGAGACAAAGACGAGAGAAGCTTAACCAGAGGTTTTACGCATTAAGAGCTGTTGTCCCCAATATATCTAAAATGGACAAAGCATCTCTTCTTGGTGATGCCATCACCTTCATCACTGATCTCCAGATGAAGATCAAGGTGTTGGAAACTGAGAAGAACATGATTAACAATAAAGACCAAAAGTTGTCATTGCCAGATATTGATTTCCAGGCGAGAGAGGACGATGCAGTTTTGACGGTGAGATGCCCCTTAGATATTCACCCTGTTTCTGGCGTTGTTAAAACCTTCAGGGAGCATCAAGTTGTGGCTCAAGAGTCCAGTGTTTCAACTACAGATGATAAGGTAATTCATACATTCTCCATAAGAACACAGGGAGGGGAGGCTGCTGCTATACAGTTGAAAGAAAAGCTTGAAGCATCCCTATGCAACAATTGACACGTCAACTTATACTTATGTGGAGCATCTCAATGCTGCTGTAAACCATGTCAGAAATATTGTATGTTTGTCTTGTAGGCTGACATGTGATTGTTCCTTAGTGTACTTTGTTAGTTGTAATCTATGTTTAAGATATGGAGCTGGCAGGCTCCTTTGGAGTAACCAGTTATTGATGACCTGAATTATGTACCTATGTTGATTCATAGTTGATGTTGATGCATAATATTATAGGTTGAACTATTTATATTTAATCTACCACCAATTTACATGCTTGTTCTAGTTCTTGGTTTATAATATTATGCATTCAGTTGCAGATTCCAGATCCACTATCAAACAGGGTACTTCTCCAATGGGTATTTTTTTTTTTGGTCAACCTCGAATGGATCTGTTGGGCCTGGCTCAACAGTTTAGGAGATGATGGGCTGGGTTTCGTTGCCCCTTGTTCTTAATTCTAGTTTTTTATGACCTCTGATGGGCTTGTTTGTTTTCTGCTTTTTTTGTACTTTTTTGCATCGCAGATTTTTCAACCACATTATTCCTTTTTTAATTTTAGTATTCTTTAGAAATAAGATTTTGGAAGGTAGTAATTGCTTTCAAAAATTAAATTTCGAACTGAAAAGGTGATGTAAAATGGAAAATCCTAACACTGAATGTGCGCCACGTGGGTTGGGAAACGAATGGATAGCATGGCGCAGGATAAAATTTTCGACATCATCGTCCCACCTTAATAATCTTAAAAGCTTTTCTTGGTACCAATTGAATTACAAGTTCTTTGGCAGATAATCTTGTTAATTAATATTTTATGACTAATGTTTAAAAAAATTATTAAAAGTTATGCTAAAAGAAAATTAGAAATCATGATAAAAATATATTAATAATGTTTTTTAAATATTTTTTTTTGGTTTTGTAATCAATATCCTTGGTCATAATTACTTGAATTCTTAACATTTAATCTCTTTTTTTTTTCTTTAACGTCTAGACAAAATTTTAAAAGTACGTAGATGATAAATCAATCATAAAACTTTTTTTAGGGGTTATGTATCATTTTCATTCTTTGTAATGTATGACAAGTGTAACACTAAATAATATAAAATTATTTTCTTCTCTCCTTTCATAAACAGTATGAAAGTGAATTAGAGGGGTGAAAGTGTGGTCGGAAGGAAAGGAACATGAAGAAAAGTGAAAGAGGAAACATGGATGCATGTGAGATGAGCCTGATGACGAAATCAAAGTTAGCATGGTATACTCTTTCAGCGTCCATTTCGAACCTTAATTTTATTCTCTTGTCTCTCGCTGGAAAATAATACATGGTAGATGAAATTAATCCCCTTGGATGACCTTCCGTGAAGGTAGAAAATGGTCATCTAACGACTCCGTGAATCAGATTTACTTTACTAATTGAATCTGCTTCTAAATTATGTGGGCTGGGTCGTGTTCATGCTTATCACTCTTTCTTTGCTATTTCCTTACGTTGATTCTCAATCCATAATCACTTTTTTTTTTTATTATTATTATTTGAATTTCCCTCTTAGTATGACCACTACGTTTTGCCGTTCTACCCACGCATCTATTCTTCATTCTCGTAACTATTTTCCTTTCGGGAAATTAATTCAGAAAAATAAAATAAAGCATAGGTGATTATAAGTATTATTGTGTGATATTAAAAGAGTCTTATTGGTTATGCATAATAGTTGCACGTCAAGAACGGAACGGACGCATGACTCAAACCTTACAAGGAATTCGTATGCTTTCAATGGAAACTTCCTAACATGCATATTCGCACATTTCAAGAGTATGCCTCGTGACTATATGTACAATCCATTTAATAACATTATATATCTCCATATGCATGCATATACTTTTGTTAAGGATTTTCAATCCTGCTGAAAAGTATTTAACCAATTCATACTCTTTCATCTGAAACTTCTCCTCAGAAAAGGAAAACTACCTTAGAATTATAACTTTAAATATTATGGTTTGACGCTATTAGTATGATGTATTATTTATATATTAATTATTTCTACCAATAGAATGTATTTTTTTATTAATATAGTTCAAAATGTTCATAATAACATTTTAATTTTATTAAGCACAGATTATATTAATGGAGACTAATCTAACACTAAATTATTAGTGCACTATTCATGTTTTAAGCTCAAAATATATACTTTGTATTATGATCGAAAGAAACGTGACCAGCATTACTATAGGTTAATATATATTGAATAATAATAAATACACACACTTACACTACAGATTTTGTTAACTTTTAACCCTTTTCTGCGCTCCTAAGCATTGAGCAAGTTTGTGGATCTTTTTTCGTTTTCAAACACTTACAGCGGATAAATGGCTGTTTGGCTAATTAGTCCAAGTCACTGTTTGATTTGTTCAATTAATTAATCTCGTTTCTAAGTTTTCAACCTTCAAGGCAAGAAACCATTTTCAGTCAAGCTAAACGTACTATATCATCAACCGACACAACACGGGTCAATCCATTTGCATAACATAGTTCAATCCCAATTCCTATATAAATGTTGTGTGCATATCGTATTATAAGATCATCACAAAATAAATATTCTAGTTCTTCCCAAAAAGGCAAATTAAACTCCTCCTCCAGTTTACAATTAAACAAAAAGTGCATTTTCTTTCTGTTTCGTTTCATAACTTACATATAGAAAATGGTCATGGCTTTCTCTTACAACAAGACCCTCGTCACGGTTCTGCTCATCATCTTCACCATTTTGGTTGTTTCTCCTCATTTTGGAGCAGCATACAGGCCATTATCATCACAAAATGGGTCTCTCTTACGCTCTGTTCTACGAGGCCCAGCACCACCCTCACAACCAGATCCGGTTCACTAAGATATGCGCATGGTTGAAGCCGTTAGCAAAGACTATAACCCCAGAAACTCTATGTTGGAGACAAGAAACTATATATGATTTTATGTATGTGTTAGATTATTTTCTTAATTTCAATTTTCATGCACTTCGTTTCTTGTATTCTCATGCCATTGCAATAAACTTAATTATTGAAATCAAAATGTATGTAGTACAAATTTTCAGGTAATTTATTATCGCATGTTAATTTACTATGGTGAAATTTCTTATTATTTTTAAGATTAAGCTCATTAAGTGGACCGAGAAGTGGTAAGCGAACCTTGTTCTTAGGATAAGGATCAAAGTCAATCGAATGAACTGAAAATAATAATATTTGCGGGTGAGATCAAGGAGAGGACCGTTCAAGTGACATTTTATGGGCAAATCTTAATTACAAAACTATAAAATGATTAAGAATATTATTATTTTAACATGAGAGGACCATCCAGATGAAAAGATAATGAATGAACTGAAAAAATAACAGGATAACGAATGTTTTTATATCCTATTTATACCTAGATAAATTGGATAAAACTGTAAAATCCTACTCTAAGTATGTCTTTAGATTAACTAGTTATAAAAAAATAAATAATTTCAATAGTCACGTGTGCGTGTGTGTAATTTTATATTAGATAAATAAGTAGTTTTAAGATAATTTTTCTTGTTTGAATTATCGAAAATAATAGTTTTTAAAATGTGGGTCCAGTAACACACAATAAAAATTTAAAAATAATGTTTTGTTTAATCTAAAATTATAGTATTGAATAGCATCAATGTATTGAATCTGTGATTTTTAATAAAAATATATTATTTATAAGTTTTTATTGTATATCCTCGATAAATATTAATATAATTTATTTTATATTAATAAATATATAAAAAGGGTTATAGTAAGTTATTTTGTATTTAAATTAATCAACTGTTTAGAGACAAAATAAGAAAACAAAAAATAGCTAAAAAAATATTCTTAATTAAAAACTTCAAATTTTTCTTCATCATAAAAAAGGTTTTTGAAATCATAATTTTAAGTATGATTCAAATAACTAAACGTATTTGAATTGAACAATAATAAAAACAGTTTTTATGGTTAGTTGTATTATAATTTTTAAAAACAATATAATCTAAACATGTGCTAAATTAATGCTGTACGTGGAAGTCATTGGATTTAGATTCTCTTCTATAGTGAATGTACAAATATAATAGATCTTACAACTAATTGTGTAAGTTATTATTTAACACAAGTTATATGTATCGTATTATTTGAGAATAATAGAAGATTCAAATATTGTATTAATTAAGACAAATATAGTAGTAATCGAAATGAAGGATGTTTAAAATAATAAGAAAATGGTAATTGATTTTTCCTCCTACCTTAGGCAGCCTAACAACATTAACACTACTTTTGCTTGTTTCTTAAGCTAATGGCTGTAATTTTAATTTTTTGACTATGAACTTTTTTGCATTAGCTAGCATATAAAAATGGGCCAAAAGGCAAAATTGATGGATCTGTGTTGTTGGAAACATGGTGACATTGACCAAGTTAAGAAAATTATTTTTTGTATACACTCTTTTTACTATGTACGTTGTTTTTCACTATCATTTTTTAAATTTAATTTTAAAAAATGTATTTAATATTTTTTACTGTTATAGTATTATTTTTTATAGATATTAATCAATCTTTTTAAGATGCTGGTTAAAAAATTTCAATTTATTTTTAATAAATAATATTATTAATATATCTTTTTTTATCATGATTATTAATACGTGTAATATAATTTTAAACAACTTTTTTAACTTATCAATTATTTAACCAAGATAGTTGTTAATAAGATCCTTTCTAATAAATTCAAAGTAAATCCTAATCAGTGTTCTATGGATACTAATTAAAAAATTTAAAAAGAATTCTCTTAAGATATAATTAATAAAATTTTATTATAATTTTAATACAATTCAATGTAATTTTATATTTTTTGATATCTTTAAGGTAATACTTAATAAGGCTTGAGCTTGAAAGTTTTAAAAAAGTGAATTAATTTTATATTAAAGAATTGGTAAATAATTTAAATAAAATAATGTAAAATATATTTTTGAATAAATAAACATAGAGATAATAGCTGTGTTTGAAACACATGTAAGCGCGTAAAATTGAATATAATTGGTGTTTTGTGGTCCAAGTTGCTGAATTTTGATTGGTTCAAAATTTTCAAACCATTATCGGCCAAGCATAACTATTCTAATGAGCGACACGCAATTCTTAGTTCCATCACCCCCAACAACATATAACATAATAATCCAGACATGAAAAAAAATTATAAATAAAAATATTATTTTATATTCATTTATTATAATAATACGTAGTCTTTTAAATATATTAAAGGTTTGAGTCTAATAATGCATTTTCTGAAGATAGAAAATGATTTTTTTTTTCAATTTTATTCTCAACATTAGTTATATTCAATAATTTAAAATTAGTTTTAACGAAATGAATTTTAAAGAAGTTTAAGACTGATGGGCACTTACTAGCTAGCTCAACTCACTGTCTTGTCACGAACTTTAACTATTGTAGCCTGCAAGCAAAAAGA